GTGCAAAATTTCATTTAAATCGGTCCCACAGTTTCGGAGATTAGCCCGTACAAACAGACAAACAGAGAAACAATTTTTTTTTATTATTATTTTATCTACTGAGCGATCCCCGCCGCATTTATGGATTGATAACAATAAAAATATAACAATTAAAAAAAAATATAAGAATAAAATATGAATTAGATTTTTTTACTTTTATCTTTTTGGTTCCCGACGTTTCGAACGCTTTACAGCAATCATGGTCACGGCAGAGACAAGGTTTTAGACGTCTCAAAGGCGTTATATAGGTAGATACTTGTTACAGAGAGTGCCTACCCACTATTTCACAAAAATGATTTCAAAAATGGCACCAAAGTATCTTACAGTATTTGTTGATTTTTATTTCTAAAAATTTAATAAGTATTATAATTAAATATAGCAATATTATGTATTTGTTTAATATCAACTGTTATTATTATAAATATTACATTATTACCTTTTTTTCTAAACTTTAATTACTATGTAAGTTTTTTTTTTTTTGTTAAAAATGGGCTCACTCTTGACCTTTATCTTAGCTTAAAGGCATAGATAAGGTCTATGATGTAGCGAGTTTGCCCAGGAGAAGCCTGTTGACATGCACCTTAAAAAGTCTCAGGTTGTACGCTCTCGGAAAAACAGACGCAGGCAGGGCATTCCATTTCTTGGCTGTGCGCATTATAAAAGATGATGAATAGCGCTTAGTGTGAGTGGTCGGGATGTCAACCAAGAAAGGATGGTATCCTGCAGTACGTCTGGTGTTCCGATAGAAGAATGGCGATGGCGGTATGAGACTGTGGAACTCGTGGGCACACTCCCCGAAGTACTGTCTGTAGAAAACCGACATACAAGCAACTTGGCGACGGTGTGCTAAGCTGTGAAGCTTAGTTTTCACAAGCTTTTCGTCGCCGATTAGCTTTTTGGCTGTGCGTTCCACCGAGTCAAGAGCGGCAAGTTGGTATTTTGCAGAGCCATCCCAAAGGTGACTGCAATACTCCATGCATGATCGGACTTGAGCTTTGTATAAAGTGAGAAGCTGTCCAGGCGTGAAGTATCGCTTAACCTTGTTTAGGATACCCAGTTTTTTGGCCGCAGTCTGTGCCTTCGACTCGATGTCATCGCCAAAGTTAAGGTTTGAAGTAGTTTTTTTAGTTTCTTTGTAAGTAGGTATTTAGTGTTACTATTATTTATTTATTTATTTATTTATTTATATCAACAGCTTATTGTACAATAAACAGCACTTTATAAACAAGTATTTAAAAGTCAAGCTAACAATGTTTAAGTAAACACTACCCTCCGTACTAGTTTAACTGTATGACGGTAGGATAGTATTCCTCGCACGCATGTCCACTCGCTTATTACAGTATGGGCAAATATTTAGATAAAGCTTCAACTTAATTAACATTTAATATTTTTTTTTTTGTCCTTATTTATTCTATTTGTATATGTGTACTGTATGTATTACGTATGTATTTATGTATTTGTTAATGTGTGCATGTGTGTGTGTTTGTTTGTAGAACATATGTATGAATGTTTGGTTATATATGTACGTATATATTACAATTATTATATATAATGTATGTATAATGTATATGGTACTTCAATATATAGAACAGTAAATATCTCGTATTATTATTGTGGAGCTTCGATTATGTTATTAACTATATTAAACGCCTAACCAAAAATAAGTAAAGGAAAGAAAAAATATATATTTTTTTTTTTATTCAGTTTTTATCAAATTTTCTGTTTCATTATATGTTAATGTTTTTAGGTACTTATAAAGAGTTTTTTTAAATGTATAATTATTAAGATCTTTTAGTGACATAAATTTAGATACTCTGTTATATAAATAGGGAGCCAAAAATGGATAAAAACAATGGGCAAAAGCTGTTTTTGTGGTGGGTAAATCGTATACGATATCCTGACGTCTTTTTTGATTATGTTTATCAGAGGGAATTCGATGTAGATCTCTTAATATTTCCATTATATACGTTTGTCTTACATTAAGTACTGGTAATTCATTATATAGTAGATCAGTTGGGTATTTAAAATCTTTGGAATGTATTACTTTTAGTATCGCACGCTGAGTTCTTTCTACTCTTAATAAGGTAGTTTTATTCACTCCACCCCAGACAGCGATGCCGTATGATAGTATAGAATGACATAAGGCGAAATATATCGAATTCAAAAGTTTTTCATCGCATATATATTTTATAGTTTTAAATACAAAAATTAGTCGCCTAAGACGGCCATTTAGTGCTTCTATATGATTTTTCCAGGCAAGATGTTGGTCAACAGTTATACCTAAGTACTTAATATTGGTAGTTAGAGTTAATTTTTGGCAGGTACATTTTGGAGTAAGATTAGGTTCACAATAATGTGCCTTTAATTCTAGTTTTTTTTAGGTTGGGACATTGATAGGAACGAATACTAAAATTTAAGTATTGTGTTTTAGAAATATTTAATGATAATAAATTTTGGTCTAGCCATGTTGTAACTAGTCTAAAATCGTTGTTAGCATTTTCATACACTTGTTCATTTGACTTGCCATGAGAAATTAATACTGTATCATCTGCAAATGTTATTATTTCACTATTCTTAAGTTTAAGTAAGCAAAGTTCATTTATGTACACCAAAAAAAGTGTAGGACCCAAGGTACTCCCCTGGGGGACTCCATATTTAACATCAGTTTCTTCACTAACCAGATTTTCTATTTTAAGTATTTGTTTTCTGTCTGTCAAATAGTTTGTCAAAAGTTGATGTGGTAGACCACGAATTCCTACATTTTCAAGTCTTTTTAACAACAAAGGAACAGACACCGTATCGAAAGCCTTTTTTAGATCCAAAAACAAGCCCAAACATTTAATACGCTTATCTAAATTGTTTACTATAACCGATATTAATTTTTTTAATGCATCAGAAGTTGATTTATTATTTTGAAATCCGTATTGATTATTAGCTAATATGTTATTATTCTTCAAGTACGTCTTTAATCGAACGTTTATTATTTTTTCTATTATTTTAGATAGTGTTGGTAGCAAAGAAATAGGTCTATAATTACTTAAGTCTTCTTTTATTCCGGTTTTGAATATTGGTACAATAATTGTTTTTTTAGCGCTCTAGGGAATATACCTTGTTCGAAACACATATTAGAAATAGTAGCAATAGGTTCAGCTAAAACATTGATGGATAATTTGAGGAATTTAGAAGTAATGCCATCCCATCCACATGAATGGGTGTTTTTAAGTGATTTTATAATTCTTCCAACCTCATATTTATCAGTTGGATTCAGATAAAACGAACCACAACAGTTCCGACTATTTTGTATCATGCGCAGTAGTTCGTCTTCTGTCGTTTGCGTTCTTTGTATAATATTATTTGCTAGCTCTGCACCAATGCCAGCAAAATATTCGTTTGCATAATCAAGTGATTCTTTAGGGCTGGTTTTCAATGTAAGTATTTCCGCTGAAGTTTGTTTGTCTTTATTTAGATAACATATTTCCCTAACACAATCCCATTGAATTTTGGGTTTAGATTTGTTTTGATTTAGTTTGTTTCTATAATACATCTGTTTCACAGTATTTAGAACTTTCCTACATGTATTACGATATCGAACGTAACTTATTTTAAGTATAACATTATTCGGGTCTTTACGTAATTTACTGTGAAGTCTATCTCTATGTTTCATACACCTAATTAAACCAGGGGTAATCCACGGTTTAATATTTCTTTTCCTAGCCGAAAATTTTATATAAGTAGTATTTGAGTCTAATGCAGTCATAACTATAGCAAGAAAGGTATCTGTAGCATCATTAGCATTTAAATCCTTAAGTAATATATTCCATTCAATACTTTTTAATTGTTTAATGACAGAATCATAATCTATCTTTTTATTAAATGTTATTGTTGATTTTCCTATAATATTCTTTTGTGATAATGAGACTATAACGCATGCATGATCTGTTAGAGTTGTTTGACAGACGATAGTGCTAATCGGTAATTTTGTTTTAACTAAACAGTGATCTAAACAACTTTTGTCCGTAGTAAGGAAGTTATGTGTTGCCGTTAATCCATACATAGCTGTAATTTCTAGATAACTATCGCATCTTGCTGCATTACATCCATCCTTGATGTCAATATTTAAATCTCCCATTAAAATTAAATTGTTTTGTGTAAAATCTTGAAGAATAAATTCCAAAGAATGTGTAAAATTATCTAAATTTGTAAATTCAGGAGGTCTATAAATGCCAATGATGTTTGTATCTTTAAGACAAGCCACCAGACACGTCAGTTCTTTCGTATTTTGTGGTTCTATTACCTTAACCTGAAGAGATTTTCTTATAAACATAACAACTCCATCATTTTTATTAAGGTTCCGCTTTGTATTAAATCGATTATAATTTGGTAATGTAGGTAGTAAGTTAACTTTAGATAGCCAACATTCTGTTAATATAATTATATCTTGTTCAATTTCTAGTTGTTGGAGAAGAACCGTAAGCCCATCAAAATTCTTATTAATACTACGTATATTTTGTGTTAAAATGCGTAAGTAACTGCCAGAGTTTAATATCCCTTTGCATTGCCCAATATCATCAATCACGACTGCTGTGCCTATATTAGTATTATCATCAAGATCAGCTTGTAGTTTCAGAATGTTAACCATTATCAAAAACAGATTTCATGCAGTAATGATATGATGATGTGGGCAGATTTAGGAAAATTATTTTGAAGACAGTTTCCATAGATATAATACCAGAGATTTGTGTAATATGTATATTATATGTCTGTAAAAGAGTCAATGTGTATTTTTGTTGTGTGTGTATAACATAAATTTGTAAATTTCTAAAATAAACTAACGTAACATTTTGTAACAAACAATGCAAGCAAGACTTAAAATCTAAAAGTACAATAAAGTAAAATCCAAAAACAAACACTAAAACTATAATAAATTTAGTAGTATACCATGTAAAATGACATGCTAGTCATATGGTGGCTTCCACTTTAAGAGATTCAATTTGCTCCAAAGATTTAACAAGAATAGCCGGATCACCGTCATTTTTTCTAATATAGACTCTTCCTCTTGATACCCAGTAGTATTTAAATCCGTGTAATTTCTGTAGTTGGCGGGCATGGTAGTACAATTTTCTTGTATTAGGTGTAAGAAATTCATTGATGTAAATACGTTCCTTTATTTTTTGCTTACCGAATATATCCGTATTTAATTTCTCTTTGTTATTCTTGTTGTATATTTTTGCTAGTTTTAATACTTCGTTTCTTTTCTGCCCATTTCGATATTCAACTAATATAGGTTTTTTAGTTCCTTGTTTCATTCTATAACATTGTCTGATACTCTCTTCCATAGGCTTAAAACCAATGGTCTCATGAATGTTTGTTACCATTTCTAGGATATTCTCATTTTCGTTTATTGGTGTAGTTATTTCAATAAAGGAAGAGCGGTGGTGACGTTGGATTTCTTCTACTTCTTCTTCTAGAGCTGTAATTTTATTGATTGCCTTATTATGATCATCTTGAAGGATAGCCATCGTTTTTTTTACATCATTGTATAGTTCAGTCGTTTGCATTAATTTCTTCTCTATTATTTCATTAGAACTTAAAATTTTCTCATTTTGAATTTTTAAAGTATTATTCTGTAACTTTAGTTCCTCAATACTTTTAAAGATTTTTTCAAACTTTGCTTCTTGACCTGTTTTTATTGTTGTTATTAAAATTTGTATTTCCTCTCGCAATTCCTCAAATTCGCTCCGTTCTTTACGTTTCCGAACTGCAACAAAACTCGACGATGACTCCGAGTCGGTTTTATTGGTGCTCGCCAAGTCAGGTTGAGAAGAATATTTACCATCTTTGTTTGTTGGAGATCGTATCATCTCACTATTTTGCCTATACTGTACACTAATGATGCGTAGACGCAATGAATCGCTAGTGGTCTTATCTTAGATTATAACAGAGTTATATAAAAATGGATTTTATTACTATGCTTTAAGATTGATATTTGATTGCTCGCACTTTTATTAAACACAAATAAGCAACAATATTGAGTACACGTCTACACGGCAATTAAGCCGGACGAGGAATGATTATTATATTATGTATCACCATAAAGAACATCAATAATTAAAAATATTAATTATTTATTAAAGCAATATTATTGTATTCCATGTAATTTAAAAGAAGTTAAAATATTAATTTAGATTGCTATTATAAAACTTACTTTAAACCGCCAAAGAAAATTAGTCAGTTCTTACCACCTGTCAAGTGCAAAATCCCTCTCCATGATGTAGGGGTTACGAGATATACAACCTTGGTTGTGATTGTGGACTCTCCTATATAGGACAAAGTTTTATTTAATACTAGCACAAAAACGAAAACTAATTTATCCATCGGGAACCGTATATTTTTCCGGGATAAAAAGTAGCCTTTATGTTATTCCAGACTATAATCTATCTCTGTGCCAAATTTCATCCAGATCCGTTCAGCCGTTCTGGCGTGAAAGAGTAACAAACATACATCCATACATACATTCTTACAAACTTACGAGTTTATAATATATGAAGATTTGTATAGATTAAAAAAATCTAATAAAAAACAAAGTCAACATTCAAAATTATATATAATATCTAGTACCTATCTTCTACATACATACATAGATATGAATAGTTTATGTATTAAATCGCACCGTTTAATAGTTTAGTTAGACTGATTGATTCATTAATATCAATTAAAGCCAATCCGACGATATTCTAAACGAACAAAGACTAAATATATTATGCTTTCAAAACCATTTACCTACGTAGGTAAATGAAAATATTCGCAGTAGGCAGGAGTCTACTACTTAATCTAAATAAAAAATTATGTAAAACTCTTGGTAAAAGAATTTAAACTACATTAAAAAGTATAATACTTGATTATTTTTGATTCAGTATGGAATACCAACGTTATTTGGCCTGTTTTTTTACTCGACTGTGCGACGCAAAGTAGGGTAATGTGTTTATCAGTCAATGTATTTATGTACGTTTATATGCAAAAACGTGGGCTGATTTTGATGAATCTATTTTGATGAATTTCAAAAGTATATGTTTAAAAGTTATTTGGGATAAAAAATTGTTAAATATTACTTCAATTGTCTAATTGGCGAAAACTAAAAGGCTGTAAATAAAAATACATTATATTATAAAAATAAAAAACCCGAATGCATATAAGCAAAGTAAAAAGATGAAAACAATTTTACGAAGGAATATAGTATTATGCAGTCGGGTTTTTTATTTTTAAAATATAATATTTTTTAGGATTCGCTTACGTATAAGTATAACGTAATGCAAGGAACCTATTAAAGCGATAACTTAGCAAAATCTTTACATATTTTTTAAAAACAATGACTGTAATGTATTATGTACACAATGTAGACCCCAATACAATAGTTATTAAAACTTTTGTCTATTTCTCTGTACGCCTGTGTCTGTTTGTGTGTGAGCGTTTCACGTAAAAAAGTAATGAACCGATTACAACGAAATTTGGTGAAGTGATAACTTATTATAGACCAATCGGAATCCGTTTATTTTTAAGAGATTTTTTTAATTGAAAACCTGAAGTTTTATGATTTTAAAATGTTAGCAGGTATATAAGAAAACAATTAATATTATGTAAACTACGTTTTTTTTCAATTATCGTTGAAATGTACTTTATTAACCAAATTTTTATAAACTGATTACACCAGTGTATTTTTCTGGTAAAAACGAAAAAAATGGTGTTCTTAAGTTTTTAATTTGACGCTTATTATTTATACAATGTCGTTGCAATACGACAGTCGTGAAAAAATTATAAAAGTTGGAATTCACGTAAAGTATACCATTGCTTTTGTATTTTTTGCCGTAGAATCAATTTATGTTATAACTTTTTCGAATTTATCGATATTTTTATTATATAGGTATATTTTTCTGAAAATTTGATTTTAAGGTAATTACAGCAAGAAATGAAATTCATTCATAGTCTAATTTTGTTTATTCATTAGTTAATAATTGTATTTAAAAAAATTAAGTTGACATTTACAAATTTTGTTAAAAAAACATAATAAAAGTAAAAAATGAAAAACGTGTATATATATATATACGTTTCATCCTTGCAAGATGTACATACTCGTATGTATGTCTCCTACTGCATAATACTATATTCCATTATGAACTTGTTTTTTTATGCACTTGGGTTTTTTTATTTTTATAATATATTTATTTATTTGCAGGTTTTTAAGTAGGAAAATTAGTGAGAATGGTTGTTAACCAACTTTAAATCATTATATATCCTAAACTGTTATTTAAAATGAAAATTGATGAAAGAAACCTGAAAATTATTTTCAAATACCTAATCATTGAAATGATTCCCCACTTGATATAGTTCGTCGATTTTCATTTTTTCTTTTTCACATTATGTAATCTAGCAGCCCTCATATTTATTTACTTTTTGTTACCTGTCTTTACCTATCTAAGAATACTTGGACTAATGAGATGAATCTAATGATACCTTAATTAAAGAAATCCATCAAGTGGTGTGGAAGATATGAAGGAATAAAGAATATTACAAATAAACATACAAAGATAGGCACGAAAAACTTAAGTATAATACATAACCCTTTCCTTTATTGTATACCTTCGAAAAACATAACCCTTTCCTTGCAGTCGGGTAAAAACTTTCCACTGTTGTAGATTTAAAAGGATGAGAAAAAATACTTATATCTATTTAATTTAATAATACTTATATAATTTGTTTTAAAACACCCTGCCTAATAAGGGTCTGACACTCTGAAGTTGGTAAGAAATGTCTACTATTCTTCTTTAATGTAATAACATCACCATCTTCCAATTCCAATTTACCATAATCACTAATACATAACACTTCAATATACAAACTCTTCGGTGGACGTAAATTTTCTGTGAGATCTATCCCACTATAGCCTATGTCTTCTCCTAAGGATCTCATATATGTAGCAAGGTTTGTTGAGTATTTAGAGAACCACAAGTATTCATTATCTGATAGAAGTTCCCTTACATCAGGGGGTAGAACAGAACCAAACTCCCACCGTAATGTCTTTATCTTATCCATTCTATTGTACAGATATGCAATAAGACATCTTTTATTCCTCTCTAGTGCAGAGTGCCTTACTTGTACTGTTGTCCATAGAGATCTATTTTCAGTTGTAGCATTTCTGTAATACATTGACATACAAAATTACAATTAAAAACTTATAAATGATTATTTTATTTAAGACTAGCATTACCCGCGGCTCCTCCCGTGTTCAGATGACAAAAGACCAAATTCTTAGGTTTTACATATTAGTATACTCTTACAATGCAGTTTTTGCTTGTTTTTTTCTCAAAAATTAGATATTTTTCCCCCGGTAAAAAGTATCCTATATATTGACCTGGATAACCAGCTATCACCATACAAAATTTCATCAAAATCCCTCCAGTGGTTTTTCTGTGATGCGGTAACAGACAGACAGACGAACAAAAATTCTAAAAACTATAGATTCGGCCTCTGTATCGATAATAATGTTTATTTCAATAAGATTTTCCAAAAATATCTAATGTACAGATTCAGCTTAGTTACAGTTTTATTATATGTATAGATTGTATTTGTAATAACATTTGACTTACGCATCTGTCATGTTCATTTTAAATAATGCGTGCATTTCTTGAATTATTTGGCGTATTTTTTCATCCTGAAATTAGTAAGAAAAATAGTTTAATAATAACATACAAATATAACAACAAATTTTAATTAAGTTTATTATATTTAATTTTATAATCAAGCTTGCTCTATCTTACATTATATTGATCAATTGTTTCACGGTTTCTCTCAGCCTCTTTTATCAATTCTATAACCTTTTCCCCAAACATTATTATTTATCAATAAATAATAATCTTTTACAATCGAAGCTTGTATAATGTAAATATCGTGAATCGTAAACTAATAAATAATAACTGTAAATTCAGAAACATAATATTATGTATGTCAAGTGTCAATGTCATCAAAAACAAAAAGTAAAAAGGAATATATACACATCTAAAAAAAATAAGATTATGGTATAAAGATTTTGTTTCATTATTGATATAAAAAATATTTCATATTATTTAACTTTATGAACAATTAATTGAGTAGTATTAAATTCAAATGTTTATGATTTATAACGTAAGTATTTATATAATAATTTGGTACAGAGATCCGAATGCAAAGATTCCCTTCTACGCAGTTGTTAACGTCAATAAAGCTCAAATTCCCCATCTCTCGTCGCTTACGTTGAACCATTGGGCATTGACCATTCATTAGTTACCTACTTCCATTCCTTTTCCAATTCCATCTTGATTTTTGTATTCATTGCGCACGCGTTCTTGCAGCGATACGGTTGTTTTTATAAATGACAAACAACATTTTATAAACCATGTTATTGTGCTGTTATTCAGTATAACACAAATAATATCTTATAATTTAACTCTAATATATAAAAGTGTGATTATCAAAATGAGTGCCAAAAAGGGTTTTGAAACAAAAGTTTTAGAGGACGAGAGCGCAGACCTCGGTTTCCATTCTGGACCGTTGAGTGAACAGCTGTTGTCTTCCGAGGAATTGAATACTAGAGAAGACGTTCCAGTGGAAAGTGATAAAAAAGTGATCAGTGAAACAGAGATCGACAGTGGTTTGGACTTGTGCTTGTCAGAGCCTCTGTCTAATATTAGCCTTAGTGAATCTACTCCCACGGCCCAGGGACAGGGTCCTTTAATTTATATTGACGACAAAAAACACCAAGATATCCAACTACTCACAATTTTATTTCAGCAAGACGACGATGGGGATACGTAAGTGAACTCATTCCACTATATACTAGAAAAACTTGTTTTTGATAAAATATTATCTTTTTTTTAATGAAAAGTTTTAAATGTTAAAGTTTTAATGAGAAGTTTTAATGAAAATTAACATTTTTAATATATAAGTATTATTAGTATCCACTACCTAACAGTAAATGTCATCATATCATTTAAATATTATTTCCTTGTCTCTGTCAACATATTTTCCTATTGTTAAAAAAGAATATAATTGATGTATCTATTAAACAGTTATTATGTTATTTTCAACTATTAAAAGAATAATTTATACTGATCATTTAATATGTATCAAAATATTCAATAGGAATATTTTATATAGTTCATTGACAGATGAGTTCCCTTATCACTTATTTTAATATAAACCTCATAGCCTTTATACATTATCGACTAAACAAAGTACAAACCAATTAAATTGAATTTATTACATTACAAAAAATCCGAGTTGTATACCTTCTGTAAATAAAACACTAATTTTATCATCACACCTACTTAATGAGGATCTAAAAGCTTTTCCAGTTTAAAATATTATGATTCATTTAATTGACATTTTCATCCTATTATCTTAATAGATAGAGAACATTGTAATATGATATACCTATTTTTTTTATATATTCATGTTTTACAAATGGCACTTACTCAATGCCCAGCTGCCTTTATCTTGTACATAAATGCTTATTTTATCCCTTATCAAATTCATAGTTCATTTATGAGGTCATTCTTAGGTTGTCACACAATTTTAAGCCTTATTTTATAGAAGTTAAAGTATATTTTAAATCAAAATTGTTAATAAATAAGTCCTTAATCTCTAACCATTTAGACTTGAGTGTATCAATGTCATTTTATTAAAATTAATTGAACTAATTTAACAACATCTTGAAGCAAGCTTAAAAGTATTCTATTTTTGTGTTTTAAATATAATAATTTTGTCATGTTAATGTATTACATTATCATGTATTTGTAAGCTCTAAAATAAAACTGAATTACTTTTAACATTTTATATCTCCTTCATATACAGTGTTATATGTTTTAAGATTATTATTGTCAACTTTATTAAAAGTAGACATGTATTTAAAATATTTGCCTTAACAAGTTTCTAACTATAGCGAATTCTTACGGTCCCAAAGGTTCAATACATTGGAAAACCCGTCTCCCGTCACGATCTCTAGCACGTAGCTTCATCTCGATATACTTATACGTATACCCGTCCGATGCTTCCAGCAATGTACTTGTAAACGATTTAACGTGAATAGAATTGTGTTGAATCAGTTAATGAACAAATAAATAAATATTTACTATTTCAATTCAATCTTTCAAATTAACACTAGTCGAGTAGGCTGTCTGAAACAACTATACCTCCAAGACATGTAAGACCTCAGTCTCTCCCGTGACCATGGATGCTGTAAAGCATTCGAAATGTCGGTTTTTTTTTTATTTTTGTTTAAAAATGCAAATAAATCCGCGACAAAATCCGAAAAGATTGTTTTATTTAAAATGTCAAATATTCGCGTAAATCTAAGAAAGTACTAGTCGAGTATTTTCCTGTTTTGAAAAGAAAAAGAAAAGATTGTTGATTGGTTATTTTTATTTACAGTTATCTGTTAAATTTTCTAAAAGTAAAAAATAAAAATCTACATTCATTATATGTAATGACTAAAGGACCTCTAGACGCTATCTTTGCCCGCGACCTGTTTATATTTTATGTATTTATATATACTACGTAATGCGGAACATGTAACGGACTATTTTTTTAATTATTAATTGACAACAACTTGAATGAATCTTCCGTAATCTGACCACTAAACACGCATAAAAAATCCAAAGTTATTTAAAAAATATATTAGAGCAATAAAGATAAATGAAGTGACACGCAATTTTATTTGATATTTTTTATCAAATTTAAAATATAATATTTTATGATAAAATTGTTTTACAGGCAGCTACACATCGCAGCAGTACATGGTTGCCAAAAATCTGTCGGTACCCTAATAAGGGTGTGTCCAGACAAGGCGTGGCTAGATATACCAAACGACTATGGTCACACTCCACTACACCTCGCTGCCATGAGCGGCCATGCCGTCGTGGCCAGGATGCTGGTCAGGGCGGGAGCCTCCATAGGCGCCAGAGACGTCACAGGAGAAACGCCCCTACACAAAGCAGTCGCCATCAGGAGTCAAGAGTGCATTCAAGCACTCAACCCGGTGCCGGAACACCCGACGAGGCTTTCGACTGTATTAAATCAGAAGAATTACAAAGGTATGTACTTTTTAAAGATTATTTTCACTTTGTTTTTTTTTATATCTTATATTTAGCTCATTATTACACGGTTGTACATTTTTAGAGCGCTGCATCTAAAACGACGACTTATATTGATCTAGGTCGAACATCCGATGTAATATTATGTCTGTATTAATTAAGACTAATAGTCAAAATACAACATTTAATTAAAATAAAAAAAAATAACAAAATAAAGTAATTAAAGCAATGTTTACGGAAAATAAATAGTGAACTGTACAAAATAGTAACAGTATGACGTCAGCAATGATATAATAGGTCATTAGTAGACTTGACTCAAGGTGTGATAAACTAGCTTTATTATAGCATCAGTTTGAATTAAGTTTAAGTTTCAACTTATTATACTGTACCCGAACAAAGCCGCGTGATAATGATGTTTCACATATAAGGATTATTATAATATGTTATTTATTTTACAAATACACGTGCATTTTAACAGCGCTTATACAAGAAATCGGAAATCCCAACAACTGTAATGCCCTTAATTGTTTTGTTGTCTATGTACTATTATGTACTTTATGATTCAATAAGTAAATACCCAATTATCGGTTTTCCCAATCACGTTACTTTTAAGCTAATTTTCTGGTTAGAAAAAGTTCTGAGAATGCTTTTGTCATAAGATTTGCCTGAAGTGCGAGCTACCGCTTCGGCGCCTACCATCACGTCACTTATCTACTGGATAGTGTTATCATTTATAAACAGAGCAGTATGCGCCAGCTATAACTAAATCTCTCTTCTTCCTGACCTCAACCTCAGATACGCAGAATATTTTGCAACAAAACGCCCACATTACTTATCCATACTAATATTATAAATGTGAAAGTGTGCTTGTTTGTTTGTCCTTCTATCACGTCAAAACGGAGTGACGAAATGGCGTGATTTTCGTGTGGAGATGTTGGAGGGCTGGACACTGGCATAGACTACTTTTTACCACGGGAGATAATCTCCTTCCCACGGAAAAACACGTTATATACCTAATACAACTAAAAAAAAATTATGATCAGAATTACTTCAAACTTGGTATTAATGCTTTTCAATGCAATTAAATAAATACGTGTTCTAGCATTTTTCGAAATTCATCCCATAAGGGGGTAAAATAGGGGATGAAAGTTTGTATGAAATAAACATAACCAGTGACGTAATTTTATTTATATAACGTATTACTTAACGGTAGTTCAATCATATCAATTGTTAGGCCGCTGCAAGGCGGATACTAGCCCTCGTTCACCTTCACCGGATGCCATTGTCCTCTCAAGAATTGCCCATCAGGACACAACACGCAAATGCACGTCATTCGAATTGATAAAAAATCAGATTCACTAGGATCTTGAATTGTTATAGAAACCTGTTTATGTAGACATGTTTCACGTGCTCGCCGGCTAGTGCTTCCAACGCCAAGGCCTCGATTACGCTTTATACCATCGAATTCCCACGTCAGGGAAAATGGTATAATTATGAAATCTAAACAAACCTCAGTTCTCCTGTTCGTCACTTTATTACCCAGAAATATGTTATATACTGAATCATTACTCACCTTTGTTTTGAGAAAATGATTTCAAAACATTTACTGCTATATTATTAGTACTTATAGATGTATTTGGAGAATATTGAGTTTTTGTCGGGACCTTATCGCATATGCAGCTCTAATGGCATTAGTTTAAGCGATAAAGCGCACAGTAACATAAATATTTTTAACATAAATGTTAAAACCAGTAAAACCTGCCTTAAAACATTCATATATATTTAAAGTGAATTTTGGATTTCCCTGACTTTGTGAGTTTCATTAATAACGTATTAGTGTCGGTCAAAATAATAAACTTACACGTTTGGGTTTTCCGAAGTTATACAATGTCTTATGCGCATCAACACTTTCAGTATTCTTTAACGATTATTTGCATTCGGTTTTACCCATCTGTGCAACCTTGCTTGTAGTCGGCTGTATATCATCAAGATGTTCATACTAGCGACCTACGCTTGCACTCTGCTCGGGTGCATCTCTAGATGCGTTTACTTTTTAGTATAAATTTTATTATACATTTCGGGCTCGTCCCCCAGGCAAAAAGAAATTATCCCACAGGAACCGTACATTTTCCGGTATGATATAATAGCCTATAGCCTTCCTCAATAAAGGGGCTATCTAATGCAAAAATATTTTTTTCAAATCGGATAAGTAGTTCCTGAGATTAACGCGTTCAAACAAACATACAATCATCCAAACTCTGCCTCTTTATATTTGTACATATTTAGATATAAAGGCAACGCCACCTTCAGGCAAATTGTATTACTAACAGTGGTCTACCTGTGTACTAAATTTCATCTAAATCTCTTCAGCCGTTTCAGCGTGAATGAATAACACACACATACGAAGTTGATACATTTATAATTATAGTGTAATTAAATGAAGTATCTTCAAAGAATCTGATTTGTGAGAAGATCAAACCTCCTCACATATAAAGATAACACTCGAAGTAAAAACTCGGAAATACCCACCGCCTAAATAACGAAGATACCGAAATATAAAGGTGGTTTAAAACGGCGCACACCGCTCGCATGGGCCGGTGGGTATTCCCAAGGTGGTCGCGCAACAAAGCCAACCGGCTCACGGTGAAAGCACTGCGCCTTCCGACGCTCGACGCGGGCCAGCCCGCTGTGGCCGCGCTAATTGAAAGGTTGTTACGTGAATCTTAAAAGAGCTCGGGTTTTCCTACACTATACATATAAAGTATACGGACTATGTAATGTGTGCCATGTGATGTCCGACGTGACATTTACATAAATGCCGACATGATCACCATTGACCATGATTTATAACTTTGCAAGATAAACTACGTTTTGATATTTTGTATTCAAAAATATATTTGGTTTATCATATCGTGTGTACAATTTCTGAAAATGCTGAATTAGATTTCATACAAATAAACAACACCTATAAAACACTCTCCTCTCAGTAGTCTTATCTTAAGTAGTACGTATAATGTATAGAAAATACTAATTATTTAACACCAATATATCACACCAATTACATATTTAACGCGCCTATCTATGAATTTCATTGAAATATACAATTCGTCATTTAGACTATCATAAAACGGAAATCTCTACAAGCACCTGAAGCGCTCAGGGAAACCGCAAGCCATCAGAGCGGCGCGGACGCCCGGTGTCTGCAGTAGATTACGCCAGCTGCAATTATGATTCTCTGGGTTATATACCCATGTGAAAGTATTCTTCTAAGTGTTGGAAATTTCTCATTATCACTTTTACGTGTGATCATTACTTACTTTTACAATATTATTGCATCGCAATACACCTTTTCATGGCATCGCTAATCGTAAATTCGATTTGGATAAATTGTAGTTAACGTCAGTACATTTTCTGAATGGAAACAGAGCGTTGAAAGCGTTCATAGTAGAGTTGCGCTAGTACTCACGCCGATGATTTTCAGATAAGATGATATTAATACCACTACCCCAAGTACTATAGTAGTAAGTATAGTTTTCTATTGTCTATTAGGATTATCTAATCTAATTAGATTTTGTATAGACCTACTTATAAAATTGATAACAGCAGAGATTGAATTAATAAATATATCTCTCATGTAACAGTAAAGCTTATTGATATAAATAACGCTGACTGAATATGGTCAAATACATCATCCAGCACTGCGGTGATCATAAAAGATTTTGTAGAAACTCAAAGATATTCCGGTTGTGACTCGACATTTTTTTATAAATTACGCATTACTATTTTATAATTTACAGAATAGCAAAGCAAAATTGAAATTTTACGAGAAAGAATCTCTATCAGAGTCTCGCTCTGTGACTTTGTGCGTTCTTACAAATGCATCTGTAATATACAATATTGTGTGACAATGTAGCGACAATAAACTTTGTTTGTTATTAGCATCTATAAAAGTAAAGTAAGATTTACATCGTTGGTAGTATCCGCGTCTGAGGATGTTTGTATAATACGATGATTTCTTAATCAATATGTATATTTGATTTTCTTATCTAAATATGTCTTTCACAAATCATTTACACTCGAGCAGTGTCAGCCGCGTCCTTACACAATTAGCATGCAAATCATGACAGAATGCTAAACATTGTTAATCAACTGTAGCTGTTTACCTGAGGCACGGGGGCGCATCACGCACTCTTCACTCGGTAGGTAATCCTTATCAACAATATGTAATTGTTTTTTTTGAACTTGGGGATTTCCGACGACCGGCCCGGTTTCTCATGAAGGTATTTGCGATAGTAGATAACTACTATTTTCAATTATTTCAGCTCGTAGGTAACATTTTATTTTAGACGTATATGTATATCTAACGGAATGAGCGAATGGTGTATCCTATATAGCAACTGCAACGATATTTGTTTACAGCTCAGGCATGAGGCAAAATTTGAATTACAACGATAAAAACGTTCAAAGATAGCTAAATTACGGAAACGTTGAAAAATATCGTCAGCCTTATATGGCGAGGGCAGTTCGCTGGCACGCCGTCGTCACATTGTTGGGAAAACCCCACCCGCCCCCGCCCGCGCCCGCCGCCGCCGCCGGCGTCGCCTGCGCGCGCGCACTACATGACATGTTGTAATTTATATGCCGCTGCATATTATTATATCGTGCGTACAAATAACTAGCGAGTACTACGTTACTAGATAAAGACTTAATACACAAATTAACTAAGATTGACTAAAGATTTTATAAAAGCGCTGAATTTTTATGTACACTGTAGGTATACTAGGTACCTACATACATATCAATTAATGAATAATCTGTGAATACAATTAAATACAAACTATTTTATTGGATATGAATTTATAATATACATAAATTATTTATTGTAAATGAGTGTATCTTACTAGATGTTTCTAGTAAGAGCAGTTCCACATGTCATGTACTTAAAACAAGTTTACATTGATGTACGCTTTGGTTTATGTTTAATTTATAGGAAAATCGTCGTCTCGCCTATCGTATTTTTTTTTACTTTTCTCTCTCTCTGTGGGAAAAGGCTTTTAGGCTAAGTTTACCGCAGAAAAAAATATTAAATTTGCCTGCTATAAGATATTAAGTCCTTGTAAATATTAGATTTATTTAAACGTACAACTATTGAAGTCTGTACTATTGACAGAGTATATAACGCAATATCAACTAATTATCATATTCTTGATACATTGTAACAGCGTTTCGAAACTTTGATGATATTTTCTTATTCTTTACGTAATGTCGAAAATATTGTGAGAATTTCTATAAATATAAGTAAACCTAAAATAAAAAGGGTACAGTTGTGCCAATGACTAAACTTTAAAGCCGGGAGCGCAATGATCTATTTTCATTGCGCTCAAAATAGTCTTGGAGTTGTTCCAACACGTACAATTGGATCTGTATGGTTTTTACTCAATTTTTGCAGCTATTATTTTGCCTTGTGCCTTTTACACACAACTTTCTACAATTTTGTTAAATGAAAGCAGTCGTTTACTTTATATAACATCAATTTGTAACATGTATCTTGAGTAGGTATTTCATATTTTAATTTGTTCATTTCTTTGAAATTCATATTAAAATCTATAACAAATATGTGAAAAAATATTAATACCTTCTACAGTAAATAACTTGTCCAAAGTTCCATGTAATCGGGGACGTTGATAAAAATATATAGTATATACCTTAACCGCTCGCTGATAACCTCAGGTTGTGCGGTCTTACATATCAATACAGTCTATATTATGTTCATATATGCCTGCATGTACATAAATAAAATATATATCTATACATACAATAAAACTGTAGAGGTCGATGTCTATACATAGAAAAAAATGCTAAAAACCGAGTCTGGGGGATGTAAGAAGAGAAATAGAACAAAACCAGACTTTTTTTTTCAATTTTTTGTTTCTCTATCTGTTTGTCTGTTTGTACGGGCTAATCTCCGAAACTGTTGGACCGATTTAAATGAAATTTTGCAAAGTGGTACCTATATCCCCGGTCAACATTTTAGATACTTTTCATCCCGGAAAATTAAAGAGTTCCCGTGGGATAGTTAGAAAACTATAGTAACTTATACAGCTTAGTACACAAAAACTACTGGTTGGATTTTAATGAAACCTTACAACAGTATAATTCATACATCGAAACAACAAATAGGCTACTTTTTATCCCGGAGAAATGTACGGTTCCCGTGGGATAGATTTGTATAAAATAAATATAAAAGTTGAAGTGTCTGTGTCCATATATTCAACGATGCGCTTTCATGTAAACAAGGCCGAGCAGATAGATAAATAATAAAAAATGTTGGGACATAAACAAACATTCACTCTGTGAAGAGATTGTGTCATCGAGTTGTAGTCGACGCTTCTATAACTTAAGTAGTTAACCTTAAAAGGTTAAAAAAAAAACTTAAAAATAGGTAAGTTACAAATTACAATGAATAACACAAGTTACGCTTACAAATAAATAAACAGTAATAATGCTCGTGTGATTTGAATAGAGATTGTATGAGTCAAGAGCCCGCATAGAGACGATAAATCAACACTGGCACCGTTTGAGGAAAATAAATTTACCAAAACATGCCCCGTCGCCTGGTCTGGGCGACGCTCGTCCAACCACTTAAATATTCTGATATGTTGTCTCCAAATCTATTTCTAATCAAACTTATAAATTTTATCACTCCAATCATCCTATTGCGCTATAATATACTACAGTTGTAGTTAATAGTGCGATCATGTGTTTCCAGCCACGTGCGCACTCACTCATCAATGGAAAAACACTCAGCTTTTCGTCAACATGAGCTGATATCATCTAAGACTATGATTTGTGTGCTTATAATCTGATAGAATTTAATTATTATATTTTTATTATTTACTAGCGACTCACGGGTTCTTCCCTAGGTTGAATCCCCATACAAACTTTCATCCCCATTTTCACCCCCTTAAGGGATGATATCCGGGATACAAAGTCATATGTCCTTTCTAAGGTCTCAAACTATCTTATTACCAAATTTCATCTAAATCGGTTCGGTAGTTCCAGAGATTACCCTCTACAACCTCACAATTCACAAACTCACAAACTTTACCTATTTATAATATTAGTATAGATAAACCACTGTTCTATTTACCACCAAAATTGGGATGGCAATGTGGTGGTAAGGTTACCAAAAAGCCCATAAAGAATTGGGGACAACCGCCGTTTCTCGTTCAATCCGACTAGAGAAACTGGGTGGAAGCGACGTGTGGGAAAAAAATAAATAGCCACTTAATTTATACGTACATACGACATGTACATTAACTTATATAAAAAAAAATGTATTATTGTGTTATGAGACTAACATATTTTTTGATTTAGGTGCATAATTATTGTGTTTGTTTGTTCCAGGTCAGTGCTGCGTGCACCTCGCGGCGACGGCGGGCTACACCGACATGCTGCAGCAGCTCGTATACCTCGGCGCGGATATTAACGCTAGAGTAAGTCACGTTCTACAGTTTTATTATTGGAGATTGTTTTTATCATACACAACCTTGTAAAAAGGTTAGGTAGATATTGTTTTTGTAAGGATATGGAAATGATAAAAAACGGTACCAAAGTAACTAGCATAATATGCAGATTATGCAAAATTACTAAATAAAAGTAAGAAAATTCTAATTTCAGAAAAGATTTGCACTTTAACCTATCAATAATCTGCAGATTGTCCAGCTATCCATCCATTTTCGCATAACAACAACCAATATGTTAAGTAGATTATTGTCTATAAACATTTTTTTTTTGTTTTAATTGTCGCGGGGTACATTGTGCTGCTATAAATATTAAGATTATACGCGATCAATGGATTATAAATGCCCTCGTGATGGTAACGGTGAGGGGGTATAAAAATAAATGAACAAAACCATATGCATTTTGTCCGTATGTTAATTTTGTAAATGCGCAGGAGTTTTATTAAGACTCATCAGATATTTATTATTGTTTTACATTTTGTTATATTCACGTAACAGTGCCGCCTTTCTCTTTCACCGGTGAGACGCTTTAGTCACAATGACGGGAAACCCGCTGTAATCAGCTGATAACGATAGCGTCCGGGTTTTTTCGCTTCCATTGTGTAAACCTTGGAACCTAACAAAGTCAAACCACTAGGGTTTTCTCGAAGCTATGAAAAAGACACATTTTCCTTACAATCTTTGTCATTTAACCTTCAAGCCGTCACTTACGTAGTAGTAAAACTGTGGTTTTAAAACGGAATTTGAATATATATTTTTTACCGTCCAGACATTGACCTTTAGCCACAGATTATATTAACTGTTAATTTATAATGTATAGACTATATATTATATGAGCCTATAGCTATTCAATAAATGGACCATCTAATGCAAAAATAATTTTTCAAATCTGATTAGTAATTCCTGAGATTACCGCGTTCAAACAAGCATACAAACTCTGCTTCTTTATAATATTAGTATAGATAACTTCGTAACTGTAAGTACTATTAAATTGGCCCCTGTTAATTCTCTGTTCTCTTAAATTACTCTGTGCAACAGTAACATCTAACCAGGTCGGTCAGACTTTGACACTTCGTATCTATATAATCGTTATTGTATTTATATCTCTTTTTAATGTGGGATTTTCCAGGTTTATCTGTCCAGTAATAATAAAACTAAAATAAAAATGCCCCGAACTGTTATCTGCAACATTGGTTTCGAAACACTCTATACTATTTATTTTTTATCATTTAACTGTTAGTTTTTAATTTGCTATAATTAAAATTATGATAAACGAATTTTATGTTAACTTTATCATAGTGTTGACTTGTTAGTGAACTATTTGATTCACTATACAGAACAATAATAGGTACAACGATTTAGATTTAAAAAACTTAAAAGAACTTTAAAGAAATAATTGGACTTGACCTGATGATAGAGCTCCTCAATTGCTACTAGTAAAACTTTTGAGTGTGGACTATAGTTGGTTCAAATGAAATAATTCATTAATGTAATGGACATTACAGTTGACCAAAAGTTGGCAATTTATCATGTGCCTAACATTAGGTTATGTCTTACCTACTTCAAGTTTTTTCTAGGACAGGATTCAAATTCTTAGCTATGTAGTATAAATATATACATAGTACATACATACTTCAATTACCTATTGAGTTATTATTATATGTAATACTAGCATTACCCGCGGCTCCGCCCGCGTTCAGATGACCAAACACCAAATTCTTAGGTTTTACATATTAACATACTCTTACATTGCAGTTTTTGCATTTTTCCTAAAAAATGAGATATTTTCCCGCGGTAAAAAGTATCCTATATGTTGGTCCGGATAACCAGCTGTCACCATACCAAATTTCATCAAAATCCCTCCAGTGATTTTTCTGTGATGCGGTAACAGACAGACAGACAATCTATATATAAAATTCTAAAAACTATAGGTTCGGCCCCTGTATCGATAATAATGTTTATTTCAATAAGATTTAAAAAAAAATTAAATGTACAGATTCGGCTTAGTTACAATTTTATTATATGTACATATAGATGAAAGAAGTGTGTATCTCCCACGCGAGCGGAGTCGCAGGCAACAATATAATGTATTTACAATTGTTAATAACCACCGAATATACCACATACTTCCGAATATTAAATTGTACTTTTAGTATACGTGTTATGAACGTATGTGTATGTGTGCACCTTTCACGCGACCGGAGTCTAATTAGTGGTAATATTACAGCAATTATAAGTGAATGTTCTCCATCAGGACGGACTGGGCGGATGGACGCCACTGCACATCGCGGCGCGCCGCGGTGACGTGGCCACGGTGCAGTTCCTGCTGCGCGTACCCGCCGTGCAGCGCGCCGCGCGCGACTACGCCGGCCGCGCGCCGCGCCGCCTCGCACGCCGCACGCGCGCTCACGCGCTCTTCCCCGACGACAACGATGACGACGAAGATGATGATGAGGTGGGTCTTTGGATACCGTACTCTAGATCTAGACTTAGTTGTATTCAGTTGTACATCCCACTGCTAAGCACGGGCCTCCCTTCAATACGAGGAGGGTCAGGCCATAGTCCACCACGCTGGCCGAGTGCGGGTTGGCGGACTTTACATGTCTTTTGAAAACTTGCTAGGTTCTCTCAGACATGCAGGTTTCCTCACGATGTTTTCCTTCACTGTAAGACAAGTGGTAATCATGTTGGAAATGATTCCCACATAAAAATATCAGAGTTGACAGATTCGGGTTTGAACCGGCTTCACTCGGTTTCCCAAGTGAGCGCATTACCACTGGGCTTCCACTGCCTTTATATATATACTAGCGGCTCACCCTCGCTAACGCTAATAGAGATCTATTAGTTCCCACGGGAACCGTTCATTTTTCCGGGATGAAAAGTAACCTGTTGTTTGACAGGCAATATAAGGTATCAGAATGTTAAGTTTTACTAAATTAGGTGCATAAGTTGTTGTGTACTAAAATGTATAAGTTACTATAGTTTTTTGACTATTCCACGGGAACCCTTTAATTTTCCGGGATGAAAAGTAGCCGATTTATTATTGTCATATATGAACTATATTATTGTAAAGTTTTATTAAAATCCAATCATTAGTTTTTGTGTACTAAGCTGTATAAGTTATTATAGTTTTTTAACTATCCCACGGGAACTATTTTATATTCCAGGATAAAAAGTATCTAAGATGTTGCCCGGGGATATAAGGTACCACCATGCAAAATTTCATTTAAATCGGTCCAATAGATTCGGAGATTAGCCCGTACAAACAGACAGACAGAGAAACAAAAAAATTGAAAAAATCTGGATTTGTTCTATTTGTCTTCTTACATCCCCCTGACTCGGTTTTTAGCATTTTTTTGCTATGTACAGACATTCGACCTCTACTGTTTTGTTATAGTATAGATTTCGAATTATTCATGTTATAGCTTGTTATTAGACTTATATCATGTATGTCTTAACTGTTATTGGATTATGTAACGTGATAATGTGTGGTGTGTGGTGGTACCGCGGAACTCCTGTGCTGTTAGAGCTAAAAACACAACGGTATGGTGTATCGGCTCGTTTGATTAAATATTGTTTTTAAATTTCATTTAATCTATTGATTGGAATTTAACTTTGAAATTAATTTTCACATTAAGTATTGTGAGCTTTGAATAACAAAATGTTCATGGTTTTAATGTATATTTTCCTTATTTGCAGCGGTGTCCGTGCTTGTCGGACAGCGAAGGCGAGACTTTCTTCGAGAAGTACCTGCAGAGCGGCAACCCTATCAACGTCGCCTAAATTACCAAAATGGGGGAAAATTCCGAATATTAATGAAATCGTTCCAAAACAATGATACAGCAAAGGTTCTGTCCAGACAACACAGTATTACGAGGAAATCATGAACGCTTATTACGTATGTACCGTTAGTAAAATTAACAATTACTGAACGGATTTTGATGAAACTTTCGCAATAACAAGCTCCCACCGGCGCGTCTGCGGCGAACTGATTTATGAATTCCGTATCGTGTGTTGTAAACAAATGTCATTTTTATTTATATTTATACACAACTAAGTTGGCAGCCTTATAAAATATTATTATTATGAAATAATAAAAAAGAAATGACATGAAACACAAAGTCGTGATCGTCAAATGGGATACGAATTAATTTAAAAATCCTCATATAATATTTCCAACGACGTTTTCCTCGTCCGTTTTTTTTTTTGTAAAGTGGGAAAGCCTATTTTTATTCAGCTGCGGTTGGCTCGTCGCGTCGCATGAGGCGTGACTCGTGAGGGCCCTCCGTTGCCTACCATTGCACACCGGGATGTTTAATTATTTAGAAATTATTAATGAAAGTTATAAAGCTTTCAAATTATAAGTAATCATTAAATTATATTTTTTTATTATGAGGATAGACTAAGTATATAGGACTTCCAGTCTCTGTGATATTAGCAAAATAAACCGGTCTCAAGTGACGTATGTAAGGCGATATATTTCACAAATTAACCGTTTTAAAAGTTAATATCAGTCGTTTGGTCACGTTTGCCGATCTCGACTTTGTTTACAAACTGACATATTATATAACTTAAATTATTAGTAATTTCTATGGAAAAGCCTAAGAACAAGTATAATGAGTAATGAATATTGAATTGTCATTCATTAAAAGTATTTTATAATGCTGTCAACTTCCTTATTTGCTGGATTTATATTGTTTTAATTAGATTTTTTGTTATTATAATCGACTCACTTGTCCTAGTATATCATATGAATTTGAGTTAAATTATTATGAAACTGTCAAAGACAAGAGTTTCAAAAATTGTATACTTTTTTTTATTTGTATAAATTTTCTCATCTTCTCTGTTTAATCAAATTATTATTTACTATGGCGTTAGATGTATGACGTCTGTACATTTCGTGGGAGTCGAAGCCACGACTAGACAACCACTGAGCCACCGGTCGTTCGTGAGATGAGGCCAAATGTCGACAAGTATATGCGGATGGTGTGTGAATAAATTGATACAAAATATCTTTGACAGATTAAATATTAAATTCTTTTTATTTAAATTCATAAAGTCTACTTGCATATTATAAGATTTGTTTATTTATATCGCAATTATTTCAACTTTATTTAATAATACATTTGCTTGTTTTGTCAATTTGTTCACTCGACATCTGTGTATATGCTTAGTTAATATATATATATATATATATATATATGGGGATCGAGTCTTCCTGAACATATGTATCTTATTAGTTTTAGATTGTATGTAGTATATGGTCCAAAGGATCTTTTTTATTTCTATTTTACTTTGCTCTATCTCTTATTGTATAGCCAATTCTTATACTTTCTTTTCTTAATGAGTTTGTATAAACTTTTTCTTGGGAGTGACCACATATAGACATATAATCTCGAATCTAAACATGTAACAACCTTTATATTACGATTATTACTATTTATTTGTTTTCTCATATGTGAAATTCTATCGGTCAGTTTTATGGAACATTTTTGATATCAATATTGTATGTTAACGTCTTGCTCTTACTTTTGATGAAAGCGGAAGCTAAGACGTCTGTAAAAGCTAAGTTACTTTAAAGGCCTTGTTCTTAAACGTGCGTGTGTTTGTTTAGCAATAAGGTCTAAACAGGCTCTCCGTCGGCCGACGGGCGGCGTACACTGCACTGGCCACTGTGTACTGTACAGTGTTTGTAGTTAAATCTATTGTAATATACTTCTTTGTTCTCCTAGTCTTTATTAATAATATTATTAAATTATCAATGACATAATGCCGATATTTTATTTTTTTTAAATACTTACTTATCATCGAATGGCATTTATTTAGTGTTTCTATTCTAGCTAACAAGTTAATGTCAAAGATATCCTAGACCTGAACCGCCTACACATCAGAGATTTTTGTACCACAGTGGTGCGTGTACGCCAACCTTCACTTACAGTCATTTATTATTAATGTCGTAATGTAAGTTTGTTTGTAGACGATTCCAAGTAATACTTTGTATGATATATATATCGTTTCAGTTAAAATATATCGAATATTATATTAGAGGTTCTTTGATTTTCCTCGTCCCCGGCGCTGCTTAGTCACTCGCGATGAGCTCTAAAGCTTACGTGGGACTTAATTACGTTATGTCCAAACGTCATCGTTATAAGGTTAAATAATATTTTTAATCGCGATTACGAAAAAGCTTGGCTTGAAATGAATAAGTATATACTGATATCATCGTGTTAGCCGAACAATAAACTAGAATTAAAAATAGGTGCAATAGAAAATATTATACTACATTCAGGATTTCGAATAAACCATCGTCCGTGTGTCACAGCTTGTTTTCTCAGAACTCATTGGTCGGAAAATATTCTTTAAAATACCAAATTCCATATAATAAATACTAACGCGTAACTATAGCGTAACAAAATGAATTAATAATATTTTTAATATAATAAATGAACCCTGTTAAGAAGGATGTTATTTAATAAAAGAGCAAAATAATATTTTTTAAAACTAAAATAGAAATTTGGGTACATTAAAATACAACACCAACGGTTTCACCGGGGGTAGGACTCTGTCACGCCTGAGGAGTCCGACTGGATGGGTACCGCCACCTTATCTCTTTCTCCCGCCAAGCAACAATCATTACATTGTTGTGTTCCGGTTTGAAGGATAGCCAGCGCAATTACAGGCAAAACGCAAATCATCTTAGTCCTCACAGTGACAACGCACCTACGGTTCTGCATTTTTGTAACATAAAACCTAAGTGCATGAACCGTAGGTGTTATGAGCGACAGATACCTACCGCTTTCCATCAGGTGTTTGTCACTGAATACTATAAAAAAAACAACAAAAATCTACCTCTTTTAACCCCATTACATTCTACTCTAAAACCTTCAACTGCTAGTACGACTCGTTCTTAGCCAATTTTTATATTAATAAGTGTGTAATATATAGAGTAAACAACTTTGTATATGTATGTATTCAGCCCTTTTTTAACGTCCCACTGCTGGGCACGTGCCTCCCTTCAATACAAGGGGGTACAGGCTATAGTTCACCACGATGGCCAAGTGCGGGTTGACGGACTTCACATGTCTTTCGAAAACTTGCTAAGTTCTCTCAGACACAGGTTTCCTCACGATGTTTTCCTTCACCGTAAGACAAGTGGTAATCATGTTGGAAATGATTTAACAACTATATATTACGGACCTACTTGTTAATGTAAAAATTACAAAGTAAACAAATTATGTACCTAATTAATCATGCATATTTTAATAAAGGCGCCGATACGTACCTACAATTAATACATACCTTCTAACATAGATGAATAATAACTTCTTATTAGGACATGTATCTACTATCTATGCAAATGACTGAGCTGGCGAGTACTATCCTGGTGTGACGCCAGTCGTGACGTCATGTCCAGAAAGTTACAAGAAATTATATTATACCTACATATCTATACATCATACATAATAAAATTCTGATTCGAATCTGTAGGTACCTTACATATTTTTTGGAAAATCTTATTGAAATAGTCACTATTATCGATACAGAGGCCGAATCTATAATTTTTGTCCGTCTGTCTGGGAATGCATCACGAAAAAAACACTAGACAGATTTTGATGAAATTTAGTATAATAATAGCTAGTTATCTGGGACAACATACAGGATACTTTTTACTATGGGAAAATATCTCATCTCTGAGAAATGTATACTAACCGTTAAAACGTGCCTAGGGGGCAGGGGCTAACCTAAGCTATTCGCTAAGTTTATACTTCGGGTATTAGTCCTTTGACTATTTATTTAAATTATCAAGTTTAAAGTCTGTAATCATGTAGGTATTTAAAACAGAATTTTTCGCCCCTTTGATATAACGTCATAAGCTGTGTTCAATGCTCTTATAAGTCATCGTTTTAAATTTTTCGTCAATTTTTATCTCAGAAAATTAAAGAGTCCCCGTAGGATAGTTAAAAACTATAGTATCTTATACAGCTTAGTACACAACAACTTATGCATCTAATTTAGTGAAATTTAACATTCTGATACCTTATAATGCCGGTCAAACAACAGGTTACTTTTCATCCCGGAAAAATGAACGGTTCCCGTGGGAACTAATAGATCTCTATTAGTGTTTTTCTAGAGGCGAACCCGAGCGAAGCGAGGGTGAGCCGCTAGTTATTATAATATTCTCAAAGATGCAACAAATATTTTTTCTCGTGTATTAAAATACAATATAATTATCAATAATATTAAAAATGGCAGGACTCAAATGAATGTGTATATGAACGCAGGACGAGATATGCTTCGATGCTTTTCATATAAATACTACATACGCCACTGGGCTGGGTATTAAACCTTTATAAACAAGAGGATCGTTAGATTGTAGCGACCTAATAATATGTTATCTTTTTTTCTTTGCTTAGTCTATAAATTAAAAAAAAATATTTCCAACTTTTTACCCTTTATAATTATTTTAAAACTAGCGTTTTCCTGCGGCTCCGCCCGCATAGTACATTACTCTCCAACATATATCATATAAACCTTTCTACCTTCTCCGAAACACGCTGTATTTTATGGTATGAGTATTATTCCGATCGGTTCAGTAGTTAACGCAGTATAACCGAACAAAATAATCAGCTCTCCATTTATTAGTATAGATGATTAAGCTTATCAGCCGACTATGTCGTACGATTAAGAATAAATAAAAACAATTAAATATTCCATTTATTTGATATTGTTATCACAGAGTCACGAGTCACGACCTGGCACTGTGTTGTCGGTACATGGATATCCAGACTTTATACTTACATATGTAGGTATATATGTAATATTCCACACAATGTTTATGAATTCACATACTTAAAAAAGACAGATACTGCGACACATTCGTGTGTAGTATTATATGTAGTACCCCTAAGTATTTAAAAAGTCCAATAATAAATAGAAACCAATACATATTTATTGGTTTCTACGTGGCTTTTGTCCCTTTTGATGGGATTCTATTGGAGTTTTTCAACAGGGACATTGTACACTCTACATTCTAAGTCTGCGCTGATCCTTCTTCCTCTTAAATAGTTGTCTTGTTTCTTAAATAATTTAAATAATTAAAACACCAAATAATTATCTCTTAAATTATAGGAGTTATTACATATAGGTTTGAAATTATTTATCGTTTCGAAGGTCGCACTAACGGTACCTACTATGTAGGTATACTTTGTTCATCAGGTTACTACGTTGATGGCAAACAATATCTAACCATAATTTATGAACCTACGCCTACAGAACCTAATATTCACTCACGCTTTATTCACTCACCTAGCACTTATTCACAGGTAATGGCTAAATGACTAAAAAAGGGCTGTATATATACGTACCTTCTTATACACAAATATGTTAAGATAGGTTAAGGACTGGACTGGAAAGGTGCAAGACCTACAATAAACACAATGTAGAACTTAGCCAAGTCATCATCACACATCTGTTTCCGGATGAATTTAAACAAAACCAAGATCATGTGCAATACCAACACAACATACAGGCATCGATTGTTCTAAAATCTAAGCGGAATAGCTATTCGACAATAGAACCAAGGTCATCGACATAAGCTCAAAGAATTAGTAAGCTGAAGTGACAGTGGGCTCGGGACTGGTCACAGATTCGCAGAACCGCGATGGCCGAGGGAGTATTCAGGTTTAACAGTGACTACCATGGCTTGGCATACGTAGTGTAGGAAGCCTAAATCCCTAAGTGCATTTGTATTCTTATTATATACAGGCAGCGTCATCTTTTGGCGAATTTTATTACTAACAGTACCCAATGTGTTTCATCCAAATCATTCCGGGCGTTTCAATGCAAAGTAGTAACAAACAAACACACACACACACTACAAACTTTTACATTTATATTAGTATTGTGATTAGTAAAAATTAATATTGATATTTGAAAAAGGATCAACCCAAAAAACAGGGGCGGATCTATATAGGGTTTTTGGGCTGCAGCCCAGGGCCTCTAAGAGATAACGGGTCCCCTGTTGAAAAGTCAAAAATAGATGATATTGTAAATATACAAAATAAAAATGTGATATATAAAAATCTCGTGTGATGATCGTATTCCTCCGTAACGGTTCAACCGATTTTAATAAATTTTCTCTTGTATATTTGTACACATATTTTGTGTAGGTATGAGTATAGGTCGTAAAGTATTAGTATTTTTCACCCAAAATTACAAAAATTCTAAAATCGAGATTTTAAAATGGAGAGAGGTGGGGGTAGGAACCCCCACTCTCCATTTTAAAATCTCGATTTTAGTATTTTTGTATGAACAATATTATAATATATGTAAATATATACAGACGAACCCAAGCGAATCAAGGGCGAGTCGCTGTATTACATAAAGCTAAAGAGGTTTTTGTAGATTGAACGCAGTCGTAGTCGCGGGTTCTGCTAATTTATTTATAATATAAAGGCAAAATGACAATTAGTTTAGGGCCCCAAGAAGTGTTAGTCTAAGGCCCCCCCAAATACACGGTCTGCCACTGCAGAAGAGGGTGCCAAACCTTACATAGAAACATTATCCCGACTAGTTTAAAAAAAAACTTCGACACTGGCGACTTCTCCGAAATGGTCATTAGTGTAAAAAACAAACAAACGACAGCTTCAATTGTAAATAAATATAATTAATCATAATGGAATGGCTATCGATGTGCGAAATCAGACTCCGCCATACCTCATACATTTCACTTTAATACAAAAACAAAATATACATATTGACATTAACACAATTTATTACAATAAACAAATACTGTAAAAGATTAAATTATAATAAATGTAACAACATTGTATGAATTTTTGTTGTTTCATTTACTTGACATAAGTCACTGAGGTGTATCTTTCTCCCCTCCCCCCAACGTGCGTTCACATCTCTGTTATACAACTAAGAACTTTTATGCAACTTTTGAGTAATAAACATATAAGAAAGAATATCGCTTGCTTGACAATTGAGTACAATTTTCATTACAATTTTATAATAATTAGTGTTTAAATTACCATCCGTTAATTTAATCATAATTTCTGTCTTCTATAATAACAGAAATCATTTTTTTTTATCAAGTTCCACCAAATTCCATGCACTCATGTGTATGTAAGAAGTATCATAAATTTATTAATTCGATAATTCGTATTCGTAAAATCGATTTTACACAAAGATCGATAGTTGCGTTTGTTTATAATAATGTATAATTAATTAAAAACTACATAAAAACAACAAAATATATTATGAAGGCACTTATTTGTAACAATATACACAGATATATCACAAGATTTGTGCAACATGTTCTACTGATGCGTTAACATTCTAAATTCTAAAGCATTTAAGTTTATGTGGAATTGACACAAGGAATTCCACTAAATGACTATTTTCTTTAAAAAATCTAAAGGTGAAATCGAAAATTAAACATTTAGTTTCATATTTTGTGCTAAACAGTTATACTAACTTTAAAATATTTTAATATGGTTTCTCTGCCGTTGTATGAATTCTTAAAGTGAGACCACATAACAAAGTGATTCAAATCTCAGTATAATAGGTGGGTCGGTTGATGAATAGCAGATCGAAAACGTTCGGAAACACATATGTTGTGTTAAAACCTATGAGTCCATATGTGAAGTACTTATAACTGCACTCAACTATAATTTTGTTCTTATTGTCCAAACTATCTTCGGAGTTTCTCAATTCATTCTTGTCCTTCCCGAGGAGGGCGCACACGAAGGCGTAGGAGACGGATTTGGCGATGGCTCTGGTAGCCAGCACTCCGCAGAAGCCCAGGATGGTCCGGAGAAGTGTGCAGCCGAACATTTCGATGGAGGGCCATATGATCCGGTAGGGCGGGTCCAGCTCGCTGGCCACCATGTTGCCGAGCTGGTAGTTGGTCCACGACCCCACCAGGATGCCGGCGCACACGCTCACTATCATCGTCGTGTCCCCTCTGGAAGTTACGAGCATTTTGCTCAATTAGACAATTCATGGCAGTGGTTATTTGTGAAGAGCTCAGTTGCATGCACTAGGAAAGGCATACGTCCAGCTGTGGACGAAACGAGCTGATAATAATGAGACAATTCATGGCAACATACAGGCATTATATACAGCAACCTTTGATTTAAAGAGTATTAATTTACCTCATTATATACTTTGTTGTAATATCAATGATTCATAATTGATATCTTTGAGATATGTTAGAACATTCAAGTCGGTAGGTTTTCCATATTTATATATTAATGAATACAAAAGATAATAACTATGTACTTTATGAATCGACAATCTGCAGTATTAAATACTTTCAATTAGTCACACCACCAGACATAAAATCAATATTTTCATTAGCAACAAGGCACTGGCCCAAAAACAACTTTAGTTTGATGTTTTACTCACCGAGTAGGAGTCCACTTATCAGATTGTGGATGGTACACGATAACGAGGACAGAGATCGCTATGACGAGCAACGGCGACCACTGCGACGTCAGGAGGAACCCGTCCAGCTGGTCCACTATCGGGATCAAAAATATTAAAAGTGCCGATGCTAGAATCAATCCTGCTGCTATGTCCTGCAAGGAAATATTAGATCAAAATAATATAATGAATTTACATATATTTATTTATAATAATTATACAATGCTATCAATTTTTATTTAATGTATAATACATATATTTTTTATTGTAATTAATTGTCATATGTACTTATTATTTCTTATTTTTTTCTCGCACTATTCTATGTATTATTCAATTATTGTGTGTGGAAACTTGATTGATCGATGTTTTTTTTATGTTTTGTTTTTTAATTGTATTACATTGTACTTTTTCTTTCCAAAATAAAATAAAAATAAAATAGTAAAATCACTCTAAATAAAAAAAAATTACGATTATCATAAAATATAACAGTGTGAAACAATAGCATTCCCAAGGAGGGTTAACGTCAGGCAGGCGGCCGGTCGTACAACTTTTGCAAAATCCTAGCAGCAGTACGGAGAATGTACTGCGCCGACCCAAAGTGATCGGGAAATGGGCAGGGAGAAGAAGAAAATAACAGTGTGAAGAATTGAACGTTAAGCAATGGTCTATCAATCCGTTGCATTTCACGTACTTGGCACTTCGATTACCTATCGGCCACCGGGCAAACTGCCGATTAGCATCACATACATACATGAACTTAAGAGTTAAATTGTAACTTATTTTTAAAATGAAATGTGAGTTCTTTGGTTTAACAATAAAATAAAACTATTAAAAAAAAACTGACAATAAGGTATATTAGATAATAAATTATCTGTAGCTAGGGCCGACCTCGGCACCACACCTAATAAAATAAAATAATAATATGGTTCAGGTGAAATGGTTAGGTAATCTGGCATTCTATAATTATTATGACTTTGATTATTTAAAGTTTTCACATTTAATTATTAACTTACAATATATAACTTAATAAATAAACAGTTTTCTTTTTTCTTTTTTATTTTATTTTTAAGGTCTTTTATTTAGCTAAATATTTTATAATATTAGATAATATTTCCATTGAAATGCAAACAATACTTACTAAAACACTGTGCATCCCAAGATAAATTCTGCTGACACAGATCAATGTACACCATGCAAATGATATCAGTATACCCCAATGCACTGGATATTGGTATCTATCCATGGTGTAGAACAGGATAGAGAAAGGAATGGAAACCCCAACCATAGCATGAGTGGAAGGCATGCCATATTCTACTGCCCATTTATCTTGGAGCTTCTTCACTGGGTAACCAGGTCTTGGCCATCGAATTATATCTTTGAACCCTTGACCTGAAATTCACAACAACATTTTATTCATATAATTAACTAGCGACTCACCCTCGCTCCACTCGGGTTCGTCCCTGCTTACGTTTTAACGTTTAGTATGGATTTCTCAGAGATGAGATATTTTTCCACAGTTTCCTATACGTTAACCCTGAATCTATACATATAATAAGAAATAACTGCCTCTGTGGTGCAGTGGTTAGCAAGTACGGCTGCACACCCGGAGGTCCTGGGTTCGAGTCCCGGGTCGGGCCAAGTTTAGTTATTGAGTCTTTCTGTTTAGTAAGCCTCAGTAACAGCCCGGAGTTGGGAAGTTGGCGGTGTTTATTTAAAAACAAATAGCACATAATGCATTCACAGCATGTTTTTGAGAATGTATTTGTGGGTGAATGTAAAAATTCTGAATGAACGAAATTTTCCCGTGGATCTGAAAACTTAACTAAGAATCTATATACGTACACCAGTAGCCGATCTATGAATTAGTCAATACATAGAATAGTTGCAGTCAATTATGTATTAATATATAAAAAATGGTTCCATTTGTTGGTTGTTCTTTAGATTTTTATAATTGTCACAAACAAGTACTTTTAAAAAAAGATTATTTTAGTTTTTTTATATTTACTTTTTGTTACCATAAATTATATATACAACATTATTTTTTATATTTCCTTGCCAAAAAAATTATACATATATTTAAAATTTAAAATAATAACACAGGTCTGCAATTAATGTTTTTTTAAGTATTAAAAAAAACTAATTATATTAATTATAATTGTGCTTAAAGTAATATAAAGCAATTTTTTGTGATATACTACACATCAAATTAACCAGATATTTTCCTTAAAAACCTTTTCAAGTTAGCAGCAGACATTCCTTTAAGACAAACTCCTTAATGAGCGATAGGTGTTGATGCTTTATTGCTGATATGCAATAGAAAAGCTCTCTTGATTCTTTTTGAAGTATATGAAAAAAGTCACCCATTCGTATTTAAATTGATGCCTTATGTTTTAAACAACTTATAGCACAGCAAAATACCAAATTGTCTTCTTTTAGGAAATACATACCCTACAAATTCTTAATTTCTGCAAAAAAACCAACATTGTATTGGTTTCAAAGTACCAATACAAAATGCATACATATACATATAAATGAAAATAAAAAAGAAAGTGTTGTGATGTGTTAAAACAAAGTTTATATTTAGAATACATATATATACAGATATACCTATATTTTATATGTAAAACTATGTATTACAAAAACTTTTTCATTGCAGACCTGTGTTATTAATAACAATAATCAATAAGATATACTTTTCTAATACAATTGAACTTCTTCAGACTATTATTATAAATGCAAAAGTTTACATGTATATTACTTCTTTACCCTAAAAAAGATATACAGATTTTAAACTAAAAGTACACAGATAAACTGTGACCTGGAGATATATATAGCCTACCGCTAGGCACCTAGAAACACACCTAAGCAAAGCAAGGGTAAGTTACTAGTATGTCTATAAAATTAATACAATTTCAGATAAGTATTTTTACTAACAAATAATAATATTGATATAGAAAATCAAAATGAGACATTTTAAAACTTAAGCTTATAGTAATAAATATAATCTACATACCTATGTACATAACTATAGTCCATACTAGAACTACTCGTCTCCCAACTGCACCATCAATATTCCAAAACCAGAATGGTATAAATGTAGCATAAAATATTTCATCACCAAGTTCTGTTCCCAATACAAAGAGGTAGTACCAGAATTTATTATTTATCAAACACACCACTTCTTCTTGATTTTCAGATGATGTGTCGGTCTCACAAGAAGATTGTGATGTCCCAGATATGTCACTAGGTATTCTTTTATGTTGCCTAATATCATTATCACTATCTTGTTCGTGTCTGTCGGAATGAATGATAGATTCTTCACTTGTAATATTTTTTTTATATGTAACCCCAAAGAAGTTTTGCACTTTTACAACTAAAAGAGGATCCTTCAAATATTCTATCATATTATCCCACATTTTTGGTTACCTTTAATTTACAATTTACTACTCAAATCTTGAATGTCTTAATCATTCTGACATGAACTGCAGAGTGCAGATTAATATTTTCATTTTTCAACAATTAAAATTTTATACTAGTTTTTTTTACTTTGGCCTTGTACGATACTTGAATAAAGATTAAAATATTCAATCTTCTTCAGGTTCACTTACGATTAAATAGAACGCAAGTCCACGCTCGATCACAGCTTCATCTATTCACATGATAATTGATAACTTTTTCTAGGCTGAATGGCTTCTTATCGTATTTTCAAGAATTAAACCAAAATATTATTTTTTAAATGTCTTCTACAAAGAAATTTAAACTTTATTGCGTCTTCCTAAAATTCAAAAAGAAATTAGAAGAAATAGGTACAAAAATGAATTTGACATTCCAGAATCTATAGATTATATTATGTCAAATATGACCGCAGTAATGTCACGATATTGTAATGCATAACATTACCGTGGTAATGTTATGTATTTTTTTGACCCGGAAAACCAGCTATCACCTTATCAAATTTCATCAAAATTCAAAATCCTTCCAGTGGTGTTTCTGTGATGCGGTATAACAGACATACAGATAAACAGACAGACAAAAATTCTAAAAACTATAGATTCGGCCTTTATATCGATAATGATGTTTATTTCGACTTTGCCGATGCAAAGCAAATCTAGTATATTTTGATACGTAAAACACATATTTACCTATTAGATATTCATATCTTAAAATATTGTCGGCTGGCACCGACTTCCCGACTTCGAAAATATCTGATTAGGTACCTATTTTAAATGAAAACCTCCGTTTAATTATTTTTTACATTTTAGTGCCTGGAAGTCGGTTTCTACTTTTTTTTTTAAGTTTTTATTTGTCCATTTTTAGTGTAGACGTAATAAGCAAGTTTTGTAAGAAGAAAGTTTTTTAATAACATGTTCGATTAAGCAATTTATTTAAAAAAATAATTTATTTGTGGATTTTTAAAAAAACCGCTCGACCGATTTCGATAAAATTTATATAGGACCACCTGGGAAGTATACCCTTTGAAACAAAAAAAAATTCAAAATCGGTTCAGGCGTCTTCGAGTAATCGGTGAACATACATAAAAAAAAGATTCCGATGAATTGAGAACCTCCTCCTTTTTGGACGTCGGTTAAAAAGAGAAATAGAACAAAACCAGATTTTTTTAACTGACTTCAAAAAGGAGGAGGTTCAATTCGATTGGTATTTCTTTTATCATTTATGTATGTACACCGAGACGATTACGCTGAGATTTATGGTCCGATTTACGTGATTCTTCTTTAGTTTGATGCGAAATAGTTGCCATTTGATCCATAAAAATTTAACTTAGTTTGGCTCAGTAGTTTTCATTTTATGAACATTTTTGTTTACGTGGACGATGTCATTTTATTTTAGTTTGTGTTCGGCCTATTTAGAAGTTTTCATTTGGGTTGATAATTATATATAATAATAATAATGTTCTCTTGACCGGTTCCGGCCACGGCGGCCAATCTCATTGAGACTAGCCAACTTAAGTTATTTTATACTTTTTAGTTTTTGAAGTCGGTTTTTTTGAACGTAGTTTTTTTATTCAATTTTTTTGTTTCTCTGTCTGTTTGTCTGTTTGTACGAGCTAATTTCCGAAAATTTTAAACCAATTTAAATGAAATTTTGCATGGTGGTACCTTATATCCCCGGTCAAGATTTTAAATATTTTCATCCCGGAAAATTAAAAAGGTCCCGTGGGATAGTTAAACAACTATAGTAACTTATAAAGCTTAGTACACAACAACTGAAGCACCTAATTTAGTAAAATTTGGCATTTTGATACCTTATATTGCCGGTTAAACAATAAACTACTTTTTATCCTGGACAAATGTACAGTTCTCAAGGGATAGATTTGTTTTTGTTTTTTTATAGGCGAACCCGAGCGAAGCGAGGGTGAGCCGCTAGTTGTAAAATATATTATACAAATACTTCATGTATTAAGCAGATTCTTTATCGGTAAGTTACAGAACAAGCTTCGGCCAATAAAGGGAGCGTCCATTAATCACATGAGACTCGAAAGGGTTGGGAAAGATCACGAAAAATCACAAGGGGGAGGGAGAGGGGTGTAGTGAGATTAGATTTTTTTATTGAAAGATAGGCTTGCGCTTGACTACAATCAGCGCTAGGAAGCACTGATGAGGTCTAGGTTGAAGCGCGCTTGCCTAGAAAAATGCCTGTTCACTCTAGCCTTAAAGGTACTTGGATTGCAGGTGGCAGGAAACACGGATGCTGGAAGGGTGTTCCACTCCTTAGCAGTTCGATTCAGAAACGTAGAACTGAAGCGTTTCGTGCGAGTTTGTTGGATTTCTACCACATAAGGATGCCAGCGTTCACGACTTGTCGCAGTTCTGTGGTAAAACGGTGAAGGGGGCACAAGGTTGTGAAGTTCCTGCGCGCACTCCCCAAAGTATATCCGATAGAAGATCGATAGACAGGCGACAATGCGGCGATGCTGTAGACTAAGCATGGGAACAGATTTTTTTCGTTAAACTTCGTCATTCGTCGTTCTTTCGTTGAATTCAGAAGGCTGAACAAGTTCTCCCGGAAGTATGGAATAACATGGTTATCGACGACCATGACCACCACGAGCGTAGCAAAGTATGTCGAAGCCGATGACAGTGCTGAAAGCTTTATTCAGACCTGCCTTCTCTGTAGTGGTATAACAAGCCAAGCATGTACGAGAGAGCTTGTATTTGCTTCAGGTACTGCAACCTTCCCTGTTTTTCAATTAGAGCACTAAAGCGCATTATGCGGCATAATGCTAACTTCGGATGTTCCAACTACAACAACGCTCCGCTCAATCGAGCATTTTAAAAAGTACTGCTTTGGTGTGATGCGCGCAAGGATACCAACTCAAGCAGAAAATATGAGAAGTGTTTTTTCTTCAAGGTGGCATTGATCATAATTTTGTTTTGTTTACATTACAGTAATATATGTTTATATTTTATTTATATAATTATATATTAATTACTTATATATTATTATATAATATATATCTATACTAATATTATAAAGAGGTAAAGTTTGTGAGTTTATGAGTTTGTGGCGTTCTAGGAGATATTCTCTGGATCTACTGAACCAAAAGAATGAAATTTGGTAAAAAGATAATTTACGACCCTGGAAAGGACATAGGATAGTTTTATACCAGAAATCATCCCTTAAGAGGGTGAAAATAGAGATGAAAGTTTGTATTGCTTAGCAAGCTAGGGACGAACTCGAGAGAAGTGAGGATGAATCGCTAATGAATTATATAATTTATTATAGCGACGATATAAAAAATGTTTAAAAAGACCAAAATACCGAAAGTGCATATTAAAAGACTTCCGCGATACCATTCAGACAAAGAGACAATAGCATTCCCAAGGAGGGTTGATGTCAGGCAGGCGGCTGGTCGTAAAACTTTTGCCAAATCCCATCAGCAATTCAGAAGATGATTGGGACTATGACTAGAAGATGCGCCGACCCCAAGTGATTGGGAAAAGGGCAGGGAGAAGAAGAATATCGACGATATGTATTATTATATATTATATACATATTAGTCAGTTATATTTTTTTCTTTCAACACTGAACCTAGTGCCCTCTGCTAGTACACTTGAAAATTAATTCACGTTCCTATTAAGCATTAGCACACTTCGGCATTGTGCGCCAAAGTACGGCATTATGCTCTCTAATTGGAAAACAGGGCTTAATGCCTGTCTGGACATTTTTATCACGGTGCATTAAATTAGACTATATCTGTATTTAAAGATATATTCTGTAAATTTTTAAAATACTTTGTATCAAAAAAAAATACACGTGATTTTGGATTGGGGGGAGAGTCCGTCTAAAAACTTAACACGTATTATCAGGGGGAGGGGGGAGTTAAAAAGTTGCTAAAAAACATCACGTGATTAATGGACGATCCTTATGTCACTTGTAATGTTGTTTCTATACTTCGACCGATTCTGAATTCTTCTATGATGATGAAGATTCTAGTGCAATTGTGTGCACTTTTCTACATTGTAATGAGTAATGACATATAGTTGATATTAAAATAACATTCTAATACATAGTTCATAAGTTTCTTTAGATAACTAAATAAAACCATACTTACCGATAGTACGAACTACGAAGCAACTCTATTAATAAGATTCTTTCTCTTATTATTATTCTCGCACTTCAAAATGACACGTTAAGGCATAGTTGAGGCAAACTAAGAATATTAGTAGATTATAGTCACGTGCGATCTGACGCAAAGTTCAAGTAAGTATAAATCTGCCTAATAGTGGCGTATGTGCGATGCCTACTTACTACTAAGTACTCCTTTTGTTTTTTATCCTCTTGTCTTTTATTTTCCGTGGCCAATACCAATATCTATATCTCATGATGTTGTCCCCACACAATTTTTTTAACCCATTAGATATCTTAATATACGTTATTTGATTTAAATATCGATTTAATATAGTATCTCTCTACAATATGTATAGGTATCTAATAATTGTTACTTTTACATAGTTCGATGTCTTATTATGTTTTATTCTTAGGTTATGATTGAGACTTTGTAGTTTGTAGTATAAGAGGGTAGAAGTAAGGAGAATCGACTTATATAAGAAACAAATTGAAAAAGGGTCCAGTGGTGAGCAGCAAATTGTAATTCAGAAACTCACCGATATAAAACTAGCGTAGCAAATAGAAGTGATATGAATTTAGCAGTTTTTAACGGATTGAAGTGTGCTGAAATATTATTACTTGAAAATAATTTGTAACTATATTCTATATCGGTGTTTGCCTATGTTAGAACTATTTTGAAAAGTGTGCCACAACAAAGCGAAATCTTTCTTTCGTTGTTTAATTCACCATCATACTCTTTTGGCTTTTGGCGCTATGTAATAAATTTATCTGCTTGTTTTCTGTGGCGCCACCAATTTGATGCTTGTCAGTGATCACTTTTTATACAAGAGAAGATAGTCCTCCTTCCTTCTACCCTCCATAATTTGTAACTTTGTAGATGTTAACTTGACAGCTACTAGCGATGCGCGACTGCAAATGATCTGACGATTCGAATCATGTACTAACTCCTTATTAACAAATTCGATTTGAATATTAGTAATATACTAATGTTAATAATCGAATAACTGTTACTAATTAGTAATTACTAACGGCACTTCTACTAAATTGATCGCGACTCCGACTCAGTCGCCAGTTTGAAATGAAATACAAATGAATGAATAATTTGCCGCCTAAAAAAAATTAGACAAACTTGTTAGTGTTACTTAGTAAGTAGTAAAAGTTTACTTGCTTCCCCTTACCTGTGAGGTGTGATTTGGTCATGCGCCGTACGTAAAACATACATAGAAGTTGTCAGTCCAAGGAAACATATTACGCATACAACTAATACCTACTTAGCGACAAAGTCGAGCAGGTATTAGTTACTAACTTTGTAATTCATTCGAATGAGTCGAATGATTTATAAAGTCGCATAAGTCGACTGGAATCATTCATAGTCGCGCATCACTAACAACTACTACGTCAATGGTCAGACGTCAGTATTTGTCATTTGACTACTTGTCATTGTCAAGTTTGAACTTTGACAATTGACAATAAACTGAGATCAAAGTGTATTTTTGACCGCAAAAATAATTCAAATTACAAATTATCTACCTACTCGAAACGATAATATAGTTATTGACAAAAGTATTAATCTTCGAATGCGGAGATTTTATTTTACATTTATGATTTACCTAACCTAAGTGCTAAGTTACTATCAAAGTGACATATACTCGCGCAAATTGTTGATGTAAGTAAGAACTAAAAACGTTATTTCTAATATGAATGGTCTAAGTAGTCTATATAAACCTTAATTTAAATACCTATACAGTGTTCATTTTTAAACATGTATTTATATTTAAAAATAAGAGAGTACAAAATATTTACACCTTCACGACTATAAATGTATCTTAGTAAAATAAATAAGATGTTAACTGTAATTGTAGTTAGGTTTAAACTAATTATATTCATTTATACTTAAACTACTTTCTTAAATATTATTTAATTTATTAAAGTTTTTTAATTCATAATAAAAAGAGTTTTTTTGAAGTTTTTTCATAGAATCCGCTTTTCCTTCTATTAAAGTTTAATATTTTATTATTAAACTAGCGGCTCACCCTCGCTTCGCTCGGGTTCGTCGCTAGATACGTTTTAAATAGATATAAATAGTTATTAGCCAGCGTTAGCCATATAAATCTTATTTTTTTTTGTTAATAATATTGACCAGTATTGAAGTTAATATTTATACAATACTAACGTCACTCAATTGTTTTGCCTTCCCGGAACTTTTCCACTAACAATTAAATTTTATGGTAGGTATTAAAGTTCAAATTGACTTTTAAGTATTGTTACAAATCTTTCGTATGGGAGTATAGAAAAGTGTTGTTTATAGACTTTTACAGACAATTTTTAAAATTTTTCTCTCCGTAAGAACCATCCTCGTACTTCAAGGAATATTCTAAAAAAAGAATTAGCGAAATTGGTTCAGCTGCTCTCGAGATTTGCGCTTAGCAACACATTCAGCTATTCATTTTTATATTATAGAAGATAATGTAACTTTGATAACTATAAATAGTAATACTGTAAATAAAATGAAATTAGAATTATTTTTTAAAGTTTATGTACTAAGATCTCTTTTTGTTATTGTTATTTTTGCCTTAACATATTGAGATTTAATTCATTTTTTTCTGGTGCTGAGTATTAAAAAATATATATACAAGGGTAAAGTGAAAAGTTCTTTCGGCCCCACAATGAAAAACTGTGATTTTCAGTTAAAGAATGACTTTATTTCTCTATATAATCTCTCTTGACTTCAACGCAACACTTGGTCCAGTGTTTCTCCAACATCAGTATTTCTTCCTGGAGCCTGGACGAGTCTGGAAGGCTGTGAAAATATTCATCTATTGCCCCTTTCAACTTCTTGATTCACTCGGATGTGAAGTGCTTGCCAGAAACAAATTTCTTTAAGTTTGGGAACAGATGAAAGTCTGAGGATGCCAAATCGGCAGACCAAGCAAATTATACCTCAAATCTTGCAGTTTTCCCATCACCAATGCTCATTTGTGATCTGTTGCATTGTCCTGGTGAAAGATGATTTTTTCTTCTTCAAGCCAGGCCTCTTCTCACGAATTTTGGCATCCAGCTGGTCAAGAAGGTTGGAGTAATATTCGACTGTAATTGTTCTGCCTTTTACAAGTTAATCAATTATTAGGATCCCTTTCGCATACCAAAACACACTAGCCATGAACTTTCAGGCAAATATAATCGACTTCGCTTACTTTGACGCTGAACCACCGGCTTCCATCCACTGCTATGACTGCTGTTTCGTTTCTGGCGTGTAGTAGTGGACTCATGTCTCATCCTATATCCCTATTGAGTCGGTCTAAATATTGCTGCGAATGTCGTTTGCGCATTTGCCTTTGATCGGAATTTGGCAAGTGCGGCACTTTCGCACCCTTAATTATTTGTGCAAGATGTTTCGTACCCTTTCTTCCGATAACCCCACGGCCTCAGCTATCTCTCACCTTCCATCACGATATCACCTTATCCATTGTTTCCGGTGTGTTTGCGGATTTTAATCGTCCTTCACCTGGGTCATCTTCGAGGGCCATTTAAATTCAGCTGCCCCATTTGCCGTCTATTGAAGGAGCAGAGTCCTCGTGAACTTTTATCAACCTCGAATGAATTTCCTTAGGAGTTAATCTGTCCAAAACGAAGGGTTTTATGACCGCGCGATATTCAAATTTATCCATTTTCACGAAAAATACGCAAGACGCTTACTTACTGCATAAGATCGTGTAAATAAACTGCTTGAGAGAACAAGATGAAACTTATCAATTGTCATACAAACTAATGACACTTCCGTCATTTAAATAATTCTTTTTTTGTTGGGGTGTGTCAGAGGTTGTTTAAGTATAAAAATAATAGGGAAAACCCAAAAGAAGAGAAAATCGAAAAGTTCAGAACTGTTTATTTTGTATGAGAATTTAGAACCTAGCCGCTTATGCGTGTAAGTGAGACTAACCAAAAGCGATTGAATTTTGTATACTTATATAGATTTACTTATTATATTACAAGCAAGTTTCATTTAATAGATTTTTTGATATTTAAGTATTGGAGTGGAGTATTAAGTTGATTAGGATTAATCGCTGATCAAAAGTTATAATCAAACAAATTTTAGGGGAAACGGAGTTTACCGGGTCATCTAGTATCAAAACCAAAGGTGCGTTCACCTTGTCGTGGTGGGGTACTCATTAGGGTCCGGTTATTCAGCCGGGCGCTAAGCCATAAAACGCACTGGGAAGCGGCCCACCTTGGTGGGCGGTGTACCGTTGCTCCTGGTACTTATCTTATAACAGAGTGGACCGTAGGAGCAACCCTATGGTTGTTATGGTCTGCTTCGTCAGAAGTGTTGATTGCGTAAGTCTAATCCAGCGATGCCTTATTAAGACGTTATGCCTAAATGCATTTCCCAACGTTAACAAAAAAAAATTGACCCTCATCTCCGAAATTTTCGTTTTTGGACTTTACATGGCTTTCGAAAAATAAAGTTATAAAGGAAAGACAGGGGTTCACTTGTGGCATACCTATCCTACACAGTATTAGCAAGACATATCATGTGAATGGTGAAATTCGTAAAAGGAAAAACTCGTTTCATTCGGTATTCATAGTGAGCGCATTGTTCCTTTGGGCTACCACTTCTTTATTTTCAGCTTTCAGTATTGTTCTGCGGGCAGAGCTGAGGAAGGCTGCTACTATTCTATACATATATCGTAAAGCAAATTACTATATTATCTGTATATGTTAACAAAAGGAAAAGGAAAGATTAAAAGTTTAGTAAAAACATTTTTCATTTTGCTGATTTATTTAAGTCTCGACCTTTAAAACATTTTTGCTCAGATTTATTTGTAGATTTTGTTATTGAATACAATAATGTTAAAATATATATTAACTATACCGTTATTACTTATTGTGTATTAAAACCACCACTTAGGGGAAGCTGCAAAATATATTAATTAAGAGTTTATGCAAAATAAGCATCAACAAAAGTCAATCAAATCAAGATCAACAAACCTTTGTTGATAGATCAATGGGGATGAGAGAGATAGAAACCTTGTGAACATAATGCAGAAAGTACTTCATGGATTTTCGACTGGGAAGTGTCCGAGGAAGAGTGCATGTAAGGCTAAAATGCATAAATAATATAATGTACACTTTTAGGCGTACATATTCGCTTACAATATTACGCATAACATCATTCCGTTTGGGCTAGCCGCTAGGTGATTATGAATGCGTAATTTGTTTACATGTCTAGACAATACATTTGAGAAAATGATTTCCGAGAAAACATTAACGTAAATATTTGTTACTCTATTTTCTATACGTACACGCTGTCATATTTTAGTGAGAACATAATTGTTGTGATGTGATTGTAAAGATGTACTAAGAATAACATGATCGAAATAATACCAAATGGTTGTAAATTATATCTTGTAAACTGTAAGATTCCGGAATAATATCGACATTTTGTGCTACGCAGAAGTTAAAATGTTTCGCACTAACTGATAAGCTTCCAATTATAAGTTCATTCACAATGAGAATGGGTGAGTGCGGACTGCGGACGTCGCGCCGGTATCTCGCCAGTTATTGATAACATGCACCAGGCACCTACACACAGTGACACAGCGTGAGCGCGCTCCCCACTCGTCTCTTATAAGTGGCGCTACTTACTTTATAACTACATATACGTTTTATCAATCCTTCTATGTTAACTAATCTTTCTATTTAAAAGGTCAAAGAAACCATTTAATTTTTTGGTTTGGCCAAACGAATTTATTGGTAGGTACCTACCTACCAGATTTTTTACTTGGATGTCAAGGACCCTGATTATTATTATTTCAAAATTAAAACTATTTTGAAATGATATCTCAGATAAAATATATTTTATTACTTATTAAAAAGAACTTTCCAAAAATACTTAGTATTTAGTTAATCTCGCCTATGAGAAGAGTGTTTTCCGAAAATGTAGAGCAGTATCCATATGTAAATACTTACTGTTCTCTTAAGCCATGAAAGCTTATATATTATCCAAAATTACTTTGAGTGAATCTCCAAACTATATAGAAGTTACAAAATTATTTCTTTTTCTAATAAATTAATTTAATAAGTAATTCAATTTAAAGGTGCAAATATTTTACATATGAGTAGGTACCTATAAACTTTAAAGGGTTTTAAGTGTGTGCTACCGCGCTAAACAAGTAGGAGATATTTTAGTGACGATACTGATAAGGTTTCTTGAAGTCAGTCTTTGCACGGCCGGTCCATACAGCGTTCGTAAACATCGTTGTAATAGAGTTATTCATATATAAGTTATATTGGAATTAGCGACATATTACAGTTTTGATATAAAATGTTAGATGTACAATGATTACTTAGTGATAAAGTAAGTAGGCCACATTTATTTCATACTAATTGTTCAGCACTTGCATCATGTCCGGGTGCTTTCATTCCTAAGTATTCATTCGTAACTGCTTGTATTTCTTTACTTTCTACTTCATGAATTACGAAGAATATCGTATTGGTGAAGTGGCGTTGTATCTACTAACATCATATTCTGGTCGCTGTGTCGATTTTGCATGCATGCATATGTACATATATGTGGCATATGGGCATAGTTTTATGTCATTCTTCTAAAGTGTAAACTAATATATCTATGCTGTACATCCTGCATTATTCAAAAAATAAATAAACAGGGATAATAATAGATACCTATTATTTATTTAGTTACCACGTTATTAAGTTAGGTATATATGAATAAGTTTTTGCAATGCTTAAAACACATAAAATAAATATAATAATATCATAGAATATATTGTTGTAAGTAGTATGTACCTACATAAAATATACATACAAGATCCATAGAGATATAAATTAAAATATAAAGTAAATATGGGTGTCTGTACCTTGGCATTAAATAAAACGTGTTTAAACGAAACGAATTAATATTACAGATATTATTAAATTAGTGCGCTAGTTACATCGTAGTTATTCAGATGCGCTAATAACTAAACCCAGCAACGTGTTAATTTAAACGTATTGTAAAATTGGCACATTCATGCATATACTCGTACTCGTCACTTTATACTTTAATTATAGATTGTTATATTCGCTTATCTGATATTATATTTAATTAATAGATATTATTAATATAAAAGAAAATATCATCGTTTTAGGTATACGTGCAGGTTGGCTAGCGGCGACCATGGCGGCGGAGGAGGAGCCAGATGCTTTAAAGATATATTGGGAGAAGTTCTTCAAAGCGGAAACCGGAACTTATGAGGTAACTAATTCATCTATCAATTATTACCAGCAACCTCCCAGTTACTTTTAACCGACCGATATCTTCTATGGTATGCTTTTACGTGATACCATATATAGGTCATTATAACAGAAAAACTTCTGTTATCATGCGGTCATAAAAATTCTTACCCTTCTCTGCGGAAACCTGTTTATTTGTACAATTTTGTATCATGCTAAAATTTGTCTGTTCATAAAACAATTATCATACCGATATACATAAAATAATAATGTCAATTAATTAGCTGTACATACATATTACATAAATATATTTACATATATTATGCACCGTAGGCTGCGTACGTGTAGGCTAGATATTTTGTATCTACAATTTGTAATCTTATGTACCTAATTCTTATAGGTACGTAAACCTTAAAAGTAGAACTGACAAAGTTAATTTCACATAATACATTTCCTTTATTAAAACATACGCATTCTTTAGATATACATTCGAAAGTGGCATAATGTTAATGATTCAAAAAACAAAAAATCTAATTTAAAAATATGAACATGCGTGTAAAAGTCCTGCTAAGTATGTAAATATGTATATGTTTGCTAAATAAATTGTAACAAGTGCTAATATTCGATATATTTTGAGAGAAGTTAGTGAAGGACATATGTATGTACGTAATACGATTCTTTTGGATATTTGTCGAATATTATGTTATAATATCGATTTCAGAAATCCACATGGCTAGAACTGTTTCTGGCAGAGTTCATCATACGTCTCAATGAAGGTCAAAATCCGAAAAAGTTAATAAATTTTTGGTAAGATTATTTTGTAATATGATTCACTCTTCGCTAGCGTCTTGCGCTGACACAACGTTAAAACCATAAGGATAAAACCAAATATGCATGTATTTCTTATTAAATAAACTTTCACCTGATATGACATGTTAAAGTTATCAAAATGACTGACTTAATTACATTTTCATAAGTAATTAATTAATATATTTTTATAACTAAAAGCCTCTGTATCAATTCTCCTCCTCCTCCTATGTATCAAAGATTACATTACGCGTCCAGTTTAAATTCTGAGTGTTGTTAAGTCTTAGAGTAGACATAATTATTATATATTTAAATAAATAAAGCGATATAACCGAACCCACTAGACCCCAAAGACATTGACATACACAGACCGCAAAGTTTTTGTCCCAAACGTGGCTCTAATCTGCGACTTGCGACTTGAAAAAGTTACTTCTACCTCAATGCCAGACAGTATAATAAAAAGTGTTAAGTGTTATAATAAAAACTTAAAAAAAAACGACTTCCAGGCACTAAAATGTAAACACTAAACGAGGGTTTTCATTTAGAATAGATACCTAATCAGATATTTTTAGAAGTCGGGGCCAGCCGATGCAAAGCAAATCTAATATTTTTCGATACGCAAAATACATCACAAATTGATGTATAATATTTTAACTATATCAGAGTTCCTACCTAATCATATTTACCTATTAGGTATTCATATCTTAAAATATTGTAGGCTGGCACCGACTTCGACTTCGAAAATATCTGATTAGGTATCTATTCTAAATGAAAACCCCCGTTTAGTTATTTTTTTACATTTTAGTGCCTGGTAGTCGGTTTTTATTTTTTGTTTGAAGTTTTTATTTTTCATGTTTAGTGTAGATGTAATAAGCAGGTAATTTGTAATAAGGAAGTTTTTCAATAAAATATTCGATTAAGCAATTTATTTAAAAAAAATAATTTTTGTTGATTTTTTTTAATAACCTCTCGACCGATTTGGATAAAATTTGAATGGGACCACCTGGGAAGTATACCCACTCTTGGAAACAAAAAAATATATTTCCAAATCGGTTCAGGCGTCTTAGAGTAATCGTTGAACAATCATAAAAAAAGATTCCGACAAATTGAGAACCTCCTCCTTTTTGAAGTCGGTTAAAAACCAATATAAAATTATATACCTCTCTTTCATTTCGTAGTCCAGTGAGCGGCGTAGTGTCGCTGGTGGGCTGCGAGCTTCTCTGCGGCATACACCGCGTCACATCGTCCATTAACACGCACTACTCTCTGTCGAGCATCGAACCCGCTCTCCCGGCTACCGATGTCACTGATAACAGTGCTGGTTGGTGTCATAATCTACATATATTTTCCTTTTAAACTGATACTAGAAAAAAGTAGAATTTCAATTTGAATGAGTGTACTTTTTTCTAGTGTTCTAACTTATTTATCTATTGTGCATTTATTTTACTGATTCTTTCTTGTGGAATATGCTACAACGTGTTCATCAAGGGTGATAGAGTACCTCTGTCTGAAAAAATATCCATCTAAGACATTCACGCCGACTTGGTAAAGACATTGGGGATTTGTTTTATCATATTGTACGGCTGACGCTGTCGCGAGAAATTTAAACTTTTATGCCTTTAAAGGTAGACAGATTGTGTAATTCGCTTGTGCGGTTTACTTACAATGAAACATAGATGTATAGCCAATACAAATACCTGTATGTGGATATCGAATGATTGTAATCCTATGCTTGAACTATTTCTTATTTATCTGAGGTTATCTTTTGGTATCTATCTCTTATCCATTTAAGACGTTCATTTTAATGATTAATAATAATAAACAATAATAATATCATATATATTGCACTCGTCTATTATTTCATATACATATATGTATTTACAAAATATAGATAAGTGCATGTCTGACTGACTGAATGGTTGAGCAGTTGTAGAATGAAAGTGATGTACCAAAGCATATTATACATATAATAATATTGAAAGATGGTCATATTCATCATAAGTCACAAAAATTTTGTTACCACTGAGTCTTAATAGGTTATAGAACACTGAAATAAAATCACTCTTCAGATGTGAAAGCAGAAGAAACAAACCCGCGGCCGCTTAGCGTGTTCTCGCGCATGAACGCGCAGTCCTCCACCGCCATCCTGCGCAACTACCTGCTGGCGGGCGTCGCGTGGCGCTGTCTGCTGCTGCTCAGAGCTCTCGGAGTTGAGGTTGGTACCCGAATTCTGACAACCATACTCTCGTACTCTCTCTCACACACACACAATCACACGCACGATTATATATGGACATGTGCCCACACAAGCAAACAAACATGCACACGCAAGTGAGCATACGCATAACAAGTAGCTCATGGCACTTGTGGATAACGTAACTTTATAACTAAATCGGCTGCCGCATCAATTGTCGTTTACCTTCTTCACTAAAACACATATTTGCGTCTTGATAATATTGATACAGGGGCTTTTGAATTAATTCAAAATTTATTCTACGAATATCTGTTTCACTTCTGCACATATTCCTCTTCTACTAATGGACTTGGCGTATTAATGATATTGTGATGATTAGGATTACACATCGATCAAAAAAGTACTCGATACACAATCCCCCGCAAATGTTCTCGTAAAACTGTCACCAATTGTGTTTAGGTAATTATTCTAGTTGAAATAAAATCATAGTAAATAGAACCTTAAATGTGATGCTTAAAGTTGTTTTCACAAAAAAATAATTAAAAGCGCACTCAAATGTTCAAATGAGCGCTAATTCGGTGAGGACCTTTTTTGTCGGTGATTGTGTATCTCGTACTTATTTGATCGATGGGAAAACAGGATAAATTTAACTTTGGAAGTACATGAATTAAGTTGTACTTTATACTTAAATATATATCATATTTTTCATTGACTTAATGATGGCCCAATTTATACCTTACGATCAACAAACGACAAATCACATTTTATTGAGCTAATTATATTAAAAATTTATTCAATTCATCTATACGTATAATAAAATTGTAACTAAGCCGAATCTGTACATTAAATATTTTTTGGGAAATCTTATTGAAATAGACATTATTATTTATTATCGATACAGAGGTCGAATCTATAGTTTTGAGATTTTTTGTCTGTCTGTTACCGCATCACGGAAAAACCACTGGAGAGATTTTGATGAAATTTGGTATGATGATAGCTGGTTATACGGGTCAACATATAAGATACTTTTTACTGCGGGAAAATATCTCATTTCTGAGAAATCTATACTAAACGTTAAAACATAAGTAGGGACGAACCCGAGCGGAGCGAGGGTGAGTCGCTAGTTTTATATATTATTTGATTAGAAATGTCAATATTTTTCTCGAATCTTTAGACGATGCGACATGAGATAAACCGCACTAACGATATTCAAACAATCAACGGCGCTATGTTTTACATTATAATATCAATTAACTGCGTACGTCAAGCGTTTTACGGCCTGAGACTATCTAAGCGACGCGCAGGCAACTCCAAACCTTATGTAATAGCTTTTGAACTTTTAAATTGCATAAATTGTGTCACACACTATGCAATTATGATGTGGACATATTTACTCGTATTAGCAAGTTCCGCGACCGACCCCCGATAACCGACATAATGTCAAATATATTGTAAGTAATTTGTATTTTGACCCCGCGGAAACTTTTGATTTCGTTACTTGCAATGAATTATACATAATTATATTTATTTATAGAATTCGATAAGCTAAAGTTTAAATGTTTACACATTTGTATGTGCGTATTTGACAAATATTGACATTTTTCAAATGTACATTTATTTGTATGGGGTAGTTTTTGAACCAAGTCTTCAAATTTCCATGACAAAACCTAAAACACGGAAGCCAGATAGGTGTCAATCAATCAGATAGTTCATATAATTATAAAGAAAGTTTATAATAAGGCAGAAAGACTGATAAATAAATATATTATAAAAATAAAAAAACCCGACTGCATAACAGCTAACTAAAAAGATGAAAACAAGTTCATGATGGAATATAGTATTATGCAGTCGGAGACATACACGTTTCATCCTTGCCGCGAGATGTATATATTCGTCATTTATAATATATTTATTTATTTACAGCTTTTTAAGTATTTTTAAGTAAGATAATTGCGAGAATGGTTGTTAACCAACTTTAAATCATTATATATCCTAAACTGTTATTTAAAATGAAAAATGATGAAAGAAACCTAAAAATGATTTTTAAATACCTATTCAACGATACCCCCCTTGACATAGTTCATCGATTTTCATTTTTTTTCTTTTTCACATTATGGAATCTAGCAGCCCCCATATTTAATATTTTTATGTCACCTATCTAAGAACACTTAGACTAATGAGACGAATCTAACGATACCTTAATTAAAGAAATTTGAGTGGTTTAGAAGATATGCGGGAATAAAGAATATTACAAACAAACAAACATACAAAGATAGCCGCGAAAAACATAACCCTTTCCTTGCAGTCGGGTGAAAAAGACGCGAGAAGTCGTCGTAGAGAAATCATATAACATTACGTCTACTATGTCAACTAAGGAGAAATTATGTGAGAGATTAGAATTAATGGGGGTACACGAGCTATACTGTATATTTATATGAAAGTCCTATGTATTTGCTGACATGAGATATTCTGGTTGCATATAAATCACTTTGCGGGCGAAGCCGCGGGCAATTCTAGTAAATAATAATTAAAATTTGGTTTATTTTATGTTTATCAAAATGTAAAACGTACGTATTCGAAGAGTACCTCATAATTGCCGCCCCTCAGGGTCTGTCATGTTGCCGCCAGCTCAGCTCGGTGTTGATCTGGCTGTTCGGGGAGACGTGCGCTGGCGCGCCCGAGGCGAGGGTGCCGGCCAGCTCGCCGCATGTCGTCGCGCCGCGCCCGCCGATACATGAACTATTTTCTAACAGGTAATGAATTGTTTTTTTTAAACATATTCGTACATATGGATATTGAAGACAAACTAAAAACTATTTTTTTATAGGATATGGTCCAAACAGAAACCCATCAATATTTCAGGATCAAATCATTCCGCAGCGTCTTCGGAGAAAAGTTATATATCTGGGAGGTGAGTGAGTTATTTTTTTTTACATTTAATGTGTTTTCAATTTAAATTTAATTAATATATTAATATGTATATGTTTTATAAATGTCGTTTTTATACTTTTCTATGACAGATCGCGAATAAACGGTCAGACTAGATCAGAAACGGACAGCAAACTTAAAAAGAGATCCAATAAAACTTCTGAACAGTCATCGGATTCTGGAGACTCCAATGACGACCTACAAATGTTCAACAAGTCGATGAGCAAAGTGTGCACCACAAATGATGATTTCGAATATTTCAACTCGCCACTACGCTCCTCCAGTGACTATGCAAATCAAACTCTGTACTCGGATCCTTTTTATTCGCCGCGGAAAACAAAACCGAAAGCCGACGACTATATGACAGATAAGCATCGTGAAATTATAAATTCAGAAATAAGTACTTTTGAATTTACTCTAATAATAACGGATTTGCTGCAAGAGCTGTGTAAAGCTGAGAGCAGTCTATCCGGCTCGGAGGGGTCGCAGATATCGATGCAGTGCATAAATTTCTCCCTTAAGAATTTGTGTACTTTACAATTCGGGTCCTTACCGAATTCGGCAATCTACGAGCCACTAGAGATGTCCAAAGTGAAAGTTGCATTAACTGAACTATTAATAGTGTCACTGGATCAAGTGCTCATTCATTCGGATTTGTGTGCCAAATTAATTAACAATGGTATATTACCGATGCTCCTTAGAATTCTAGAAGACGTTATTTGCAAGTCGAGTGCCAAATATAACGAAAAAAATTATAAAGAAGATAACAAAGACTGTGAAAATAGTGAGACTGAATCTGGAAATTTGCTCAAATTCGTATTCGGAGTTGCGTACTCCATTACGGCGTTTTTCCATTGCCTTCTGATGCAATGTCGGTCGGTGGACAAGCTTAGGGAGTTCACCGACCAGTTTAAGTTGTACGGGGAGTGCCTCAAAGGGGGGCTGTTCAGGGAATGCATAGAGCTGATGGTGAGTATACCGGCAGCACAGGAGGAGACCGTGACGCTGGTGAAGAAGCTGATAGAGTCGATCGCAAAGCTAATAAGCGCCATGAAGCGCGTGCGCAGTGAGGTTCTGCACGCAGCGGCGTGCCCGCGCGCGCGCCACGCCGCGTGCCGCGCGCGCGTGGCGGCCGGCGCGCACCACCACCACGCGGCGTTGGGCGCGCCCGCCGCGCCCGCGCCCGCCGGCGCCGCCGCCTGCGCCGTGGCGCTGCTGGGCGCTGCGCTGGCCGCGCTGCTGCCGCACGTGCGCCTGGCCGCGCGCCCGCCGCTGCGCGCCGCACTGCTGCGGGCGCTGCTGCGCGCCGGCCTCTGCTGCTGCTTCTCGCCCAGCTTCCTCATGGAGAACGTCGTGCGCCTCATGCTGACGCACGGCGCTGCCGCTGGGCCCTGCTTGCAGCTTCTAGAGCGCACCGTGTACGGCGACCTGGGTGCCGGCGTGCTGCGGCCGCGCGCCACCGACCAGCTGCCGTGCGCCGTGTGCGAGCAGGGTGACGGCGACCGGGGGCTCGGCCGCAGCTACTGCCCCCACGCCGCCGGCCCCGTCGAGAGGAGGAGCATTTGGTCGTTTCTGATACACTATAACTCTCTGCTCCAGTTGGACAACCACAACAACGTGCTGCACGCGACTGTCAGTCATTTACTAAAGGTTACCCCGAAGTGTCGCATGGAAATGAAATACGAACTTCTATTCAGTGTTATTTACCCAACGTTTATAGTCGCAAAACACAGATACATGATGAGATTGGAGGAATCTGCCTACTTCCTGACCGTCTCCTGCCTGAACATTTTTACGAGCCTGCTCAATACTGTGCCGTTCGCTGAACAGTTCATACAGAAAGGTGGATTGAGTTACGTATTAGAATTGGTTTCTTTACCAGAGTTTGCTAACCAGTGTTGTGCGATCCTGGAAATAGCAATAATAGTGGAAATATTTAAATTAATGAAGGAAAACGAAGAACTAACGTATTTTAGAGAAATGAGTTCATTGGCATCCGTTCAAATGCTGTTCAAATCCTTGTCCGACGTCACCGAAAAGTGCATCAAAATATACGAAACGAAGCTACCGCCGGAAAAGTTCGAGGAGCTGTGCGATATAAGTAAAGAGTGTGAAATGCTCGGTATAGAGATGAGCGAAACCGAACAAACGAAAAAGCCATGTACGCCGGTGCCAACGAAGGCTTGTGTCGCCGGTGACGAGGGTGACGAGGGCGACGAGGGTGACGAGGAGGCGACGGAGGCGCTACGGAACGCGTGCACGTTCTGGAAGGCGTGCGCGGCGCTGTGCCTGCGCAGCCCGCCGCTGCGCGCGTGGGCGGCGCGACGCCGCGCGCTTGCGCGCTCCTACGCGCTGCTGCGTCTGGTGCTGCGCGGCGCCGGCGCCGACGACAAGCTGCGCGTCCGCGTCGTGGAGGCGCTGCTCACCGTGCAGTTCGCCGTCTCCGGTCAGTGCTGTGCAGTATACATACTTTATACCTATTTATTACCTTTCTAATTAATCATTATTATTTAATATTTTTCCTTAATGGCTTTTATTCCGACCAAAATTTTTACTACAATGAGCATCAACCCTGAGCTAAAAACTACATAATTTGCATATTTTATTTAATTGAAATAAGCGGGTATATTTGATTTTTACCGATTTCAAAAAAGTGCAATATTGAATGGATAAAGCTACTCAGTCGGTTTTATTCGGTCGGTATTCGGTTATATACTTTTAGTGTAAATTTTACCTACTTGATGTCGAATACTTTAATTGTGTATGATTTTAATAAATATTTTACGTAGAAGTTAGTTAAATCACAGTTTATGGTAGCGGTTTTATGAAATATGCAGATGTTTATTGGATTATACTTTATGCATGAACGAATTAGAGACTGGACCTGACATAAAATACAAATGTATGAAAACTAGTTCAACCAAGTGACGCATAACGCACACAAAGATTTTATTATATTATTATAAACACTGATACACAATACAATATTTCTAGTGCTTGAACGTAATCGATAATATACATATATCGATTAACCAATGAATGACATTTTAGACATTGGTTAGCATAGTCATCATAGTTTACATCTGTATTTATTATAATAAATTAAAATAAACGAATTAAAGAGGCAATAATAATGTGTCAAATAATAATTATTTTTTAATTTGATTTATATAAATACGATGGCATTGATGGCAACATTCTGTTGGCCTATAATAATGTTAATGCATAAATGAATATCGGGTGTATATTCCATTAATATATAATAAATATTATTTCGTAAAGATTAAAAAAATATTAAGCTAATTTAATTAAATAAAGTGATTTTGTTGATTCTGTTATTGAACTATTTTAATTGGCAATTGATTGTCTCGGGTGGTTATAAAAATGTGACACTATCCTAATAACATTTGTGAAATTAGGAAAAAGAAAAAGTGATTGCAAATTGTGAAAAAGTGAGTGTTGGATCGTGAAAGTAAAATAATTAGTGCAAGTGGTAAAGTGTTTTATTACAAATCGCGAACCCAGAAGTTTAGTGCTAAAACATTATTGTTTGATTTTGTGTAATTTATATGTTGAAATAAAATGATCTTTATTATTATTACAATGGAATAATATTCCAAAGTATATAAATGTGGTATAGAATAAAATAAAAAATTAAGTACACATACTAATTATAATTTTTGCATTTATATTTTTATTTGATTTAGAAAATATTTTTATAAATTTTTTGTCATCAGATTGTAGGATACTGTGATAAAAGTATTTTATGTTATTGTACTGTACAAATAACACAATTCGTTCAGTTATTTCGTCAAATATCGATATATTTTTCGACATTGTCAAGCACTAGTCGATGTCAAATGGACTCACTCGACAGTTTTGTCATTTGTTCTGAATGGTATAATCCAGCCATTTTATGATGGTTGTCAGATGTCAACAATACATATAAATATCGACTATATTTAACATAGTTGGATAATATGACATTTTATTTTACATTTAATTAAATTTTGTGATAAATAACAATAAATGTAATAAAATAATGTATTTACAAGTGAAAAGAAATGGTCCTGCTTCCGCCGTTATAGTTTTAACACCATTTAACAGAACATTTAGTCATTTTTGGGAGATGTTTTGTTGACAAATAAGTGCTTGAAACTGACGCAAAAAACAAACGACCAAGGCTAAAATCTCCTGGTTACTGACAAGACCGGTAAAGGTACGTCCGCTTATATGTCTGGTCCAGTGGTTAATTCGTTCATGACTTTATGGTATGTTACTCCATTGCATTGTCTTAATTTTACAAGTATGCTCAATTATATAATGTTACACACATTATTTTACATATAGCATGCCACGTCTTTCCAAACAAGTAATTAGATAGGCTGCGGTTAACTTGAATTCCATGCGATATTTTGCAAATGAGTCATCTAATGATCATTGTTTATCGCTTACGATCATGAATTATTAGCTATATATAAAGTATAATGAATTATGCACACATAATAAATAATACACGGAGGAAATAATTCACTCTTAACTATATACTTATTATCCTACATTGAAATAATATTACAAGGTCATAGTTGTACATAGGGAATTCTCCAAAATATACAATGCCTGAGACAAATCAACATTTCATGTAATTTTTTGACTGTTTACGTATGTATTCAGCCCCTTTTAACGTCCCACTGTTGGGCGCGGGCCTTTATCCCTTCAGTACGAGGGGATCAGGCTATTGTCCACCACACTTGCCAAGTGCGGGTTGGCGGACTTCACATGTCTTTTGAAAACTTGCTAGGTTCTCTCAGACATACAGGTTTCCTCACGATGTTTTCCTTCACCGTTAAGACAAGTGGCAATAATTTTGGAAATGATTCGCACATGAAAATATCAGACGTGCGAGACCCGAGATTTGAACCCGCTTCACTCGGTTTCCCAAGCGAGCGCGCTACCATTGGGCTACCGCTGCCTATACCTTTTTTTTTTTTTTTTTTAACGTTGGGAAATGCATTTACGTACGACGTGTGGCACTCACCAGCAAAACCAGTACTACCCACTAAAACCCAACAAAACCTTCCCCCGTCTTAATGGGGCGTCGCAGGATCGCTTACGCATTCAACGTCGACGCCCCGACGGCAGGTCTGCCGAAGCAGACCACAACAACCACGGGGTTGCTTCACAGTCCACTCTGCTATCAGAGAAGTACCAGGAGCAACCCGCATGGTACACTGCCCTCCGAAAAGGGCCACCTCCTACCGCCCACCGAAGTGGGCCTCCTCCCTGTGCGTTTCTTGGCTTCGCGCCCGGTTGGGTTGCCGGGCACTACTGAGCCCCCCACCACGACAAGGTGAACGCACGCTGGGGGGGACCGCTGCCTATACCTAACTTATTATACATATGCACATATACCTTAAAAACAGATCTCAAAAGATTTAAAAAAATAAAGCAACGTCATAAATAAAGAAAAAGAACATAAAATAAAAATATAATCAAAGCTGCAGACAGTAACTAGTTCATAAATATTAATACTCAATATGACGATTGAATTTAAAATATGTTTACTTTTTGTTACTTTATGGTAAAGCTAGTGATACCTACCCATGTACATGTAGGTATCTAGTCTTCATTCTTTATAAATGTACCTGTTAAATAAAATCTCGTCCCATAAATAGAGAATTTATAACACTATCGTGCAAACAAGCTTATTTTACGGCATACAGCTTTTAAAGTGGTATCAAGAAATTCTAAAATATAGAAATCTGTATAATAATAAATATTATAAATGTGAAAGTTTGTGAGTATGTATGGGTGTTTGTAACTGTTTCACGCCAGAACGGCTGAACGGATCTGGATGAAGTTTGGCACAGAGATAGATTATAGTCTGGAATAACACATAGGCTACTTTTTATCCCGGAAGAATATACGATATGATAAAATAATTTCATGTGGCAAATAAACGATCGTTTACATTTCCTAATGCAGTTTAAAAAGCCACAGTAATTAGATCATTTGCGATGAAAAAAGCATGTAATTAGACACTACGAGTATGTGGCGAGCTTAACCGGCTTCCTTCGTTTTTCTCTACGTATTACAATCGAGTAAGGTTAAAAGTACCTTGGTGTTAACGCTGTGTATATAACGTCACGTGTTTTACACAGTTGATTGGATTTCCGATACTAATAACGCTTGGCCCTGCCCTGCCGAGTCAGGCTGCCGGATAGGATAGGTGCAACCAAGGATTTGTAACCGTCAAACTACTATAGAAAAGATAATGTGTGTGTTATTATAATTATGCAATTACTGTTAAGTGGCTTCTTAATTGTATTTTGTTTATGTACTATGGATCAGCAGTTCTCTGCTAGTGCTTAAACGTTATTTATTGCTAAGATCCCTTCTTTTTACCTTGAGCTAAATTTTTAAGACATAAACTAAAGTTTCTGACATAAAGTTACTACTATTATTATATTAAATACAATATTACAATATAATCGTATTCCTTTTACATTATACCCAAGAACTATATTTAAGACATGAACATAGAATGCAATCTAATAAGTATATAAAATTTCCATGTCACAATGTTTGTTACCGTACTCCTCCGAAACGGCTTCACCGATTTTTACCAAATTTTATATGCATATTCAGTAGGTCTGAGAATCGGCTACTATCTATTTTCCATACCCCTAAGTGATAAGGGTGGTCCACCCCAAAAAAAAATATTATTCGGCATTAAAAAATACATACAAAGCTAAATTTTCACTAGTAGTAATATAAAAATAAAACACGGATAAGCCTCTTCTTTATAAGCAAAAGCCAATATTCTGTTTACTATAATAATCCAACTAGATGCAACATGCGGTCGGTCCAAGGAGGCGAGCTGCGCGGTGGTGCGCGAGGCTCTGAGCGCGCGCGCGCTGGCCGGCGGCGGCCTGCGCGCGCTTTGCGACGCGCTGGTGGGCGTCGCGCTCGCCGCGCCCAGCGCCACGCACGCCATGCCGGCACTCGCACCGCTCAACTTAAGGGTAGGAAGAACTTTTTTATTAATCGGACTACTAATATAATTGCAAAAGTTTTTAAGTTTGTCACTCTTTCACGCTGAAAAGGCTGAAATTTTAATGAGGTTAACTGCACACAGATAAACTATAACCTGAAACTATAGTCACTGAACATACAAGCTACTGCTATGCACCTATAGATCCAGAGTCAAGTCACTATTTTTTTTATATTTCACATTATTACAATAATAATGTAAATATCGATTAATTGCGTACTCAATTCAATATCAAATCCATTGATAAATCGATCGTCATAATAAAATATCAAGCTGAAGCAAAAATAACTGATATATAACAGGTTAACCTTTAAAATAAAAACAAAATTATCACTTGTTTTTATTTGTTTTTTCTACTCTTAATATCTTAACGGCAAACGAGTTAAGTCGTGCACAAGGTCGCATTGTAAAGATTCTACAGCTTATCCTTTTATATAAGATTAACCTAAAAACTCTTTACAGCAGGTATCCATACAACTTAATGAACCGCAGGCCGCCCCTACTTAGTTGCAAGATAAGGTTTCACGCATATATTTTGGTCGTACGAGTTTATTTATAGTGAGAAATATCTTTTTTAAATAAAGTGACAAATCAAGAGTCAGTATACTGCATGGACCGCTACAATAAAAGGAAGTTAAAACAAGATAACTGTAAAGGCCGTAATAAATCAGGGCGAGTACTCGAAATGACTTTACAAGTTGCACGTGTCCTGTCGCACGTAATCGAAAGATTAATTAATCATTAAAACTGTTACGTATTAACTCAAAACAAAACAAATATCGTTCGACTTTAAAGAGATACAAGTCGTTGATCCACTGTATTTAATAGTCTGGTTATTGTATATCGTAAGTGGTAGGTCGTGTTGATCTCAGGAGATACGCGTTACGGCTTGCACTATGAGAATTAAAAAGCCGGAAGGTATCGATCTAACGCTACACAGACCGGTCGCGCCAGACCGCAACCTGCGACCCATTGGAAGCGCGGCCGTCGTCGACCGTGCACGTGCGCGTATACGCCATACGTGAGGCTACCAAATAATATACATATGTATTATGTACATATCTATCCATTAAGTTTCTACGAAACACCGGCTCGCGGCGCTCGCTTATTAAGTGTTGTGAAATCCAAAATAACTAGCTGATGGCATAGCGTTATAAACTGGTTTGGTCGCTATTTGTCTACGATCCTAACAAGTTATAATATATTTTGTTTGTGAATGTGAAAGTGTCAAAATGTCTCGGATTGAAGGATCTTCTACAAATGGAGCCGTTTCTATTGCGGTAGGTACCTACCTCCAGTGCGGATCAAAGTTGAACGAAGATATTGGTATTAAATGAACAATTGATGCGACAATCTACGTCGTCAGATGATCTCATTAATCTCTCATATATGATCTAGGAAATCCTGTAATTTATGTACATTTTATAATAGAACTGAATATTTTACTTATATTTTATCATCTCAAGCTTTCCAAAACGATACTTAGGGAAGCTTACTCGAACTTTTAATTAAATTTGCACATAAAAGTGATTACATATAAATTGTGTGTGTTTGACATACGCACATTAAAAAAATAAACTTTAAAAACCACGTGTACCTATTTGGCTTAATTAATATATAAGAAGCGAAAAGTTTAATCAGAAAATAATACTCTGATGGCACAGTGACTATAGCCAGTTGTTAGTATTACTTGCCATCCTTACATCAATTTGCGAATACTTCAATGTCATTTTAAATATAGGCATTATGAACAAAGTAATATAACTAATTACGATTGTTAATCAAATCATGCATGTAACAATCTCCTTTGAATAAAATTTCTAGTTCTGTAATTGAAATACTAGTTTTAATATAGTTTTTGTCTTCATTTTCCAATGAGTAAATTATGTTTCTAAGAACTTTTAATTATAATTGCTATGTTTTTGTAGGACTTTTCCACTTATTCATGTTTGTTGGCTGGCAAAATCACGTGCTTTCGTTGTCATTTATTTGTCTATCATAGCCGTTTAAACCAATGTTATATTTAGGTAATTGTTTAATACCTATTATCTATCGGCACCTTTTCGTAGTGATTATAGAAGGCAACTTTATCGAAGCACTCAACGTTTGCATAGATCAATTAATTATTGCATTATCCTTATGGAAATCTAAGAGCTCGGTAAATTCTTAATAAGTCAATCTATGTGGTAATAAATTTGAAAGTACGGCCGACTTATGAATTTTCGCATAAATTCAACATTCAACATTTTTTATTTAATTATTGTATGTTAAAAATTCTACTCGCTGTTCGAAAAAATGTTTCAGTCCTGAAAATAATAAATTTACAAATTTTATTGGAATATTAAAAACTAAAACACACATTCGTTTTCATTCCTAAAATTCATAATTTTTCTAATAAAATTATTTCTCGAAAACACAAACGTTCTTTAATATTTTTTTCATTTTTAAATCTAGTAACAGAAGCTTTTAGAACATTTTCTGAACTTCTGCTGTATAACCAAATAAATGGTTATTGGCACTATGTAAGCCAGTTTGTATTTGCTTCTGGTATTAATGTAGTTACAATGTACACATGTAGTGGGAAAATCATTAGTACATATTTTTCCGAACATATGTTGTTCAGATAAAAGCTTTAGTAGAATCCATAAATACTGTTAACACTGAGCTTTAGTGAACTTATTAGTGTAGTTCTTCTGTACGGAATCGCGCCCTAAATTAGCTTAGACCTGCCCATCATTGGACAAAGTATTAGAATCCCACAGTTCAGTATTGCACAAATCTTTAATTCAAAAGTTAACCTTCTCCAGTGGTGCACAGGTTAAAGAAGTTCATTTATTCACATTCGCCTTGCACATGAGAATTACGAGCCTGTGAATATCAAACAAACTTCTAAAATAAAAAGGATTTATTTTGATTTTTGGTTCCCAAAAATTTTGGTTCCAATTAGGGAACCAACAATCAAAATAAATCCGCGAAATATTATGAAAACATAGCTTTATTTAAAATGTCAAATATTCGCGAAAATCTAAGACAGTATTATGCAAACAAACTTCCTTATAACTTACTATTCTTGTTTTTAAATTAAATGCGCACGCATCAAGTAGAGCTTAATTATTTTGTATGTTAGTGTTTCGGCATCATGGCCTCCATTGTAGAGATGAACAAGGCACGTTGTGGGTGTTAATGATACATCTGCTTATAAAACTAAATATTTAACTAACTAAAGAGAATTCTAAATTATTTCGATGATTCATTTTTAATTTTTATACTTTTTAAAATAAACATATTTTTAAATATTACCTTGTAGCATATTTAAAGGTCAAAAATTGGCTAGTTGACCTAGTTTTGCGCACATATATATCTTATATATAAAATTTCCATGTCACAATGTTTGTTACCGTACTCCTCCGAAACGGCTTTACCGATTTTTACCAAATTTTATATGCATATTCAGTAGGTCTGAGAATCGGCTACTATCTATTTTCCATGCCCCTAAGTAATAAGGATAAGGGTGGTCCTCCCAGACCCCACCTCAGGGACGAACCCGACCGGAGCGAGGGTGAGTCGCTAGTGTATATATATATATCAACTCGTATCTATCTGAAGTGAACTTCTATGTCTCTGAAAAACCCATCTCCTCTTTTATTTTTAATATTTTTTTAATATACTTTTAAATCCATCGCCACAAATTTAATTTTGTATTAATGCAGGTTACATTGATACGAATGGAAATTTAAACCGTTATTCAAAGTTATAGTTTCCTGTTTGATTCTAAAGCCAAATCGATAAAACATTTCAATAATTTTATTATTAGTATACCTAACGTAGTGAGTTAGGCATGTTTTGACCGGTTTTCAAGAGGATATCAATATCTATAGGAAGGAAAAGCTATCTGCTAACTCGAGCGCTAGCTCTGTAATAATGACAATTTAATTCTCATTCGTCTCAATTGCAAACTTCCATATAATAATATTGCCTTACACAACGTACTACCTATTTATTTATAATTGGATAAGTGGCTTATGCGAAATTTAAAATAACCACTAACTTGTTTACCGCCGATATTGTGTACGCGTTAAAATACAGTTAAAATTTTATAGCAGATTTCACAAATAACAACATTTTTTTGAAAAACTCTTATAACATTAAGGCCTTCCTTCAAAAATTTGAAAATTTGCTCATTCACTCGCTTCTTTAACGTTTTAAAACACTTATAGTGTAATTTAATATCCTTAGGACTTATGTTTTTATCGATCATAATCATCCCACTTTCACTTAGGAAGATCAGACTTCCGGACATTTCATCGACTTGGGCAGAAAACTTTAAGCGAGGAAATATACCTTTACTCTCTATTTATTACGATGAGGAATAACCTTAAACTATAAAGTACTAGACGATTAATGTAGAAATAAGCTTAAATACTTATTATGGGGTGAAATAATCTAGTGTTACTGTTCATATTCAATTCATTCAGGTGCCCCCATTGTACTGCGGCTCGGGCAGCAGCTCGCCTGATTGCTCGTCCAGCGAGGAGAGCGCAGTGCCCTACGCCAGCGAGAACAGCGACCCTCGACCTGATGACGGTTACGAGGTAATGGTAATATGATATTCTCTTATATACTATATGTATATGTGTATGTGTATGTCTTTATGGGCTATTTGTTCATCTACATATATGTTTTGACATTTACTCACTGCTAACTAATCGACGCAACACAACAAAATGTTAAGGGAAGGGTTTTTCATTGACTGTCTTGTAATAAATACATATATGCCAAAGAGGTTTACCTATATATGTATGTACATTATTGTTTTAATATGTTAATGCTATGCATGTATATGCATATTTAATAAATTGTTATACATATTTTTGCAATCATAATTCGTGTATAATCTATGTTTATTTCCGTAACAGTAATTTAGACACAAGTTCTTTTTTTCATCGTAATTTAAGTACAATTTATTTTAAGGAAACGCCAACATTCATTAGTATATATTTGACATAATAATATCATACGTGGTTAATGCAAGAATATTCTCCGTATTGTATATCTACCGATAAAGGTTCATCTAGTGGTGAATTACAGCAAAATGAATAGCATAAATGTATCTTCCACTTACATTTGGCCAAACGATGGGTGAGGAACTTTCGAAGATTTGAGGGTTTGGCGCAAACGAACATTTAACTTTTTAGTTTTGTAAATTTTTTAATAATAAATAAATATACATATGTTAGGACATTAACACACAGCACCATCTATTTAGTTCCACGGTAGGCTATGAGGCTTGTGTTATGGATGCCAAATAATTGATACACTACACATATATAACTTTAAATACATACATATTATAAATATAAACACCCATGACTGGAGTACAAACATTCGTGCTCATCATACACATAAATGCTCCCAACGGGACTCGAAGTCGCGACCACTGGCACAACAAGTAGGGTCACTACAAACTAAGCCAAACGTGTCGGCATAATATGTAATGAAAGAAGATAAATGTATTAGACAGATATCCACTGACCACTGGTACCTTATAAGATGTGAAAGTTGTAAACAATTGATATAAAATGTTTTATACGTAACATATAACGTGTTAATTTTGGTAACAAGGTTGACAAGTTTTACTTTTAGCGTTTCTGTTACTTTGTAGCTATTTTTGATATTTTAAAGGAGTGTGGCGTGTATTTTGAAAGAGGGTTCAACAGTGATTGTTGATTTTCTCATGCTCTAAATATTTGCACAATTTATTTTTAAAAACTTTGTGCTTTCGTAATGTATTTCTATTTGTAAGGTGTAACACTTGTTTGCATTGTTGTTGCATCTAAATCGTTATAAGCGATGTTCGTGGGATAGTATGATAAACCTTGTAACTGGGGCCCGACCAATGAATTAACGGCGTAAGCTACATCACTGCCTCGAACATTAATAATAATAGGTATCCATACTAATATTATAAATGTGAAAATGTGTTTTTTGTATGTTTGTTTGTCCTTCTTTCACATCGGAACAGAGTGACGGATTGGCGTGATTTTTTTGTGTGGAGATAATTGGTGGGCTAGAGAGTGACATAGACTACCGACTATTTTTACTGCGAGAGATTATCTCATACCGACGGGAATACACGTTATAACAAAACCAAAAAATATATATTTATGACCAGAATAACTTGCAACTTAATATTAATGCTCTTCAATAGAGTTAAATAAATACGTGTTCAGTATTTTTTCGAAATTCATCCCATAAGGGGATAAAATAGGGGATGAAAGTTTGTATTAAGCCTACCCTTTTAGAGTTTTTTATGTTGTAGTTTTAGCGCGAGCGAAACCGCGGCTTCTGCTAGTGTTCTTATACATTAAAATTGCTTTGATAATCATATAGATAAGATATGCATACCTTGAAATTTTTCTCTGCTAATGTATCTATGTATTTGTAAAGACAAATCTAGTTTTGAGTATTAACATACATAACTCTAGCTTACATTAATTAGCAAATCTATAATACCTACTAATGCAGACATCTATTGAAACATAGTTTTTAGATTTCAAACGATTTGATTTAGATTTTTTGGTCAAATATGTATGGATATTAAGATATCAATCAAGATACCTATATTTTGTAGTGATTATTATTTGTCTTCCATATTGTCGTCGGCGTTGTCCGCTCGCTGTCTTTTGCTAATGAAACTCATTATGATGGATTTTAAGCCTATTACGAGTTACAGAGCTTAAGTCTGGTCTGCGGATGACGCGTATATGACAAGTTTATAATTTATTGTACTAGTTTGCGTAGTACCACTTACTACTTTTAATTTGATGTTTAGGTAAAAATTTCCACAATAACATAAAAAATCCAGTTATGCCGATGACGCACTTGAAGCGTTGCTTTAAGAGATTGTAAAATTATTATTTACTAGCGACTCACCCTCGCTTCGCTTGGGTTCGTCCCTAGGTACGTTTAACGGTTAATATGAATTACAAATCTTTAAATTTCTCGGCTTTTATCATTTTTGTACTATAATATGTATGTATTATACATATAAACCTTTCCCTTGAATCACTATCTATTGCTGAAAACTGCATTAAAATCGTTGAGTAGTTTAAAAGATCTAAGCGAACCGATAGCGGAAGTGACTTCATTTTATACTATGTAAAGATTTATTACAAATTAATGTTCTAATTTAATTCTAATAGGTACTCTATGTAAAGTATATAATTAAACGAAAGTTAAATTGTTTTTTTTTATAGGCAGATATTGAAATCGGCAAAGTGGATGCGACTACATATTTGAAGACAGAGAAATTATCGGAATCGCTGTCCATGTTAAATAATGGTTCATGTAAGTGTATTTACTTTGTTAAATAAATTACACGTAAAATTTGTATCATCCGTGGCGTCTCTAGGACACTTTTTGTGTCAGACCTTCGTACATATATCTAACTGTAATGCTATTATTAAAGAACTTCCTTAAATCAACAGCTGATTTACAATTTCAAATAAATAATAAATTTGAAGGTTATAGAAAAAAATATTATATATTCCTAATATTCTCCTAGAAAATAATTTTCCGAAAAATATTATATCGAGTTTTAAAATGATTTATTAAATAAAATCTTTAGAGTTCGACATTATATAAATACAATCTGAAGTGCAAATATTCTATGCATCAGACATTTGAAGTTAAGTATTGTATTATTTAGTGTAAGTTTTCTATAGTTATATAAATGTACTTAAATAATTGAATTACAATTTGAAGAAACATTTTCCTCGACATTGTTGCAACGGAATATTTTTTTTACCAACAATTTAAAGACTAAAGTTCTCGAACAAAATCTATACGTTCACACATACGTATATGATCAATTATACGTTATATCAGTGTATTTGATCAATTATTTAACCCGTAGATATGCAGACACAAGATGTGATAAGCTCGGAGTGCCCCGAGTACGGCAAGGGCGCGGAGCTGGCGCACCCGGAGCTCTGCGTCATCGTCGTGGACGTACTGTCGCAGCTCATTGACAAGTACGTACTAATTAATTAATTATTGGTATTGAGATTGCGATGCAGGACATATTATTTAAGGTATTCTCTTGATGAGGTGGACTGTTTATGAAGGATAAATTCCAGTTACTACTGTCAGTTTTTGCAACCTAATGATATTGGGTTATTTACAAGCTACTTAAACTAGCCACCGAAGCAATAAGCTAGTGTAACTGCCTTCATGGTTTAGCTCATGAATAGTGTGTACGGCTGCAGATGTTTCTGGATCTGCAGGTCCTTAGTTTGAGTCCTGTCCCAGTCCCAGTTTTCTGTTTAAAAAGTCTCAGTAACAACCTGGAGTTGAGAAGTTTGCGGTGTTTTATCCTGTCGTCCCAATGGACTTTGAGAGTGATAGGAATTATAGAGAGTGTACGTTGTCTCCGTGTATATTCGTGCACTAAGATATCTCCCGCATGCTTGGGTACTCTCAGTAAGATTGTCTGCCGTGGCTGAATCGGTCAGGAGGACATTAATTCTATAATTTGATCGCGACGTTAGAGGCTAACAACTAATAAATACTTTATAATCGGGAAATATTAATGCGAACAACCGTACCAATAGAGAGTGTAATGAACATTAAGAGGTGTGTGTGCGTGCGGCAGGCTCCTGGCGCAGTCGCCGATGGACCGGCAGCAGAGCGAGGAGGTGTCGCGCGTGTGCGGGGCGCTGGCGCGGGCGCGCGGTGCGCGCGGTCTGCTGCGCCGTCTGCTGGCGCCCGCGGCGCCCGCCGCGCGCCTGCTCGCGCGCGACGACCCCGCCTACACCGGTCTGTGCCACTCACTATACAGTATTGTACATACTATGATACCATTACCATTAAAGTATCTGTTGTATTAGTTTTTTTTATAATTTATAAGACATATAGAAACTTTATGGTGGAACTATAAAAAAGAATAAAACGAAAAATGATGTGAGACATACCTATAGATGATTCTCAAGCTATCATGTAGTTTTATTTTAATTAATCTATACATATAATAAAATTGTAACTAAGCGGAATATGTACATTAAATATTTTTTTGGAAAATCTTATTGAAATAAACATTATTATCGATACAGAGGCCGAATCTATAGTTTTTAAAATTTTTGTCTGTCTGTGTCTATTACCGCATCACAGAAAAACTACTGAAGGGATTTTGATGAAATTTGGTATGGTGATAGCTTTTTATCCGAGTCATCATATAGGATACTTTTTACCGCGGGAAAATGTCTCATTTCTGAGAAAAAATACAAAAACTGCAATTTAAGAGTATACTACTACGTAAAACCTAAGAATTTGGTTTTTGGTCACCTGAACGCGGATGGAGCCGCGGGCAATGCTAGTTGACGCATAAATTAAATTTAAGATTTTGATATATATTATGAAATGGGCCTCTGTTAACATATTTAAGATCTTTTTGTAAATACATATTACCTGAAATAAATGATTAAATAAATAAAACAGTAACATATCATTTCGAGTTGTGGCACGTATTGTACTACAGAAGAGGATTTTTAAAAAATAGAATTTTTCAACCCATTAATTTTTTTCACAAATTTCTTAATAATATACTTTAGACTTTTATAAGCATTTTTGTATCGTAATTTTTACATTTTTTTTTAAATTGTAATAAATTTCATTATTCTAGTCCGTGAGGAAGCTATCATCGGCTCAGAATTGCATTGTATGTAATATTGGGAATTTTTTACTTTACAAAGGACTTACTATTAATTAAATACTATTTACAGATTTGAAGTACATTAATTTAGAGAAGAAGGAATTCATTGATTTTATGAAGGTGTTTAATTTGATCCCTCCCTCCTCCTTTGTGAGATGTAGTGGGTTCGATTTGAATCGAGATTTTCAATGACCCCCGCTTTCTTTTAATGAGATATAAAAATTTTGCGTACTCGTTCTCTCCTTTTTGATCTAGCATACATTACGAATGCCTTTTAAACGGAAATAATAATAAAATTTTCATAACATTTTAATTGAAATTATCTCTTCGCTGAGAAAGACAATATTAGACATGACGTGTTGTTGTGGCGTGCGTGCAGAGCTGCAGCGCAGCGTGCTGGAGCTGGCGGTGTCGGCGGCGGCGCGCGGCGTGGAGGCGGGCGAGGTGGCGGCGCTGCTGCGCCTGTTCGCGGCGCCGCACGCGCCCGTGGCGCTGCTGCTGCCCGCGCTGCGCCGCCTCGTGCCGCCGCGCGCGCACACGCCCGACTGCGCACTCGTCTTCCCCATCACGCCTGACCCCGTCACGGGTACTATATACTATAAACTCGTACAAATAATAATTTGTAATCGCCGCTCGATGATGTAAATTCCACTACAAAAAAAGTTTTTTATAGTACTAGGTACATGTTCGAGTTTAAGATTTACATACGAAAGTCCCGTCAACATACAAATTGCTCTTAATCTTGTGGATAAGGTAGTTTTGTATCACTGCTCTATTTACATTTTACCTGTGGTCGACAACAATTTAACTCAAGTTGCATGTGTTCGCTTCGTAACAAGATATCATAGATAAATATTTTTTAGTAAATTATTTAATGCAAACACAAAAAAGATATATCGTAATATAATATATAAACATTGCAGAGGACTACCCACTAGATGAGCCGGTGGGCTCGTCGTACGCGCAGCAGGCGGAGCAGGCGGCGCGGCGACTGCGCCTCGCACACTTACGCGCTGGTAACATTTGACATACATATATAGTTTTGCATTATGTAGTTTTACCAAGTGTGAATTTAGATTTTTATTTGATTTAAAATTCGTATTTATACTATATATTTCTACAAAGGTAACTGTAAAAAGACTGGAATATTGACAATCTACTCCTTTAATATACCTCCTATAAAAAGTGTGTTTTTTTATTTCTACATCTAAACCTGGTATAGGGCATGGTAAAAATTGTATCAGAAATATATTTGTCAGTGCCAAGTTAACATAGTATTTGAATAATACTTTCTTAGATTTACGCATAAATCCGCGACAAAATCCGAAAAGATAGTTTTATTTAAAATAGTATTTGAATGTATTTAATGTAATAGGAGATATTAGTTGTTATATAAAGTATGTAAATAATGAGGGCTGGGGAGTGCGCAGGCGTGGCGTCCCCGTGGGCACAGGGCGCGGCGTTCGCGGCGCTGGGCGGCGCGGGCTGGGCGCCGTGGCTGCAGGGCTTCGCGGCTGCCGTGTGGCTGCGCCGGGAGCCCGCGCCGCACCGCGCCGGCCCCGAAGGTAACGCTACTACCACCTGCCATCCAGCTAACATTTTTCTATATTTTATACAAGCAAATTACCCTCGCTTCCCTCGGGTCCCTAGGTGTGAATGATTCAGTAATACATTTGTACAAAAAACAAATGACTAATGTAAAAAGTATGTTATGAAATTACAAGACAAAAACCTATTTACAACTATCTATTTTAAAATAAGTATCTACGTAAAGAAAACACCAAACCAAAATACTACCTTTAACATCAAAATGATTGATTACGTGAAACGAAATTAATACAATTGCAACCTTCCATAAAATATACTGAAAAAATCAGACTTTTGACTATATAAGTATCTAATTAGGTACCAATGGCAACGTTCAAAAAAAAAGAATACCTATGCAACCACCTGATTGTAAAAAATAATGCATACAACAAAAAAAAAAAAAAAGTGCGTGTATGAATGTGTACACGCGCAAGAAGAAAAACTTCTGTAGGTTATCGGTACTCCTTATGAAACTTAATTTATGTTTTAAATAATAGGGATTAAAGTATGAAGTTACCGATTTGTACTGAACATTGAAATTCGTTTTTGACACGTTTGGGTCAGTTGGTAGTGACCCTACTTTCTGTGCCAGCGGTCGCGGGTTCGAGTCCCGCAGGGGGCATTCATTTGTGTGATGAGCACGAATGTTTGTACTCCAGTCATGGGTGTTTATATTTATAATATGTACGTATTTAAAAAAGTTATATATGTATAGTGTATCAACTATCTGGTATCCATAACACAAGTCTCGTAAAATGTAAAAAGCCAAGTAAAATGTACAAAATAACTAAACGGGGGTTTTTATTTAAAATAAATACCTAATTAAATTTTCAAAGTCGGTGCTAGCCGATGCAAAACAAATCTTAATATATTTCGATACGTAAAATACATATTTACCAATTAGATATTCATATCTTAAAATATTGTAGGCTGGCACCGACTTCGAAAATATCTGATAAGTTATCTATTCTAAATGAAAACCCCCGTTTAGTTATTTTTTACATTTTAGTGCCTGGAAGTCGGTTTTTTTTAAGTTTTCATTTTTCCATTTTTAGTTTAGACGATTACGTGCTCATTAGAGCAAGTAATTTGTAAGAAGAAAGTTTTTCCATAACATATTCAATCATACAATTTATTTAAAAAATATATTTAGTGTTGATTTTTTAAAAAAACAATTTAAAAAATTTATATGGGACCTGGGAAGTATAATAAATACCCTTTGAAATAAAAAAATCCAAATCGGTTCAAGCGTCTTCGAGTAATCGGGGAACATACATAAAAAAAAAGATTCACTTTCTAATTAAATGAATAAATACACGAGTTATAATGTTCCATAAGAAAGTATTATGAATATATATTTTGTTGTCAGGTGAAAAAGATGAATGGCACGACTATCCTCCGGATCCAGATGAATATTTGAAGTCTCCGAAGAAAGAACAAGTGTCGAAGCAGACGGATCTTCTCCACGTTTTTTCAGTCGGCCATGATTCGCTCATGTTCGAGCTGTGGATCAATACTAGTAATGGTGAGACATAATATCGTACTATATTATATGACATTTGTGCGTACACAAACATATGTGACGTTTTAGTCATTTATCACAGCACTTATTTAACAATATATAAGGTACCTATATACTAAGGCCACTATAGATAGGTATTATGAAATAAAACTTCCAACTAACTTACAATGTCGCACACGTCCGCTCTCAGTGGTAGTTGGAGTCCAAGTGTCAAACGATAACACTTTTTCTTCTACCTAAGATCGGTGTGTGCAACTATATTATAAAATATAAATCATCACAATATAGATGCATGTATTGCGTTGCATCAGAATATACCTTTGACACCTTACGACCGCTCCACACTATAGTGCCGATCACAGTCCGTTCTCGGTCAGATATCGGTCTGGTAAAGTATGTATTGTTATACAAGAAACAATGAATGCATTCACACTATCAGTAAGAGTCACGTTTCGGTCGAATCACACTCCAGCATTGCAACTCTTGTATTGCAAAACTTTACCAGACCGATATTGAATCGAGAACGAACTGTGGTCGGCACTATAGTGTGGAGCGGCCCTTAAGAAAGCACGTTATTGGATGGTATAGCTAGTAGCCACAGTCTACTTATCCATACAGTGATCTTGGCATCTCGACAATATTATGGGTGAGACACGACGGAGGCGCTCCCGACTGTCATACACACTTTATATGACAGTCGGGAGATGGCTTCTTGGTCAACGGGTATAACTGTAACCTGTCACGGGATGACACTACAGCTTTAACTTCGCCATGAGTGTTGATATTTTTAACAATCCTTGCATTTGGTGGCATTTTGAATATAAAGGCGATAACTATATGTATGTATGTGTCCCCTCGAAGGCGAGCTGGCGGTGCGGCTGACGCGGCCGGACGCCGGTGCCAACAAGGTGGTGAGCGCGGCGCGCACGGGCGCGGCGCTGCCGCCGCGGCGCTGGCGCTGCGTCGCGCTCAACGTGGCCGAGCAGGTGCACAAGCGCCGCATACACATACAGGTGCCCGCCCGACACGCCAGTAACAATAGCACACACAAGTTTTATATATAAATTATTATTATTTTTTATTTATAAATTAAAAAATAACTTTTATTTACAGGTCACTCTTTATATCAACGGTCGGGAAATCGAAACTATGTCGTTACCGCTACAAGGTACACTTTTAATACATAACACATCGCTAACAGTATATTGTGCATATTCAGTAACAATAATATATGTCGTATTGGCAACGCTCGCAGGCATCCTGGTGCGCAAGGCCACGCCCAGCACGGTGGTGGTGGGGCACGCGGGTGCGGGGGCCGGGGGTGGCGCGCTGCAGCTGGCGGCGCTGCGCGTGTTCCGCGCGCCCGCGCTGCGCGCCGCCGCCGCCCTGCACCTGGCCGCGCACGGGCCCGACCAGCCCTGCCAGGTACACTTACGCTGCGCCACCTACATACTATCATACCTCGCTTTGTAAATTACAAGACATTTTTTCTCGCTAAACCCGCAACCCCAGACGCTCAACAGTAGTATATGTGTTACTCCGAGACATAGACTATGTCTCGGAGTCTATGTAGTATCTATGTATGTATTAAATTTCATTTAAGTCCGTCCAGACGTATCAGCGTGAAATAGTAACAACCATAGTCCATACATACATAATAGCCCGATTTATTCATTACCATCGTTATTTTTTTAATGTTTCAGATTCCGTGCGAGACAGCTAACTTCGCTTCCATTATTACTCCGGAACTATTGGAGCTAGATATCGACTGGGATGCGGTGAGCGAATATTTAACCTCAAGTAAAACTGAAAAACATTTATAACATGAATGTTTATAAGCTGATACTTTCCAGGTGTATGAAATTTCGAGTCAAACTCTACGGGACATGCACGAGAACTTGTTGCTATCATTTTTCGCACACACTCCGGATATTATGAACCTATACCATCAGACGCCGGCGTCGCCCACAGGTCAGTGTTGTTAGAAAAATACATCTTGTTATTGGCGATATTTTTAGGGCTTTACAACGTGTGTAGATTTTATAGAAACATTAATAATATTTACAAAAATATAAAATATGTGGGGAACAATATTTTAATTATATATTTTATTTTAAATATATTAATTTTCATTTAGAATTCCTATTTATATATTTTATAATTTTATACATAGTCAATATATTAATAGTTTCTAATATAATAAAAATATATAATTAAAATATTGTTCCCTACATCTATATTATAATTTATTTTATTGTAATTTATTAAAACATAATATTTTATTTTACGTTTAACTTTGAGGTAACTTTTAAAAAATTCTAAGGGAATAGATCTACATATTGGAAAAATTGCGGGTGCAATTCAGAGGGCGAGTGGTCGATAAGGATAAAAATGGTTCGAAAGGATTAATTCTATACAGGGAAAAAAAGAAGCTTTAAGACCTTCACATCGCGTTCTGTGTATTGTGTGTATGCACAAAGAGACATCGCTCTGTTGCTCTCTCTTGATATCTTATATTAAAAAGAATAATAAATGTATTTAGTGTTTGGTGGTCGCGCGGCGGCGGCGGGCGGCGCGTGCGGCGAGGCGCCCGAGGCACTGCGCGTGCAGTGGGCGGGCGCAGCGCGCACACTGCCGCACCGCGGCCTGGCGCCCGCGCTGCTGCTGCTGGGCGGGCCCGAGCTGCTGCTTTACGTGTTCGCCAGGGTGAGTCGCTCATATTCTTCTTTTTATATATAAATAAATAATATATTTTTAGCATGAACGAATTAACCACTGGACCAGACATATAAGCGGACGTACCTTTAACGGTATTGATAGTAACCAGGGAATTTTAGCCTTAGTCGTTTGTTTTTTGTGTCAATCTCAAGCACTTACTTGTCAACAAAACATCTCCCAAAAATGACTAAATGTTCTGTTAAATGGTGTAAAAACTATAATGACGGAAGCAGCACTATTTCTTTTCACTTGTAAATACATTATTTTATTACATTTATTGTTATTTATCACAAAATTTAATTAAATGTAAAATAAAATGTCATATTATCCAACTATGTTAAATATAGTCGATATTTCTATGTATTGTTGACATCTGACAACCATCATAAAATGGCTGGATTATACCATTCAGAACAAATGACAAAACTGTCGAGTGAGTCCATTTGACATCGACTAGTGCTTGACAATGTCGAAAAATATATCGATATTTGACGAAATAACTGAACGAATTGTGTTATTTGTACAGTACAATAACATAAAATACTTTTATCACAGTATCCTACAATCTGATGACAATAAATTTATAAAAATATTTTCTAAATCAAATAAAAATATAAATGCAAAAATTATAATTAGTATGTGTACTTAATTTTTTATTTTATTTTATACCACATTTATATACTTTGGAATATTATTCCATTGTAATAATATTAAAGATCATTTTATTTCAACACATAAATTACACAAAATCAAACAATAATGTTTTAGCACTAAACTTCTGGGTTGGCGATTTGTAATAAAACACTTTACCACTTGCACTAATTATAATTTTACTTTCACGATCCAACACTCACTTTTTCACAATTTACAATCACTTTTTCTTTTTCCTAATTTCACAAATGTTTATTAAGAACTGAGCAATATTAGGACAGTGTCACATTTTTATAACTAGCCGAGACAATCAATTGCCAATTAAAATAGTTCAATAACAGAATCAACAAAATCACTTTATTTAATTAAATTAGCTTAATATTTTTTTATTCTTTACAAAATAATATGTATTATATATTAATGGAATATACACCCGATATTCATTTGTTCATTAATATTATTATAGGCCAACAGAATGTTGCCATCAATGCCATCGTATTTATATAAATCAAATTAAAAAATAATTATTATTTGACACATGATTATGGCCTCTTTAATTCATTTATTTTAATTTATTATAATAAATACAGATATTTTAAATTAAAAGATGTAAAATATGATGACTATGCTAACCAATGTCTAAAATGTCATTCATTGGTTCATCGATATATGTATTTTATCGATTACGTTCAAGCACTAGAAATATTGTATTGTGTATCAGTGTTTATAATAATGTAATAAAATCTTTGTGTGCGTTATGCGTCACTTGGTTGAACTAGTTTTCATACATTTGTATTTTATGTCAGGTCCAGTCTCTAATTCGTCCATGATTTTTAGTTTCTTCTGAAATGACCAATTAAAATATTAGAAAAATAGGTAATAAAGTGTATGTATGCGCAGGTGGTGGAGCTGGACGGCAGCGCGGCGCAGCAGGCAGAGGCGCTGGGCGTGGCGCTGCGCGCGGGCGCGGCCGACGCGCGCCTGCGCGCCGCGCTGCTGGCCGCGCTCGACCTGCTGCCGCCCGTGCTCGCCTCGCACAAGTGCCGCGTGTCCCACCACATGCTCAAGGTACGCCGACGCCTGCAGGCCAATCCTATGGTTATGGTAGTGATTATGTATCATTTCATCATTAAAAATATTTAATTTTAACTTTATCTTAAAAGGTCAAGCGAGTCTTAATGTTGCCTTTATATAGAAAAATTGTATTCGTGGCTCGACTTATGGCAAATATGATTAGTGATGTAATCTATATTCGTGACAAAATTCATTGAAATCAATCATCGGGTAAAAGTGAAAGCTAACAAACACGTAGACAGAGTTACTTTTATGTTTAATATACATAATTTTTTTTCAGATCAAATTAGCTTGAAATTACTATAAATCCTGTATAGCACCATGTTTTAAAAACTTTAAAAAAAGTATATAGGGAAGCATATTTGTGATGTAATAACGACTGAGACGCTGTGTGCAGGTGATCTTGGACGAGGCGTTCAGCGCGCCGGTGCTGGCGGCGAGTGGGGCCGGCGTGGTGCTGTACGCGCGCGACGCCGTGCTGCTGGAGCCGCACCTGCTGCTGCTGCTCATGCAGGCCTGGAGGCACTTCGACACCGACGAGGTTTGCATCCAATATCCTATAGAGAGATTATTATTCGTTATATAAACTTTTTTAATGGAGCACTATAGAGTTTCAATATGATCAATATTATAAGTTATAACGCAAACATATATATTTTTAAGCTGCACCCGCACAAGGCTATTCACAGTGAGTAGGAAGTTAAGTTTCATAGTGTGCCTATGTCTCATTTGTTGCTTCCAATGTTAGTTACTATTCCTTGGTACACACATGTTGATCAGTATTTCATCGTAATTACACACACACCAGGAGGTGACGTGGGAGGAGGAGGGGTGCGGCCGGCGGCGCGGCTCCGCGTGGGTGGTGGCGCTGGCGGCGCTGCGCGCGGCGCTGGGCGGCGCGCACCACGCCTTCAACCACTACCAGGCCGGCCGCGTCGACCTGTTGCGGCATCTGCTACTCGCTTGCAAGGTAACACTACTTGTATCTACTCTTACCGTATTCTTTAGACGGTTGTGAGGTGAATTAATCTCTTCTTAAAGTATACTCTACAGATATTTTACCAGTAATAGAAAATAAGACAATAAATGTCGTTAAATCCTACTGGGCTACAGCTAAAGACAGAAATCGAACAAAAAAAATGAACACGAATTAAAAATTTATGACATTTTATGTATTTAGCCCTGTTTAACGTCTCACTGACGGACACGGACTTATCCTCAATATGAACGATATCAAGTCATAGCTCCCCACGCTCGTCAAGTGCAGGCTTGCGAACTTCACATGTTTTTCAAAAACTTGTTAAGTTCTCTAAGACAAGCAGGTTTCCTCATGATGTTTTTCTTCGACATAAGACAAGTTGGAAATGGCACAATTCGCACATGTACATGCACATGAGGCTTGAAACCTGGGATTTCAACCCCCTTCACTTGATTACCCAAGCAAACATGCTACCACTACTGTAGTACCTTCCATGACATTCTATAATTTTAGTTATTTGCTATATTTTAAAACAATTTCTATACTAAATAATGTATTTGTGGCCAGGAGCGGTTCCTGAACTCGGAGCGGCCGGCGCTGAGTGCGACGGCCAGCGCGGAGCTGGTGGGGCTGGTGCGCGCGCTGCTGGGCCGCCCGCCGCTACTGTGCCACCTTGCGCTGCTCTGCGACTTCCTCCTGCTCATGCATCAGGTCATTTTTATGTGTTAAAAAAATCCTGGGCGATTGACATTTTCAACATTTTCATTTAGATTAAAAATTACTCATTTTTAAAATATTATATAAATAATTAGCATTATAATAAATATTTATCATTATAATTGTAAATTGTAGGCGAGCGACACATTCGTGACTCACTCGCGGGCGAACTTCTACTTCCTGCTGACGACAGAGACACCGGAGTCCAGCGAGTTCAACTTTCTAAAGTTCATCAGCAAACGCACGGCGTCGCCTCTCGCTGCCGGCGACGACGTGCCCGACGCGCCCCACGCGCCTCTCGCGCCGCACGAGCCCCTCGACGACTGCGACAAGAACATGAAATCACTTATCAATATGCAGATTAAAGAAAACAGGCAACAATATATCCGTACTTTATACCACACTAAGAGTACACATAAGCTATAGAGCGCGCGCCAGCAAGTATGAACTGTAAGCACGGGTATGAACAGTTTTGAAATAGCAAGAGCGACGCTATTAGTCACAAAAAGTCAATCGCGCTGACAGTTTCTCTCGTCGGTATTTATTTGAATTTATGTAATCATGGTGAAATGTGCAGTTCCAAGCTGTAAAAATGATTTACGAAAGCCAACTAAAACGAACAAAGATATTTCTTTTCATCGGTAAATAACATATTAATCAGAAAACGCTGATTTTAACAAAATTACACAGGTGTGAGCGGGTGTTGCGGGAGGCGCGCGGGCGGGTCGACACAACACGTGTTTCCGCGCCCCCCGCTTCTTAGTTTCCCTCATTAAGAGCTAGTGTTGTACTACGTTGTACTACTCGAATATTTTGTATAATCATAGTATTATAAATTAAGGTCTTTTGTATTTGTCAAAAACAAAACCTTTAAATTTTAATGGCACCAAAGTACCTTACAATATTTCTTAATTTTAATCTTAACCTTTTTATAATTTTAATAAATGTTATAATTGCATGGAATATTATTTATTTCATTTTAGCTGTCATTTTTATAATTATTACATTTTTTTTGAAAACGTTATTAATTAGTCATCTTATTTAGTGTTGTCATTATTATATTTATAAACATAAAAAATAGAATTATTCAAGCCACATTATTGTGAAATTTAAAAAAATTAAAATGTTTAAATTAATTAAGAATAATAATTATATAATAATAACATTACGGGATTTAAACGCGTGAATTCACATTTAATTCCCGTAATTTGCGTTTAAATCCTGTAGTATAATTATTATATAATTATGGAACCCGAAAAGTTAAAGAGAATAATATATAATTTTAATTTAGTTTACTATTATTTAAAAAAATCAAAGTATTAAGCGACACTATCGCTACATAGATTAACAAATGAAAGATATTAATTTGAAATACTGTAATTTTAGATAATAAAGTCTATATGTGCGTGAATTTTTATATATATAATTCTTCTGTGAGTGTGTATGTCACTGAACTTCTCTCAAACGTCTGGACCGATTTTGATGAAATTTTTTGTGTGTGTTCAAGGGGATCTGGGAATGGTTTAGATTCACAATTTGAATAATAATTTTCATCAAAAAAATTATTAAAAAAAGTTTGAAATTTTCAAATTAAAGACGTGTAGACAGGACAACGTCTGTCGGGTCCGCTAGTAAATAAATATGTTAAATAGTTTATGTTAATATACTTCTTTTTAAATTAAATTCTAAAAGTTTTACTAAGTGCATAACTATTCAACCGCTTCACCTACAAGTATGTATCAATAGGTGTGTATAGAACATCTGCTTACGTTTCGTATAATGGAAAATGAGCGATACGCGCGTTCTGTAGCATATGTATACTCTAAGATACCACATTAGTAAATATACCTACAGAGACAAAGCTTTATACAACTGCGCATCGATAGGTACAATACTACATTTGGTGGCCGAGGAGTGCAAACAAAACCGGTTTTTCGGGCTCGAACTGCTCACAATCCAAGGTCGTTACGTTAAAAAAAACATACATATTGCCGCCTTTTGTGTTGCGCCGTTTTATGAAGCTTTATAATTTATAAGCATAGAAGTTAATTCTATTTTTTTCTAACGATGCGTTTTTTTTCTAGACAAAAATTATCATCAGCATCAGAGACTTCGGACGGTGCCACTGGTGAGTTGATGTATTAGTACTTCTATAAACTATTGATTTATCTATAATATAAAGATGAATCGCTGAATGTGTCGCTAAGCGCAAATCTCGAGTGCAGCTAAACTGATTTCGCTAATTATTTTTTTAGAATATTCCTTGAAGTACGAGGATGGTTCTTACGGAAAAAAATGCCTGAAAAAGTCTAAAAACAACACTTTTCTTTACTCCCATACAAAAGATTCGTAATAATACTTAAAAGTCAATTTGAACTTTATTTATTTTATTTATTTAAATTTATTTATTTAAATTCTAGTAAGCACTTACTTGATCTTAATAGTTATTAGTATACTTAAATCAAATCAAATCAAACACTTTATTGCGAACTTGGGTTAGTACATACATTTAGATTTTGATAATAACATATTTAATGTTCAGCCAAATTCAGCCTTACAGCATGCAATATTTCAATAATTAAAATATACCTAAAATAATACTTTCTTAGATTTACGCGAATGTTTGACATTATTAAATAAAACTATCTTTTCGGATTATTTCGCGGATTTATTTTGATTTTTGGTTCCCGACGTTTCGAATGCTTTACAGCATCCATGGTCACGGGAGAGACTGAGGTGTTACATGTCTTAAATATATCATATATAACATATAACTATCTGTAACAACTATATCTTTAAGACATGTAACACCTCAGTCTCTCCCGTGACCATGGATGCTGTAAAGCATTCGAAACGTCGGGAACCAAAAATCAAAATAAATCCGCGAAATAATCCGAAAAGATAGTTTTATTTAATATACCTAAAATTACAAACGTTAACATATATTACATAATAACATATTATTCAGTATTATGTTTAACTTCCTGTGTAATGTATATTATATCATTCTTTTTAGCTAGTTAATTACAATACCTATATACCTGTTTAAAATTATATATTACAACTTATCCAACATATAGTCTTTAACTGAATAATACGTCTTTTCTAATAGAAATTTCTTCAATTTATGTTTAAATACATTAATTTTATTAATTTCTAAAATATCTTTAGGCAAATGATTATATAAAAGTGGTCCAGTACAAAACACACTCTTCGAGAAAATATTGGTCTTAAAACGCGGGTGGCGAAGCATAGCCCTATGTCTTACACTACTACAATTTTCAAATAAATATAAATAATTATAATTTAATACCATACCATAAAGTTTAAGTGTTAGTGGAGAGGTTCCGGGAAGGCAAAACAATTGAATACGTTAGTATCGTATAAATATTAATGACAATATTTGTCGATGTTTATATGATGGTAACATTATTCAAAAACAAATTGTTTATATATAAATAAAAATGAATGTTGGTAAGCGCATAACTCAAGAATGATTGGACCAATTCGGCAAATTTTTTTTCGTATGTTCCTTAAGGTTTACGGAAGGTTTTAATAAAGAGAAAAAATGAAAAATTAACGAAAAACAAATTAAAATTTATATGGCTAACGCTGGCTAATAACTATTTATATCTATTTGAAACGTACCCAGCAACGAACCCGAGCGAAGCGAGAGGGAGCCGCTAGTCATAAATAAAAGTATATTGTATGGTACATAACATGTACTGATGTATGTCTAGAGAAGAGCTTGGAGGAGACGAGCGAGGGCGCGTCGGAAGAGGGCGAGGCGCACAGGTTCATGCTGCCGGAGCCCGCGCCCGCGCACGAGCCCGCGCCGGTGCCCGTGCCAGAGCTCGAGCCCGCGCCCGCCGTCGACCTGTACGCCTCCGGCATGTACCAACAGGTGTGTGCAGGCACACGCCGCTCGCGCTGCTAGCGGCGTTCATGTTTCATATCATTCTATGTTAAAATTAAACAGTTGGTTTACTGACTTAGATCATAGGTACACAAGCCACATTATAGATTGTGACATAATATGATTATTTTTTCAAAAAGAATTTTATGTTTTTGGGATATGGTAGTGCTGTATAATAAAAATGATATTTTATTTGCACGTATATGAACACCACCTATAGTCTATACTAATATTATAAAGAGTTAAAGTTTGTAAGGTTGTAGGGGGTAATCTCTGGATCCACTAACCCAATTTACATGAAATTTGATATGAAGATAGTTTCAGACCTTGGCAAGGACATAGGATACTTTTTATTCCGCAAATCATGCCTTAAGGGGGCGAAAATGGGGATGAAAGTTTGTATTGGGAAGGAAGCTAGGGACGAACCCGAGCGAAGCGAGGGTAAGTCGCTAGTAACTTATAAGTTTATTTTTACATCTCTATGTTTTAAATCTCTTAGATGTAAGTTCAGAATTTAATGTAAGAGTATAAGTAATAACGTTATGTGTGTCGGTTGCAGAAGGCGGTGCGCGCGGGCGCGGAGCCGGGCTGGCACGCGTGCGCCGGGCTGCTGCTGCTGCTGCGCGACGCGCTGGTGGCGCTGCCCGACGCGGCGGCGGCGCAGGCGGCGGCCGCGGCCGTCCCGCCGGAGAGCCTGGCGGTACTCGCGCGCCACCGCGACGCCGGCGTGCGCGCCGCGCTCGTGCGCGCCGCCGCCGCGCTGCAGCGCCGCGCCGCGCTCGACCCGCGCCTCTGGCTGCACCTCGCCAACCAGGTCACCCTTTTTTATTAATTGACCTTATGTTTATTCGATGTAATAATTAATTACTTCGCCCATTTGATTTTATTTAAATTTTCACGGTTTTATTTAGATTTTTGGTTACTGCTGTTTCGAAAACTTCTCTTCTGAGAGGTCCTCATAATCGTGCTTGCTGTAAAGCATTCGAATCGTTCCGTACCAAAAATTTAAATAGAAGAAAGAAATAAACTTAGTACAAAAATTATATTGTAATATTTATTTTAATAATATAATTGTCTATTTAGATTGCGCTGTATCCTTGCTCGTGGGAGTTAGCGTCAGCATGTGCGGCTTTGCTTACCAAATGTGATGAGCCGTTAGAGGATCAATTAGATGTGAGTCATTTTATATAAAGTAATTTACAAATGTCTCATTAAAAATGAAAACATAAAATAAAGCCCAAAAATATTCTTAATGTTTTATTATTATAAATTAGTCATTTTACGTTTTATTGTTTGGTAAGTACCAATATAAGAGTCCTTAATATAAGAGAGAATTTGCAGACTTCATGTGTGTTTCCAAAACTAGTTAACTAATTGATGTGCCCCCTGAACATGCAGATAGTCTGGCACAATATGTTTCTGTTTCGTATTTACAAGTTTGGTAGCACACAATTGGGAATATGCATGTATTTTTTGTTATATTTTTAATTCACTATTTACACTGTTATAACATAGAAAAAAAATATAAATACTGTTTAAAAATGCCGTAATTAAGTTTAAAAAAATATTTAAAATAGAGAATAATTTTGAACAGCTTAGACGCCGCCATTTTCGCGCGTTCTATAGTTGACGTTGTGGCGGACGTGAGGAGAAAATAATAAGGCTTTAATATTAAGCGTTTATTGAAGCGCGTATTGCACTTGCGAGACCAAGCGAGAGACTGTCGAATCAATACATATTCGATTTATAATCTAATGTAATATCTATACTTATATATTATGCTCGTTACAAATCATATTACCTCATGTTACAATAGGTACAATATTCCCCCCTTTTTAAAAAAATAAGTAAAAAATAATATATAAAGTTATTAAAAAAAATGAATACATTTTAACGCAAAAAAAAATGTAAAATGTATAAAATTAAATTCTAGACATAAAATATAGTTTGCAAAAAATAATAATATTATTAATACCTAAAAATATCATAATTACATGCTATTACAGTTTCCTTACATCTATCACAAATTATTTTTTCGAACATGAATTTTTTTACCTATTCAGCATAATTATTCACTGCACTACTCGAAATTATGTGTTTAACATATCAGTATACACTTGCACTTTTTTACTAAGACGTACACTGGCACTTAAAACGTTATACTGCAGCAGTTAAATCTGGCATGCTCTGCATTTCCTTCCTTATAGTCTCTCTAAATTTCCTTCGGCAATATCTGTATATTCCAAACGTGATTACCATAAGGATTATTAAAAATAATAAGCCGAAATATATATCAACTTTTAACTCAGAAATTTGCGAAGTATTATTTCCTCCCATTTGGGCGATTATAACTTCTTCCTTCTTTTCTTCTTTGCTCTGATTATAACCCATTATAATTATTGGCAATATAATTAGAGAATGTGAATGTGTATAGCTTCACCAAGATGCAGATTTTAAATAAATTTATCTCGGAATCTTACTACTGGCTTGCTGATTCGGCCGGATCGCGTTACTTTATTATTTACATGTGTCTCCTTGTTTGGAATTTCGATACTAGTGCTATCCCGCGTATCAAACTCTTCATTATTATTTAATAAAAATGCTGGCTTTAATCTATCAATAGAAACAGTAGATTCTTTGTCTGCCATTAATATTTTAAAATGTTTTTCTTTACGGTCTAATACTTTGTATGGTCCTGAATATGGTGGATTTAAGGACTTACATAATTTATCGCACCGTAAAAATACATGAGAGCATTTTTGCAATTCAGGGTGAACAAATATATTTTTCTGTGATTTCTCTCGTTTGGGTACTGAACAAATATTACTTATATGTTCTCTCAGTTGCTTTAAAAATGTCTCGCTATCGGAATTTAGTGGCGTTGTAGGCTCAAAAAAATCTCCGGGTAGCTTAATTGGACTGCCATAAACCATCTCTGCTGCACTGGTTTGCGTACAATCTTTTAGGCTTGCTCTTAAGCCTAGTAGTACAGTTGGTAACTCCTGAACCCAATTATTGTTTCCTCTAGTCATTAACGATGCCTTAAGAGATCGATGCCAACGTTCGACAGCACCGTTTGCCTGTGGATGGTACGCAGTTGTTCGAGCTTTCATAATACCAAGGCGCTTAGATAATTGATTGATAAGATTCGACTCAAACTGTCTTCCTTGGTCAGTCGTAATTCGTAAAGGACAACCAAAACGTGAAATCCATCCTGAATATATTTTCTCTGCAACAGCCTCAGCTGTTATGTCTCTTAAGGGAAAAGCTTCCGGCCAACCCGTGGCTCGGTCTAACATCGTAATTAAATATCTGTATCCTTTGTAAAGTGGTAATGGACCAACAATATCAATATGTATATGTTCAAAACGATTGCTTGTTGGAAATTTACCAAAAGGTGATATTGTATGCCTATGTATTTTACATTTCTGACAATCTATACATGCTCGAGCCCAGTTAGCAACATCTTTGTTCATAGAAGGCCAAAAGAATTTATCGCATATCATCTTTCTAGTTGATCTTATACTCGGATGACTCAATCCATGTACGGCGTTGAAAGCCTGCACTCGGAATTCTTTAGTCTAATATGGTCGTGCGAATTGTTTTGAAACTTCACAGTAAATTGATTCTTGACTGTTATGAAGTTGAAACTTTTTAAAACATAAATTTTTAGATTTTAATAAAACTTGTAATTCTTTATCTTTTTCCTGAGCTTCGCTAAGAGCATTGTAGTCGATGTATGATGGCATGTTAATTTCAGAAATTCGTGATAACGTATCAGCAACAATATTTTGAGATCCACTAATATGTTCAATATTCGAACAAAATTGCATTATAAAATCGAAATGTCTTAATCGACGCGGTGTATCGCTGTCTGTATAAGAATTTTTTTTCAAAGCATAAACGAGTGGTTTATGATCTGTGTAGACTGTTAAGGGGCGTCCCTCGATCAAATATCTGAAATGCTTTATAGCCATATAGATAGTAAGCAATTCTCTATCGAACGCACTATATCGCGTTTGCGCTTCGCTCAGCTTAGTGGAGAAAAATCCTAAAGGCTTCCATGTGTTGCCTTCACGTTGCTGTAATACTGCGCCAATGCAAGTCTTAGACGCATCCGTCATAAGGGCTATATTCGCGTCTGCAGCTGGGTGTGATAGTGTAACGGCGCTGATTAGGCTCTCCTTACACTGTTTCAAATGCCGCAATTGACTCATCTGTCCACTTGACTTCTGTCTTGTCATTTTTTCTACAGTTATGTAAAAATATATTTAATTTTGACTGAATCTCTGCTGCTTGAGGAAGATGTCTTCTGTAAAAATTAATCATACCTAAAAAACGTCTGAGTTCCTCGATTGTTTTAGGCCTAGGAAAATTAATTATAGAGCTAACTCGTTGTTCTAAGGGTTTAATACCATCTTTCGAAACGTGGTATCCCAGAAACTCGATTTCGTTCTGCCCAAAATTGCATTTTGAAGTGTTAATAGTTAAGCCATATTTATTAAATCGCTCAAATACTAGTCTGAGGTGTTCCTTATGTTCGGATTCAGATTTCGACGCTACTATTACATCGTCGATATATACAAAAATAAAATTAAGATTTTGAAGTACGACGTTATTTAAAAATCTCTGAAATGTTTGAGCTGCGTTTCTTAGCCCAAACGTCATCCTTGGGAACTCAAAAAGACCGAATGGCGTAGTGATGGCTGTCTTCTCTATGTCTTCACTATTGATGGGAATGAAATGATAGGCACGTGTTATATCGATCTTCGAAAATATCTTTTTACCCGACAGTAAATATGTAAAATCTTGTAAGCGTGGAATCGGATACCTGTCAGGCTTAGTGATGGCATTTAATTGCCTGTAATCACCACATGGTCTAATACCACCATCCTTTTTCGGGACTACGTGGAGTGGACTTGCCCAACAGCTCTTCGATGGTCTACATATGCCTACGTCTTGCATGATTTCAAATTCCGATTTTACCTTATGATATTTGTCCGGAGCTAAAGGTCTGGGTCGCGCAAATACAGGAGGTCCTGTAGTCTCAATATAATGAACAACAGAGTGTCTTGGTGTATCTTTGAAACAAATAGGTTTCGTTATATCGGGATACTCTAACATTAAGTCGTAATATTTATTATTTATATCCAACGTAGTAATAGATGACTCATCGTGTTGCACTATCGATGTTATAGTATCTATATTTGTTATTTGATCAATAAGTCGACGACGATATAAATCTACTATAAGCTTATGATAGGTTAAAAAGTCTGCGCCTAATATTGGCTGTTTAACGTCCGCTAACACAAAAGTCCACCGAAAAGGTCGGCGTAAATTTAAATTTAACACTAACGATTTAACACCATATGTCTTTATTTCACTGCCATTAGCTGCATAAAGTTTATATTTATCACTAACTACATTGTCATAGAGTCGTTTTTTGTACGGTAACACTGAAATATTTGCACCTGTGTCCACAAGAAAACGTAAACCACTTTTGCAGTCGGTTACGCATAAACGGTGGAACGGCGATATGGTGCAGACATCCACCCTTGGCTGCACCTTGTCTAGTTTTCCGGCTGCTCCTTCCAAGCACATGGCTCAACACATTTCTTTGCTTTAATGCCGAAACGGTGATGATAGAAACATAGCCATTTCGATGATTCGAACCTGCGGCGTCGTTGTTCGGATACTGAACGTCCGCGTGATGTAGTACGTCGCCTCCAATTACATCGAGTACTTCGATACCTTGGTCTCGATCTCTCAAGTTCCATGACCTTCACACTTAACTTGGCTATTTGCGACATAAGAAATGATGTATCATCCGATTTTTCAGCTTGACAATTTACTTCAGCAACATGTAAAGGTCTCGTGGTCTCCATAATTTTGTCAGCGATAGCTGCAAGGTTATCTAGATCCTTTACCTCGCTAACTGCCAACACCGCTCGAACTGACGTGGGTAAATGTCCTTGCCACATGATACACAGCGTTTCATCAGGTATCTTATTACGAGCCAAATCCCGCATTCGCCTAAGAAGCTGAGAAGGCTTCTGATCGCGAAGTTCCATTTCCCCCAGCAACTTCTGGAACTGTCGGTTCTCCGACTCTTCGTAAACAGCGAGCAAACGATTTTTCAAGGTCTCATATTTATGTTTTTCTGGTGGATTAAGGACAATATCGCTAACCTGCTCGATGACTTGCTTGCCCAATTTCGGAAGCAACAAGTTAAACTTCGCTTCATCGCCTAATTTTTGAGAAGCTAGCACCGCCTCACACTGGGCGAACCATAATCGCGGCTGGTCGCACCAAAATTCCGGTATTCGCGATGATACGCTGATTGTTGCCAGTTCTGAATCTTCACGTAAATTTTCCTTCGCTTGTACGACTGGTTTAGAATTGGTAGCCATCGTATATTTGTTCTTCAGTCAGGTGTTGTTTTTCAGTCGGGGTCACCAATATGTGGCGGACGTGAGGAGAAAATAATAAGGCTTTAATATTAAGCGTTTATTGAAGCGCGTATTGCACTTGCGAGACCAAGCGAGAGACTGTCGAATCAATACATATTCGATTTATAATCTAATGTAATATCTATACTTATATATTATGCTCGTTACAAATCATATTACCTCATGTTACAATAGGTACAGACGTCGAATACTTTGTATGTCCAGCAGTGTTGCAGCGCTAGGATTGCACAAAAAACGCTAAACTTCGCGCTAAATTAACAATTTTTTTTCTCTTGATCTTTAAATTATAATAAAAAACAAAAACAAAGAAAGCCTAGCCTAGATCTGGAGCCCAAAACAGTAAATGGCAACATTGGTGTCCTGTCTGTCAGTGAGACGTGAGTACTGAGTAGTGACAGTTTAGTCCATTGTTTACTACAAGTTTAAGGTGTTCTCGTTCATAGCTTATCTCACCATGAAAAAAACTCAAAAGGCAATTTATAAGTGTGCATTGTGCCATAATGCAAAAACACTATCAGAAGTACTCTTCACAAAGTGTTTTTCTAGTCCCGATAAGTGCAAAAATACGTAAGGAATGTCTAAAATTAATTTAATAATTAATTTTATTCAAATGTCCGGCCAATAAAGATTACGAATAAAAGTATTTGGGCTGCAGTTTAGTATGTGGGACGCGGCTCCTGGAGAAGTGGGTGGTATTTTTGGATAGGGGAGGTGATAGAGAGTCCAAATATATAAAAATATATTGAGGAAACAAAAGAGTCAAAAGTTATTGAGACTTAAAGTTACAACATTTCCATACATTATTTGGACATTACTGCCATTTAGACACTTGGGAATATCAAAATGTCACTTTCAATTGTCAAAATGATCTCCAGATGATGAGTCAGATCTATCATTGAATTTTAAATGAACATAAACACTTATAATAGCAATAAAAAAATAGTTTGAAATAAAAATAGTAAATGCATAGTTTTTTAATGAATTTTTAAAAATCTTATTTTCATATTGTTTTGTCGTGTTTTTTATTATACTTTGCGTGAAATTCGAAGTCTCAATAACTTTTTACTCCTACGTTTCCTTAAAATAATTTGTATATATTTGGGCTCCTTGTCACCTACCCTATCCAAAAATACCACCCGATCCGCTAGGGGTCGCGTCCCATAATCTAATTTATTATTATTTATTTATTTTTGGGTGTGGTGCCGAGGTCGGCCCTAGCTACGTCGACCAGTTATGGTCCATTGTAGCTCCCTTTGGAATGAATTAAAGTTCTCCGCTTAGTCCTGTTGACTCCAGGAACTTCTAGATTTTCTGAGCGGGGAACATCTGTATCTTTTCTGGTTGCATAATATGCTGCCCTAGCCTATGCATGCTATACTTCTGCGGTGCATGAGTGGACCGCACGAGCAGAGGATGTGCATAGCAGTTTCCTCTGTCTCATGGCATAGTCTGCACATTGCGGTCTGACTGAGGCCGACGGTAAGCATATGTTTATTGAGTTTGCAGTGACCAGTAAGTATTCTGGTTACCGCACTGCTTTTATACTTGTTGAGTTTTGAGCTTTAGAGTGTGTTTGTCCAGAAGTGGATTGCCACTCTTGAAGTGCTTTGAGATTGGTTTTTGAGAATTGAATAGGCATGTTGTTTGGCAATACCACAAAATGGCTCGGGGCCAAATTCTGGGGTTTCAGCGCCCCTTCTTGCCAAAGCATCAGCCTTTTCATTCCCGTCTATACCTGAGTGACCCGGGACCCATCTGAGGGTAACTCTGTTGGATGTGCCCAGGACATTCAGATTATCCACCGCACCCTACATCAGATCCTTTCTTGGATCCGTCTGTAAAAACAAACATGACTGCCCTTTTTGTGAGACTCTTGGTCTTTTAGCCACATGTCCCGGTTGGGAATATCTATTTGGTACTGTTTTGTGAAGTTAAACTCTGTGCTCATGCCATCCACTGGCATTTTTAGAGTTTTATGTTCGAATGTCAACTCTTTGAGTTTGTTCATATATTGCGATTGCAACCTTACATTCGATTGTGTACAGAGCCTGTAGAGGCAGGATTTAGCTTCTTTTTGCACGTGAAGATATAGCGGAGCTATGTCCAACAAAGCATTTAGAGCGTCTCCTGGTGCCGAATGAAAGGCTCCCGTGATAATTTGACATGCCATCCGTTGCACACTGTCTAGTTTACTTATAGTTGTCTTTTGTTTGGTTTTGTTACACCATACGACTGAGGCGTATGTTATGATCGGCCTTACCACAGCGGTGTACATCCAGAGAGCCATTTTGGGTTTGAGACCCCACTTTGCTCCAGCCATTCGACAACATATCCAGAGGGCCATTTTGGCTTTTTGTATAATGTTGTTGAGGTGAGAGTTCCAGGTCAACTGTTGATCAATAGTGACTCCAAGGTACTTTACCTCATTTGAAAGTTTAAGGGTTTTGCCATTGAGTCTGAGTTCAGTCAGCCTTTCAAGCTTCCTTTTCCTGGTGAATGGTACAATAACTGTTTTATCCGGGTTTATTGATAATACATTTTCCCTACTCCATCTTGTGATGGTGTTGAGAGCCCCTTGTAACCTGGTGGAAATTGTGTTAAGGCAGGGACCTCTTACTACTACAACAAGGTCATCTGCATAGCCTTGTGTATCGTAGTCGAGATCCGCCATGATTACAAGTAGTAGGTCTACAGCCAGTGTCCATAATAGGGGTGAAAGTACTCCTCCTTGCGGACAGCCTCTGGTAGTGTAAAAGTTGTGCGAGTGTTCGTTTAGCGTAACTTTCGCACACCGGTTGGAGAGCATATATTCCACCCATCTGGTGGTTGTGACATCAACACCTTTTGCATTTAATCCTTTCAGGATGGTTGCCGTAGGTGTGTTGTCAAAGGTCCCCTTAATGTCCAAAAACGCACGTAGAGCTGTCTGCTTATCCTCTAGGGACCTTTCTGCCTTGTCGATCAGAGCTACTAAGGCAGATTCTGTGGATTTACTCTTTTGGTAAGCATGTTGATTGCAGGAGAGTGGTCTAGCCACAAGATACCTTGTTCTAATGTGCTGATCGATTACTTTTTCCATTGTTCTGGTATAATGCCCCAAGCAAAGCTTGCTCTAAATAGTTTTACCAGATGCGGGATAAGGAGTTCCATGCCCTGTTGAAGTAGGGCTGGAAAAATTCCGTCTTCCCCTGCTGATTTAAATGGTTTGAATTTTTTCAAAGCCCATCTAATCTGGTTAGGCCTAAAAATGGTGTTGGCCATCTTCCAGTCGCAACTATTTGCCCTATGGATGTAGTTTTCCTTTAGGTTTGATTCACTGCCGGAGACAGGGTACGATCCTGGGAAATGGGTTGCTCTTAACAGTTTCAGCGTCTCCATCTCTGTGGTCGTAAAGGAATTGTCTCGCTTTTTTAAGAAGCCAAGAAAGATATTTGGTGTCTTGGCAAGGACCTTGTGGATTCTCGCACCTTTATGTGTTTGGGCGATATTCTCACAGACTCGTTTCCAAGATGCTCTTTTAGCTTTTCTGATCTCTTTATGGTATTTAGTCAGAGCCTTCTTATACCGTTCCCACCCATACGGTGTAGTGGCCTGATTAAATAAGCGACGTGTGGATACTCTAAGTCGTTCTAACTTTTTGTTCCACCATGGAGTATTGGTGTTAACCTTGAGTTCCCTAACAGGACAACTATTTTCATTGGCATTTAAGATGCCATTCGTTAGCAAGTTGTTTAAAATGTTAAGGGAGTCGGGTGTCTTTATTGATTTTGGGAAATCCTTAGCTACCTCAGCGAGCAGGTTTTTGAAGTCTACCCACGAGGTAGCTTTGGGGTTTCTAAGCCTTATAGGTTCAGTGGTTATTGAGCCTTGTATACTAAACTTGTGCCAGTATTTACTCCAAATTAAAATTACATGCATATTCCCTATGGTGACTGCTTTATATTTATGTAAATGAAGTCCATCCATCATGAAATTTGAATGAATAAGAGCAAAGCAATTCAGTTTTTATCTCAAAAACAAAGGTACCGAAGTGTTTATGAAAAAAAAAACAATATTTATATATAGTATAGTACACATGGTATTGATGTGTGTGGTGTGTGTGTGTGTGTGTGCAGGAGGAGATCTGGGCGCAACTGGGTGCGGAGGACGCCTGGCGCGGCGCGCCGTTGCTGGCGTTGCTGCCGGGCGCCGCGCGCGCCGCCGCCGCGCCGCTAGCGCACCGCCTGGCCGCGCTGCTACGCCGCTTCGCGGACAGGGTGCGTGGGACACGTTGTTTTTTACTATACTACATATATGTACTACTATAATAAAGAGTTAAACTTTCTTTGTGTGTAGGTGGTCTCTGGAACAACTGAACCGGTTCCAAAAATTCTTTCACTAATCCTACACTATCTCTGACAGATATAGTGCTAAAAAGCCGCTTTAAATTAATTTAATAGCAAATCGAATGATATAATCACAGTATAAAACCCAAGGTGATCGGGATCGTGTACACCTAACAAAAATCCTACGCAATACAAAGAGTATCAAAAATACCAACATTTATGACTAACAGTCGCAAATTATAGCCATCAACCCTAAAACCGTTTCCCGGCTGTCATTCAAAAATACGTATGACAATCCACCACACCCCACGTCTTATCTCGCACGCCATTTCTAGACTTTCCATCCCAGAGTCTTCGTTACACAACTGAATATGAATTAGTAGACTGTGGTATTACCATTCATTACAAACCATTTTTACACATTTTTTGTCTTTCAGTTGCCTCTGAAAGCACTCAACGAGATAGCATTCGTGGAAGTGGTAATTCGATCTATTCGCACTGTCGGATTAGAAAACATTTATTTTGAAGGCCGACAGCTCTTGTTAGAAGACTTCTATGATTTGCTCTGCAAAGTCGCTATTAAAGTATTATCTGGCAACCACAGCACACAGGTAAGAAATCATTATAATTCAATTCAAAATGAAACAGTTATAATTTTAAATATAAATTATGAAAGTAAAAAAAGAATACAAATTATGTAATCGTAATTTATTATAAAAAATGTATAGTATAATTAAAATAAATGATCCCTAGTACATAATCGACATACACAACATGCTGCGGTACATCGAGTGCGAGGGCGGCGAGGGTGGCGAGGGCGGCGTGCAGCGCGCGGCGCGCGACGCGCAGGTGGCGCTCTTCACCGCGCAGATCGACTACCTGGAGGCGCGTCTGCACACCTTGAATCAGCAGACGCCTAAGAGTTCCAACTATTTCAGTACAGGTCAGTGATTGAATGAGCTGTTAGAAGGAATGAGCGTGTGGCTGGGTTGAAGTAACAAGGCTACATACGAAATGCAGATGTAAAATCAGTTATATTCCAAACTGGTTATGGTTTCATATTTCGTTAACTTTTTATTTGTAATCGATAAACGATTACATTTTAATAAAATGTTTAAAAGTTAACTTTGAAAGTAATTTTTCAACCTCTGTTTGAGTCGTCGACTTCTGAGGTATAATTGTTGGCGCACAATGGATAACTTTGAGCAACATATCCAAAAAATATACATATTATAAAATTGTCAACTACAAGATGTACGTAGATAGGTTTGTGTGTGATGTAAGTATATGTGTAGTGTACGTGTGCAGTGTTGTCGTCGGTGGAGGGCGGGCTGGTAGGGCGCGGCGGGCGCTCCGAGGCGGCCGAGTGCGCGGCGCGGCTGGCGGCGCTGCTGGCGCGCGCCGGCGCCTTCCTGGCCTCACGCCCCCCCGCCGCGCCGCTGCAGCCCGACGCGGACTTCTTCGACAGGGTGCTCAACATGCTGCTTAATGGTGAGCATTATGCTGTACATATGTTAATGTTAGATATCATTGTGTTATATTCATGTAATTAAACTATTTTTATAATATATTACATATCATTTTGTTGAATATTATATTTAAATAATATATTGCAAGACGATTATACAATCTGTGCTCCCAATTCGCTCGTCCTCTTACGTGTGTGTGTAATGCGTGTGCGTGCGCAGCGGTGACGAGCGCGGAGAGCGCGAACGCGGGCGGCTCGCGGCTTTTCGGCGGCGGCGCGTCGGAGAGCGCGAGCGCGCTGGCAGCGCTGCTGTGGTGGGCCGCCAGCCCCGAGCCCGGTGCGCGCGCGCTTCAGCCGCGCTTGTTGCGTGCGCTGTACCGCGCGCCCGCGCACGCGCTGCGCGTGCTGGCTGGCGCGCGCGACGCCGACGCGCTTCGCAAGCTGTCCGTGTACCTGCTGGCTATGCTGCAGCACGTGCACCTGGCGGCCGAGCGCGGCGCGGCGCCGGCCGAACGTGTGGAGCTGGCCGTGACGGACTGGGCGCGCGAGTGGGCCGTGGCGGCGCAGGCCGAGCTGGCGGAGCGCGTGCGCGGCGACGCCATCCCGGCCGCGGCGCAGCGCTACCTGCGCGCCGACCGCGCCCGCCGCGCGCGCCACGCCGCCGCGCCGCGGCTGCGCGCCGCCATCGGCAAGTGAGTACATCCACCATTAGTGTCCTTCGTTTTATATGTTGTCTACGTTGGCATTCGATAAACCAAACAGGTAAACCGAAATCCATAATAAAATGTATTATACAACTATGGCAATTGTAAGTCGCTTTTATAGATCCATTATATTATCGCTCTTGAATTTATTTAATAAGTTTGTAAAGTGTAAGAGGTATGTGGATAGTTACTGTGGTACAACGTGTGTGCTATGTCGTGGCAGGTCGGTGTTCAGCAAAGAGGCGCTGGCGCAGCGCGCGACGGAGGCGGCCATGGGCATGACGCGGCGCGTGGTGGAGGCGCAGAACTCGGAGCGCAAGGCGTTCCTGGAGCACCTGCGGCAGGCGCGCGCGCTGCACGGCGCCGCGCGCTGGCAGGCCGTGCTGGACCGCCACACGCACGAGCGCGGCGTGTTCCACGACGCGCGCAGCTACCCCGCCGCCTGGCAGCTGGACGCCACCGAGGGCCCGGGCCGCGTGCGCGTGCGCCTGCGCCGCGCGCACCTGCGCGTGCCGCCCAGGCATCTGCAACCCGCGCACAAGTACAAGGCCGGTCCGTCATTGTGTTTGATGACTTGTTTATTTATTTAAATAATTATGTTATATTTTATATATATTTATATATATACATAATTTTTGGAAGTTCCTTATCACACGTTATACTCGGTACGCTTGGCGAATGACAGCTAGATGGAAAACGATATTTCGACCGTCACGAGTCGCGACGCTTTTTTATTTACTAGAAGCCGCCAATGTGACGTTATCACAACTACCAGGCGATCATAAATGTTAAGGAATGTAAGAAATTCGGATGTACTCTGTGCAGGCCTTTCTTTGGTGAGCTTCAACGTGTAAAATGTACGTTGCTTGATATTTATGATATCCTGTACTTGTGACAAACAGGCAGACAGAGGGCAGACAGTGAAAGTAACTTCGTTCCTACCGGTGACCCATAACACCGACCAACTTGTTGTATCATCAAATAAATACATTTTCAGGACACTGCTCAGTCCCATAAAATACCTATAATGAATCTCGTATTTTGTGTGCTTTGTTACACTGTAAGTGAAAAAAAAAGTATTTCATATCAACAGAAAGCGCGAGCTACCCGGCGCCGCTGCGCAGCGTGCTGGGCGCGGCGGGCGGCACGGGGGGCGCGGGCGGCGCGGCGGCGCAGCTGGCGCCGGGCGAGGCCGTGGCCTACATGGCGCGCGTCGTGCGCGTGGCCGTCGACTGCGAGGTGGGCGGCGAGCTGCTGCTCACCGACAGGTCACGACTGTTTTATATGGATAATGTTATTTATTTAACATACAATGAAATTTAAGAAATCCATTATAATATAATATTTAAAAATTGTTTGATAAAAAGCCTATTACTACCTGTAGCAGTTGAAAATATAGTTAAGCTAACTAAACGCAAATTCTTCTGCATTCTACAGTACAAAAAAATTATTACTTTGGCCAAAATTAATTAAAATTGCTGACGGTGATTTGATTTGCTTACTATATTCACAGATACATCCACTTCGTGCCGGAGGAGGGCGAGGGCGGCGCGGGCGCGGCGCGGTGGTCGCTGGGCGCCGTGGCGCGCGTGGCCACGCGGCGCTGGTGCCTGCAGGAACGCGCGCTCGAGCTGTTTCTCTGCTGTGGCCGCGCGCTGCTGCTCGCCTTCGCCGACACCGACGAGCGTGCCAACTTCCTTACGCACCTCTCCAAGATGCATTTGCCCAACAGGTAAACGAACATTATCGTCCCTTGTGAATAGATCTAGCTAAATGGGGAAACAATTTATAATTTATACTAATTGTAAAGCCACAAAAAGTTACTGAAAAATAAATATTTCTAAAACAGAACGGAACCAGAAAACTTAACAGAAGCTATGAACCAGTGGCGCAACGGAACGATCACCAACTGGGAGTACCTGATGATCCTCAACGGCCTGGCCGGCCGCTCCTACAACGATCTGATGCAGTACCCCGTGTTCCCCTTCATCATCGCCGACTACACCTCCAAAATCCTGGACCTCACCGACCCCGCGTCCTTCAGAGATCTTAGCAAGCCTATGGCAGTGCAGAACAAGAATAGAGAGCAGCACTATATAAATACATATAATGTGAGACCTTTTTTGCTATCATAATTTTGGGAACGTTTTATTTAGTGCACAAAATTAAATATTAAACAAAATGAATCATGTGTTGGGTGCCGCAGGACCTGCGCGCGGCGCGACGCGAGGGCTGCAGCCCGCTGGTAGCGCGGCAGCCGCACCACTATGCGTCGCTGTACTCCAACTCGGGCGGCGTGCTGCACTACCTCGTGCGCCTGCCGCCCTTCACCGAGCTCTTCCTCAACTACCAAGGTACTTTCTACCTTTTGAACACTCGTACACGCTATATCATAATGTATTTATACTTTCTCCAATCTTACTGTTTCGCCTGTAACGTTACTTAAGGTATTAATATCAAAACCAGAATTAATAGTTCTATTTATTTTTATTTACATGTTGTTCAAACTTTTACCTATATTTTTGACAAACAAATAAATACACTACTCAGTAAGTAAATAACGTAGGAAGCTAATCAACCTGTTTCTTATTATCTAAACAATTTTAAAATACATTGATGTCTTATGGTTGACTACACATTGTATGATATATTTGATATATAATCCAAGTTATTTGCTGAGTGCTAAATAATAAAAACTCCAAATATCGGTTTCCTTTTGATTGATTAAAAAATCAACAATTTTTTGTCTAATGATTTAAAATAATATGCATAACTTATAGGAATAAAAAACAATATTATGTTAATAATAAATATGTGTGTTCAGACAACAACTTCGATATGCCGGACCGCACGTTCCACTCGCTGGCGACGACGTGGCGCCTCATCACCAACGACTCGCCCACCGACGTCAAGGAGCTCATCCCCGAGCTCTTCTACTTACCCGAACTATTTTACAATAACGAAGGTAGAACAAATATGTCGGGATAGTAATTTCATAGAAATAACGTAACGCTTTGTTAGTTTTGTGTTTATTTCCTCCTCCTACGAATTTGAGAGTGATAGAAATAGAGAGTGCTCCTTGTGTCCGCGCGCATACTGATGCACTAAAATATTTTATACGCACTCAGCGAAAGTCAGCGAAACTCTGCGAAATTGGCCGCCGTGGCTGAAATCGGTAAGGAGCGAAGGCAGATCGCTAGTGAATTGTAAAGGTATCTTAATCTGAGGGTGGTATCGTGTCAGGGCTGGAGCTGGGCGTGCGACAGTGCGGCGCGCGCGTGGACGACGTGGAGCTGCCGCGCTGGGCGCCGGACGCGCGCCTGTTCACGCTGCTGCACCGCCAGGCGCTGGAGGCGCCGCACGTGGCCGAGCACCTGCCCGCCTGGATCGACCTCGTCTTCGGCTACAAGCAGACCGGCCAGCCCGCCGTCGACGCCATCAACGTCTTTCCCGCTTGTGTTAGTATACACGCACACATGCATCACGTGCTCGTTCAGAACTCATGCTATAACATGCTTAAATTATTATAGTAATCTTTAGAGTCTACAAGACTGTATTATATAATTTTGTTTAATCTTTGATCAAACGTGAGATTGTTTTTTTTTTTATTAAAAAAAGTAATTTCAAATAAAAACTGGCCACAAAAGTCACGGACGAAATATTTGTGGTTTTTGTCTTACTCATTTAAAAAAGTAGTGTTTGAAACGTATTTCGAATATACAATAAAACGTTTTGTAAAATAAATTTTGCGGTGTGTCGCTACAGACGTACTACGGGTTCGACCCGTCGCAGCTGGAGGACGAGCTGGACCGCACGGCGGCGGCGGCCATGGTGCGCACGTACGGCCAGGCGCCGCGCCAGCTGCTGCGCGCGCCGCACCCGCGCCGCGCCACCGACCTGCAGCCGCGCCGCCGCCCGCAGGTGCGCCACCGGCTTGGATAACTACTTGCACAAATACAAACGAATTTTAAGCTCTTTTGACGTCCCACTACTAGGCATTCACTTTACTTCGACACGACAGTGATCAGGCCGTAGTTTACCACGCTGGTTATTTAGTTTCTTTCACAAATTAGAAATTCTTGCAAACATGCAAGTTTCCTCGTGATATTTCTTTCTGTTCACAATATGGCACGTGGCAATCATGTTTTAAATAATTTTCACACAAAAATACTAGAAGCTTCAATGAGTTTCCTCTAAGCGCCATTTACTTATGTAGGAAAAGGTGTAACTGTTGAATGTTGTTTTGATTAAGCATTATAAAGGACATCATCGGATCGTTGAGAAATTAGTAATAAGTCACATCTCAATGTTTTTGTATTTTAGTGTAATCTATGGTCAAGTGTGAATAGAACTATAGAACTGCAAATAATTAATTAGCATGTATTAATGAATGGCCTGATTTAAAGTATACTAGCGGACCCGACAGACGTTGTCCTGTCTACACGTCTTTAATTTGAAAATTTCAAACTTTTCAACCGACTTCAAAAAGGAGGAGGTTCTCAATTCGACTGTATGTTTTTTTTTTATGTTTGTTACCTCAGAACTCCGTCATTTATTAACCGATTTGGACAATTTTTGTTTTGTTTGAAAGGGTATACTTCCAGATTGGTCCCATTTAAATTTCAAAAAAAAATACCACCCCTAAGGGTGGAAAAACAACGAATGATGAATTTAACCTACTTCTAATTGTCATATTGACTTGAAACTTTGCAAGTATTTCTATTTCTGTTGATAGTACAGTGGTTCAGTGTTGTTGACCTGATCTGATGGCAAGGCCAGAAGGTGGTTAGGTGGAACTCTTCAACGGCTAATAGTAGATACTTTGAGTTTGGGCTTATTTTGTTTGATTTGACAAGCCTAACACGTTAGAATCCTTACTTTGCTACTACTGTCTACACTAAAAAGGGAAAAATAAAAACTTTTTAACAAAAAAATAAAAACCGACTTCAAACAAAAGCACTAAAAAGTAAAAAATAACTTTGGCTAAGTAATTAAAGCCTACCTATTAAATACATACCTAATCAAATATTTTCGAAATCGGTGCCAGCCCATACAAAGCAAAGCACACCGACTTCGAAAATATTTGATTAGGTATGTATAGTAAATGAAAACTACCAATCAGTTATTTTTTACTTTTTAGTGCTTTTGTTTGAAGTCGGTTTTTATTTTTTTGTTAAAAAGTTTTTATTTTAATAATTTTTTTGAAGAAAATTATTATTCAAATTGTGAATCTAAACCATTCCCAGATTCCCTTGAACACACACAAAAAATTTCATCAAAATCGGTCCAGACGTTTGAGAGAAGTTCAGTGACATACACACTCACAGAAGAATTATATATATAAAGATTAACCGTGTGGGCGGCAGACGAACGTGTGGGCGGGCGTGGAGGGCGCGCGCTGGGGCCGCTACTGCGGGTCGCCGGAGCTGGCGGCGCCGGCGGCGGCGGCGCGCCGCGCGGTCCCCGGTGCCGCGCGCCTGCAGCCGCTGGCGCACCAGCGCGCCGTGGCCGCCTGCCCGCGCAACACCATCCTGCTCGCGCTACGCGGTCAGTCACACATTTTTTTTAATGTTTGGAAATACGTTTATGCATACCACCTGTAGACATACAGGTGGTTATATAGGACCCACACGTACTACCCACTAAAACCTCCCCCGTGTGGGGCGTCGCAGGGTTGCTTATGCACTCAAGCGGTCAATGCCACTACTTATGTCCATTCAATGACTTAAGTTCATTATTGTTATTTATTTTCAGTGTTTATAAAATTACTCAACTCAATAGAACCAGTTATTGTCTTTTCCCGTGGGAATGAAAGGTTTTCCTGTAGTAAAAGGTATCATAAATGTTGACCAGAGTAATGTTATTAGGTTAAATTAATTATTTATGTAATTTTCTACAAATGCCAATATTTTTCCTAATTCATGAAACTTTTTGTTTTCAAATTATTTATTTATTGCAAATGCAACATAATCGTTTTTAAAATGTAACTACTCCAATTGTCAAATATACAATTTAATAATAATTTAATAAATATATAATCATTGCGTTAATATTAATAGTCCGATTTTGGATTTAGTCATTGTCATAGAAATCAATTAAGAATAGTGCTAAATGTTGACACTGTAAAAGGGAAATCTATAATATATAATAATTTTGAAAATATATAATATAAAACCCATTTATAATATAATGTATTAATTAATTGATTTTTCCACGCTTTGCAGACGAGTGGGCGGGCGGGGCGGTCGCGGGCGGCGAGGCGCTGTGCGCGGTGTCGTGGGGGCACTCGGACGGCGCCGTGCGCGTGCGCCGCCGCCGCGACCTGCCGCCCGAGCCGCTGCTGCACGTGCCCGCGCACGACCAGGTACACACACATACTCGTACACACACTAGCTGCGTGTAACGTACACCTTTAATATGTACCTCAATCAGTCGAAATAAGACCCTAAGAATCTCTGGAAATATTTACCGTTCTAGGGCAAATGATAATTTTGGTACAAATTAATGAATAACGATCCAGGAGGTAGGCATCTGCGAGATGTCCGGACGCTATTAAGTAAATCAGTTGATGTTAATTTTCCATGACGTAGTCCATGAATTGGAATACGAACAGAGTAAAAGAACACTCACTCGTGGGCGCGATCCTCGTTATTGAGGGAACGAAGAAGAAGATTAAATGTTTCATATGTTTGTATGTTGTGTGGTGTCGTGTGTCTCGCAGGTGACGGCGGCGTGCGGGTGGAGCGGCGCGGGCGGCTGGGGCGCGTCGGGCGCGCTGGGCTTCGCGTCGGGGCGTGTGTTGGCGCTGCGCGCGGGCGCGCGCGTGTCGGCGCACGCACTGCACGCGCACGCCGCGCCGCTAGCCGACCTGGCGCTGTGCCCGCGCGCCTCGCTGCTCGTCTCCGCCAGCGTCGACGGCGTCATCGTGCTCTGGGACCTCAATGAGTTAGTCCTTGTCCTGTCTATGTGGCACATTCATCTCTATCGTATTCGTGTTCACTCACTTTTTATTTATCCATGCTCTCTTCGGTCATAGTCTTTTCGAATATCTATGCACTCTCATATTTATCACTACATGTGAAATAAAGCTTAACTCTGTGTAACTGTGCCGCAGGCTGTCGTACATCCGCACGCTGCCTAACCGCGACGCGCTGCGCGTGCGATGCGTAGGCGTGAGCGCCACGCTGGGCGACGTGGCGTCGGCGCACGCGCCCGCGCCTGGCGCTGGCGCCGACTACGAGCGCGACGCCGCGCGCGGGTACAAGTCGCTCATCCGCGTGCACACCGTCAACGCCAACTTTGTGGGTCAGTCGGTGCTAACTCTTAATCCTTGCAAAAATATTTGTATTAAAAAATATATTGATATATTTTGATATCCCAATATATGTCTTTACGTATATTTGAAATTAATTATAGTACAATTATTTGCGTACAAAATTAAATGGAGTTGATTAAATGATAAATATATAATAAATGAAAAATAATAATAAATAATATTAAATGACGCTCCCATTAAATGATGAAGGTCAAGAGTAAGCCCATTTCAAATACAAGAATGTAACATATTTATACATTTTTTGTTTGCATTATAGAACTAATATTATATATATATAATATTTATAATCACTATAAAGTTGTTCTTAAATATCTTTACCTAGTCAATAGTATTGCTAAATGTGCGTGCGTGCAGGCAGCGTGCGCGTGGCGGAGGCGGTGACGTGCTTGTGCTACTCGGGCGCGGCGGAGGGCGTGAGCGCCAACTGCGTGGCGGCGGCGCTGGCGGGCGGCGGCGTGCGCCTCTACTCCTCCTGGGACCTGCGCCCGCTGGTGATGCTGCCGCCGCCCGGCGCTCTCACCGCGCTCACCAGGTACACATCTCCCCCCACACAGTACACGTCGATAGACTTCATTTTACTGATTATTGTAAAATCAGTCGGATGAGTTTGTACTGTGTCTTCATAGATGGTACCGTTATTACTTATTTTTGAGTTATTTACCATGATTGAAAACGGTAAACGTCACTTATTTTTTTATATTAAATATAAAATGAATTTTATTCTATTTTACATATTTTAGTATATACATTTTTTTAAATAAATTGCTCAAACAAAATCTAAAATAGCGCATAAAATAAACGATATGATGTGTGTCCAATATATTTGTATGTGTGTCTTACGTGAACGTGTGGTGTGGTGTCTGTCTGTTGCAGCATCACGTACAGCTCGGACTCGCAGCTACTGTTCGGGTGCTACGCGGACGGCACGGTGCTGGCGTGGGAGAGCGCAGACGCCGCGCGCGCCGCGCCCGTGCGCATCCTGCCCGCGCTGTCGCTGCTCTAGCCGCCCACTCCCACTCCCATTCCCATCCCACTCCGTATACGTCATCTTACCACATACATCAATTCGAGGACGACCTCTACTTATGATTTGAAAAATCACTCATAAATACAAATATTTTTATAATTGACATTTATATTATTATTTTACAAATTTACAAATATAGATATTTATAATCGTAAGAGCAATAAAAAGTAAAGTAAAGCAATAATATCGCTAAGACAGTAAGGTTTTAACTTATCCTAGTTACTTATATTATAAAAACTAAGTCTGATCGGCATTGTAGTGCCAGTTATCGTCTGATGCCAAACAATCCCGACTGCTTAGATTAGATGTTTTGATGATGTCGTTGTAATTGATGGACCTGTGATATTTAGTACGCGAGCTACAAGCGGGAGTGAGAGTAAACCAAAAAGTAGATTATAACTGGTACAATTATGTTAATCGAGCTATTTAAAACCAAATAATTATAATCTTTTAATATATTAAATATAATGTACTTGTGCCGAATGCTTGCCTTCGTATTGATCCCTTTACTTATGAGCAGAAAAATAATATATAAGATATATTTATTGTTTTTACCACATATTATATCTATATACATACATAAGAGCCTACATATTATATTTTTATAAAAAGATAGATTTCCTAATGTATTTTGTTATTCAATTTAGTATTAATTTGTAGCACTTTGCTAGCAATATGTCTTCCAAGATGATTGGTGTTATTCGTGCTGTTATATAATTTGCATGTTGATAATAATAATTATTAATAAAGGTACTAAACTTCTCTAGGCTCTAGTCGTACCTCTGACTCTCCTCCTCTAGTGTTAGATCACTTTCAAAATATAATCTGTAATCATTATTTTAATTTTTCGTTCTTATGTATCTTTTATTCGTTATCTATTGAAGTGTGAAAATATATATTGTAAATAGTTAGAATATAAGTATATTTTATGAATCTTTTATGAGGCATTATGATACTTTAAAGATGAAATATGAATTAAAATTATGAATTTTATGAAAACAGTTGAATTATCAAAAGATAACATTGTACCTTTCACGTCATGGCCACAAGAAACACGTCTATGATCTAAGTGCATTATGTGTATTTTTATATGCTTTCGACCGTTAAACTGTATATCTTATCCCTTAGTAATGATTGTTCCTTAAATTATAAATTTGAACCAGGTAACAGTAATTATTAAAATTTAAATAAAAATCGACGTTAAGGTTTTCTCCACTTCTTCACTTTTAATTCAGTTCAATTTTCTTGTTAAAATTGCCTAAAGTTGGCTTAAAGCGCGTCTGTTGAAAAATCCGCTTATATCACGTAGAATGGCGAAGACTCCATATTTCACTAACTATGGTTTTTAATTAAAATTTCGTTTGGCCAAGGGTGACACGGACAGATATGTTTTCGCATTTATAACATTAGGAAAGATAAGAATAAAGAAAAATGATGATATTTTTAACATTCCATTGCCTCTACGTAAACTGCTGTTCAAGTTACAACTCCTTTATTTTTAAAACATAAATTGTGTTATCAAGTGTGTTAAAAGGATTATCAACTACAATATTTTTAGCGATAATACACGAAAAATACATATCTTTGAAATTTCACAGGTGAGGATGATGATCTGTTAGTATTGATTGTTAAAGTTTCAAATAAATATTTTTTACTTAATACCAGTTTTATTATTATATCAAGGCGAAAAAAAGAAGTGGGAATATTTATCAATTGAATTAAACCAACTAGTGAACGTGGCCAGAGCAATCTATTTATTTTTTTCATAAAATTATCTCTTCCTTATCTACCTGCCCACCAAAATAGTTTTTATGCTAATAAAACCTTAATGTCAAGAATATATCTTTTTACAATTTGTAGTTATACATTGTCTTTAAATATTATAAAGTACAAAAGAACCCTACATTCTCGAGTATAATAGAATAAATATCTCGGTGGCTAAACTCACTGGACAAACCATTTGCGCAAGAGTTATTATAATGCACAAACAAGTGCATTCTCTATTTCTTTTACTCTCAAAAGACCGCTGAGAGATTAGGTGGTTAACGACTTTCCAACTAATCCTAATGATTATTCTTGGTTTGAGTTGAGGCTAAAATTCAGAACCTTCGGATCATTACCCGTATAAGTTAGCGGTTAGCCACTCGTCGATCAAAAAAGTACTAGATACATAATCCCATTATACCAATCGGAATCCGTTTATTTTTACGAGTTTTTTTTTTTATTGAAAACCTAAGGTTTTATGATTTTAAAATGTTAGCATGTATATAAGGAATTAAAATTCGTAAAATGTATGCCCAGCTACCCCCAAGAAATGGGGGGACGCAAAGCGTTGAAAATAGTTTTTCTTCGATTTCCGGCTTACTGTGATGTTCTATCGAAAAAAGTTTTCTACAAAAGTTGTAGGTTTAGTAAAAATCTACAACTTTTTTAAATAACACTTTTTACAATAACCTTTTTTCGATTTCAAGATATTTGCAAAAAAACTCTGCTTTTAACTGTTTCTTGGTTTTTATTTCTAGAATAATCTTTTGATTTCCATGAAACTAAGGGAATGTAATCTTCGAAATACAAATAATAAATTAAAAAAAATAAATTGAAATGTTTAGCCATTTCCGAGAAAAGTATGTTTTATGGTCTCGATACGCTGAAAATCACCCCCACATTCAAGTGGGCGTTTACATTTAAAAAAAATTTCGTTAAATTTTTAGACAGGGCTCATTCTTTTCGTATTGAACTCTATTTTTTGAAAATATAAAAATATTGTATGGTCATCTTGTAGAAACACCCTTAAAAATTTAAAAAATTGGAGAAATCGATAATTTTTACTTTGTAAACTACATTTTTTCAATTATCATTGAAGAAGTGTTCTTTATTGAACTTATTTTTATAAACTGATTAACACCAATGTATTTTTAAGGAAAAATCGAAAAAAATATTCTCCGTAAGTTTTTAATTTAACGCTTATTATTTATACAATGTCGCCGTAAACATTCTAACTTTGCAATTTGACGAGCCGTGAAAAAATAATAAAAGTTGGAATTCACGTAGTATACCACTGCTTTTGTATTTTTTGCCGTAGAGCCTATTTATGTTATATTTTTTTCGAGTTCATCGATATTCTAGTAGTTTTTGATCGATATTGGAGTTAATTTTATTGATTATTCTGAAATAAATGATATTAGGGTAATTACAGAAAGAAATGAAATTCATTCATAGTCTAATCTTGTTTATTCATTAGTTAAAAATATATTTAAAAAAATTAGATTGATATTTACAAAATTTAGTCATAGTTTTGTTAAAAAATAATTTTTTTTTTTAAGAAACTATTTTAGAAATAAGACTTAAATTTATAAAATAACCCTTTAATCTATTGTGCATCTATTAAATGCTAAGATATTGATGATAAAAAAGAGAAGGATCCTTTTTATATTGAAAGTCGAATATTTCAGTAAAAAATGGACATAAAAATTTTTGTTCATTTTTTACAAGTTTTTTATGATTTTTTAACAAAACTACGACTATATTTTGTAAATATTAACTTATTTTTTTTATATATATTACAAATTTCTATTCCTTATATACCTGCTAACATTTTAAAATCATAAAAAATCAGGTTTTCAATATTTTGTTTCCAAACCGGATTCCGATTGGACTTCATTCAAAAGTTTCTCTTAAAACTGTCACTAATTGTGTTTAGGTAATTATTCTAGTAGAAATATGTATACAATAATGTAAATTGAACCTTTAGTGGAATACTTAAAGTTGTTTTCACAAAAAAAAATGAAAATGCGCTCTAATGTTCAAATAAGCGTTCATTCGGTAAGGACATTTTTTGTCGCTGATTGTGTATCTGGTAATTTATTTTTCGATGAAGCCACTTTATAAATCTACCAGCTTGCCACTTGCGCTGTCGCAAATGATTGGCTAAAACGACCTCTGCGAACGATTTTTTTGATTAAAAGCTAGAAGAAGCAATAATGTGTTCTCAAAAAGATGGAAGGTCTATTACAGTAGTAAGATAGTGAGACAATTTCTTATCAGTTTAATACTTGGAAATATAGTATAGTAGCTTGTTGTTCAGTAACCACTCCACCTTTATTTTTTGTGCAAAATAGACCACATGCACGGTAATGTTACATACAGTATTCCATCTTCATACAAAAGGTCGAAAATCGAGCTATACCTACGCGCGTCGCGTTCGGTATACACTCGGTAGACAACCGTGCGGGGCTGCCACATAGTATAATTGGATACGAAAATTGTTTAAGGTGGTTATGTTATGTAACTCTTATAATTTAATACAAAAATAAACATTTTATTCCTCCCGTAACTTCGCTAATGTCAAACAAAAACATATCGAGACATGCATCGTATGTTTTAAAAATAAAAAATAATTAATTAAATTAAAAATAAAAATTAAAGTATTTTTAATTAAACTTTTTATCCGAATGCGGATTCTTTTTACTATTAAATTTAACAATAAAGCTTTTCGTACGTCTCAGTCGAGGCACAAATATTTTTAAATCTCAAATTTATAAGGGTCACACACCACCCTTATAAATTTGAGATTTATTTAATTAAATCTACTAATAATAGTTTTTAAATAAAAAATATAATATTTGAAATCACAAAATTAGAAAGAAACTCAAGTACGTAGATGAAATTAAAATACTGGCCGGGCAGCCCTGTCGCGTGGGTACGTGCCGCTTGGCTGTAGGTAATTATTTCAAGGACAGGCCCGAGTTGGAATACTGTATGCATTACATTACCGTGCCGCATGACTTGCGCTTGACATAGTCGCAGCATTTATAAGCATGGATGTGTTTCTAAGTTTATTACGGAGGGTAGAGGTAAGGAGAACTATCTTTGTGTATAAAAAGTGACTGCTCACAAGCATCAAATTGGTGGCGCCACAGGAAACAAGTAGATGAGCTTAAAAAATTAAAACATAGGGCCAAAAGTACAAGGTTTTTACTGGTCATATTTACGAAATTATTTTGGACTAGGTAAATAGTTGAGGCTTTTTATACTGCAGTTTTATTAACTACAATGGTCAGCAGAGATATTATATTTTTAAATTGAACATACTTTACTCAGTTTAAAACTGCCAAATTCATATCACTTCTACTATTAGGCTATATAGGTTTTTCTTTTTGAATTTCAATTTGCTTCTCACCACTGGAAACTTTTTCAACTTGCTTGAGATTTAAGACGGTTCTCCTAACTTCTACTCTACGGTTATAACCTCCGTGCCCCGTGGGCATAGTTGACAACTGACAAGCGAATGTGACAACTGACAAGTGACAACAAAACACTTGCAATTTGCAAATGGCGTCATTTATTGTGAATTTTGAAAACTATTAATTTCAGACGTATTTCATGTTAATTGTAACCAATTTGCTTTTATTTGTGTCATTTTAAGCTTTTGGAAGAAAACTAGGGAATTTTTATTTCAAAAGTATAAAATGGGATCCAAGAAACATAAAAAGGAGTCAAAGAAGAAAAAGCATAGGAGTAGATCACGGTCACCACTAGATGGTGAGGAGCGTGAACGAAAAAGACATAAGAAACATAAGGACCGCAAGAAGGACCGTTCGCCCGATGGTTAGTAGATATTATTTTAAATAGTTATAAAACGCTTGGAACCAGAAATAATCTAATATTAATATAACCTGCAAAATCACGTCACTATTTGCATTTTTTTTATTTACAGAATTTAATTACACAATGAACTTGAGTTGAAAGTTAAAGATTATTTCTAGTACTAGCGTAACTTTAAGTTGACGTGATAATGGCATATTTTGCTCATTATTTCAGAATGGTGGCATTCGAGATAAACTGCTTTCCGAGTGCTGCAACGGCGAGGTTGGTATTGACATCGTCAAAACTTCATAAAAGCCAGCAGTATACGTACTTAAGAAATCGGTCTTTTTCTATAAATGGTTAAATATGGTTAACAATCTACATTTTAAATACTGACAGCAATTATTTTGAAAACTATCATGAGCAACTCTAGTCTTTAACCTCTTAGATAGCTCAGAGCCCTGACCTATCTAAGATTATTTAATATTTTTTGGTATTTGCAATTGATTTTTATTAAATTAATCAGTGATATATAGTATACAATACAGCTACAGACAGCATGATAATTGAAACTTAATCACTTTAAATTATTACTAATAATAAATTTTTAAATGTCATACATATATACAATATTTAAAACTATTTATTATTAACATAAATGTTAATGATTGATCATTCTCATTGAGATGATAATATCAAATGTGCTAATACAATGTATTAGGAACTGCTGACCCATCAGATGTTTTGTCCAATTGTGATTTTTTTTTGGATTGTTTGAGTTTGGTTTGTCCCAAATTAACAAATTTCAGTGACAATTATTCCAAATTTTAGATCCTAAATACCTCATTTAGAGATTAGAATATTATGAACATTTTAAAATAAATATGGGCTAAATTGTTGCAGACATTCTCAATTGATTTACTTATCAACAAACAGGATTTTATTTGTATTTATGTATACTATTATCTTCAATAATATTTATATAATGAGCTAATCTTATTCATAATAGTGTTGTTAATTTTTGGACTTTAACATAAGTCTGCAAAAACATAAATGATATATAGCTAGATTGATAATGTGCTTATTTATTCTATAACACTCATATGTTATTATATTCATAATTTAGTCCTTTTTTAACACCTTACTGCTGGGTCATCTTCAATGCGAGGGGCATCAGGTCATAATCCACCACATTGGGCAAGTGTGGGTTGGAGGATTGCACATTTCTTCCAAAAACTTGCTAGATTTACATAGATATGCAGGTTTCCTCAATGTTTTCCTTCACTGTAAGACAAGTGGTAATCATGTTGGAAATGCTTCGCTCGAAACTATCAGAGGTGCAAGACCCAGGGTTTGAATCCGCTTTAATTGGTTTCCCAAGGGACCACATTACTACTGGGCTACCACAGCCCTATATATATGTGGAACAAAGATGAAATTTCGTTAATATCATGTAGTTTATTTTAATTGTTATTAAATATAAGGATTGACACTTTTATTTATAATTGAATAAAAATACTCACAGCATTTACTGTTAGGTAATACAACGCAAAATTTATTTGTTATAGTGGAGGAGGTGCCAGTGGATTCACACTTGAAGGACAATGGTGTGCGCTCACGCAGCCGCAGCAGCAGCGTCAGCACAGGGCGCCGGGATCAGCGCGAGGCCCACCAGTCGCGGGAACGCAAGACACGTGAAGAAGAGAATGGGTAAGACTTAACCCCCCTTTAGAGTACAGTAATATGTTTTAAAATAACATAGATATGAGAGTGCAGTTTATTATAGTTAAATGCTTTTGAGGAGTAAACACAGAATGCTTAAGTACTACTATATATTTTTTATTAAATGATCTATATTGGTAACATTAATTTCAAACAAAGATATTACCCACTATTTTACTATCAGTCAAATTATCTGAATGCTAAACATTATAGTTTACATATAATATAAAAGATATTTTTTGCAGCCGAGATAAAAGCCAAGAATCTGAACGTGAACCATCACCAGTGGCAGCGACCAGTTCAGCACAGGAGAGCCTTTCTATCCAGGAGACCAACAAATTAAGAGCCAAGCTTGGCTTGAAGCCACTAGAAGTAGCTGAAAAGCCTGCGGGTAAGATCATTTTCATAAATATAAGTTCTTTCACTACATGTTTTTATTACTTTTTGACACAGCAGGTCTTGATACTGTTCTTTGCATCACTGTTTGTGTTGGGTCATCGCATACTTTGAATTGGCCATTAATTATTTAATGAGTTTCGCATTTGCACCACAGAGGATGGTAAGATCAAAGACGACCTGGGCGAGTTCTACCACAAGCCCGCCGCCAATTTGTCCCGGCAGCGCGCCGCCGACAAGCTGCGCGAGCGCCTCGCCGAGCGCCGCGAGAAGCGCCACATCGAGAACAAGTAAAATTGCACATTATTTTTCTATTCTCGTCAATACGAAACAGTACCACTTAATTTAAAATATTGTTGATTGTTTTATTTTATATTTTTACTTACAGTTTAGACTAACTTTTAAACCATTTTAAATGTTTTTATTCTTTTAAGACTCCAAACAACACTATTAGCAGAAGCATCGGACGACGACGACGCGAGCGCGTGGGTGAAGAAATCTCGAGACATCGAAAAACAGAAACAGGAGGCCGCCAAAAGAGTAAGATATTTTGCCTTAGTGTATCGATAAAGTACTAGCTTACATTAAAAAAGTATTTGATATTTTTTGAAATTTTGTTCTACAAATGCAATACATAATTATTTATTTTATATTCCTATCATAAAAATAAAACTAATTATGATTAACATTGGCTAGTATAGATTTATAATATTTGAGTATAGACCAAATTTTACTGTAACATTATATTATCTTCTAAAGATGTGTAAGTGTTGTAGAAGGTCTATGATGTGTGGTGTGTCTTGCAGGCGGCGGCACTGGACGAGCTGGACGCGGAGTTCGGCGTGGGCGCGCTGCTGGCGGAGGAGGCGCGCGGGGAGCGCCAGCGCGCCTACGCGCCGGCGCAGCTGCGCGGCATGCGCGTGGCGCACGACCTGCAGGCGGTCAGTGTCACACTCGCATACATACACATGTCGATCTATATACCAAATTCCATCCAAATCAGCCCAGCCGTTTCACAATTATAATGGTAGTCCAATTATAAAACGTTTTTGATATTTAAAAATATGTAGATTGTTAGCTCAGTATTGAAGATTCGTGTCTTCGGAAGCGCGCACTTTGGATACGTTTTCGTCCGAATTTTACACGTGCGAACACGTACGAATATATAAATTAATATATAAGATCTGCACCTTTCAAGTACTATGGAGACTGCGTATAAGTGCGTGTAGTTCCGACGTCAGAATACAAACCGAACTAGTTGGGATTTTAATATATTTTCGTGCGTTTAAAAATTAAAAATGGGTGTAGAAAAGTTTATGAACATAAATGATTGTTTCTTCATACATGTATAACCATGAAACACTATGTGGTCATTATATAAGTCTTCCATAATATGATGGAATTCACCGAATTCACGTCTTTTTGAATATATTTCACACATCCATTCGGTTCTACGATAGCGAAGACGCCGCCGCCGTCTCCGAGTTATAAGAGAATTAATCATCTTGAAGATACAGATTATTCATCGCGCTCCAAAGAGGACTTCACGTGTGCGATATCATCGGAAAACTACCTATTTGAAGGAGAAAAACGTATTCAATGAGCGGACTTAATTCGTACGACCACGATCATACGATAAAAATTCGTGTCCAAAGTGCGCGCGGCTTTCTAGTTCATTTCAAGGGTCTTGTCACCATCATTCAGCTGTTACTAAAATCCTTCATCACACAGAGTTTGTGTTTGTTCAGACTAATCTCGGAAAATATTATATGGATTTTCATATGGTTTTAACCAATAGAAAGTTAGATACAATAAGTATAATTGATGGACATTTTATAAAAATAAATCATTGGTATGATGATGTTTACAATTTATTAAAAAAAAGTCGTCCCTCTGGAAGATTTTGTAATATTATAAATGTAAAAGAAATTTATATCCATAAGGGACGGACCTAAGCGAAGCGGAATAATTACATCAGAACAATACAATGTTTATTATGCACCACACTGTTGTGTACACACAATAATTGTACAAGTTGCGCCGGCAGCTGCCCGACGAGCACACCACGGTGCTGACGCTGGCCGACAAGGAGGTGCTGGCGGAGGACGGCGAGGACGTGCTCGTCAACGTCAACATCGTGGACGACGAGAAGTATAAGAAGGTGGGTCAATTACGTTTTTATTTATGACAACCAACTTGCCCTAGATTCGCCTAAGTGTAAAGTGATGCAAATATTAATCAATCAATAGATTTCGAATTATCACATTCAATTTGCGCACTTTCTGTATCAAAAATATTGGGGAAGTTGCACACAACAAGTCATCAGTTTTATCTTAATAGAGTAAATTAATAGATTGCCAAACAATATATGAATATAAAAAGACTGAATGGTCTTTTTTTTTTAAATATGTATGATTGCTTAATAATTTAATTATCGGTAGGTTAGGTCACTCTATTCTATTGAATTTTATATAAAAGAAAGTAGTAAGAAGCATGTTGATAATGAGGAAATGTCTGTTATCTATATAAAAGATGTACATGTGACAGAACATCTCGGAGCGCAAGAAGGCGCGCGCGGGCTACCAGGCGTACGACGAGGAGGCGGAGGCGGCGGCGGCGCTGGGGCTGCCGCGCGCCGTCCTGGCGCACTACGACGACGCGCCCGCGCCCGCCGGCTTCCGCATCGGCGACGACGCCGCGCACGCCGCCGCCTTGCAGGACGCCAAGGTGAGGCTGATGTGTTCGGCAGGCACTTGTGCACTGTCATATACCCCGCATCCATGGTTAGTCTCGGTGGGATTGAGCGCCGTCACTGATAACGATCAGGAGGACATTATTATCGTTACTTTCATTCACTTTGTTAGACTGTAGTCCTCACTAGGTTAAAATATATGTACTCTAAATATTTATTTTTATAAATGTCTACTGCGTTATGTTACATTGGATTAATAAATTTGTTGATATAATAATGACACTACGAGACTTAAATGCGGGAACTGGTAAGTGGTAAAATATTTTATTCCCGACGTTACGACTGGGCAGCCTCCATCACGGGCACTCTGTCTGCGTTTAAGTTCCGTAACTTCATTATTGTACAATTATGGAACACGAACATTTAAAAAGTTTTATTTGATACAAGATATTAATAATGGTGCATTTTTATTATATTATTATAAATCTCGATTATAAAATATTGAAGTAAAGTGTCAACTCGCTAAAAAGTTATAATAATAATAAAATAAATGGCTGTCGCAGCGCGCGCAGCTGGCGGCGATCACGCCCGGCAAGCGCCTGGAGTCGTTGCAGCGCGCCGAGCTGCGGCTGGCGCGCGACTACCTGGACGAGCAGGAGATGACACAGTTCAAGAAGGTCAAGCGCAAGGTCAGCGCACGTTCAGATTTAATAGAATGAAGACCATCGTTTCTCGTGGCACCAGTTGGTGCCACTAGCGATAAAGGTCTTATCGCTGTCGTTAAAAAAGTATTTGTTGGTGTGACAGGGCCATAAATTTTTGTGTTAAGGCGGCACCAGATTATCAGGATTTTGTCTTAAATAAAATTAAATAATAATCAAATAGATAATATATTGACTTTTTCTTAGCTCTTCTTTTACTTAAAACAATAACATTTGTTGAGCCATACCATGTCTGCCATAATTAATCAAGCATGGCACAATGTTTACAATAATCATGAATAATTAGTGAAGATTCATTTCTTTTACTCAGGGGAAAATTAGGAAGAAGCCAAAACAAGAGCCGATAGATGTGGAGGAACACGAGGCTGGCAATGCTCCGCTAGACACAGATGATACAGGTAACTTGACGTTATTTCAATTTCCATATCAGCTATGTAGAAAGTAACACACTCAATAAAATTATAAATAGAACAAAAATAGCTTTTGTATTTCTCTATGTTAAGTGTCAACTAGATACCTAAGTCATATTCATAACTTTTAGTAATATCCTTCTTCTCCCTGCCCATTTCACAATCACTTGGGGTCGGCGCATTACATCTTCTGTACTGTTGAAAGGATTTGGCAAAAGTTTTACGACCGGCCGCCTGACGTCAACCCTCCTTGGGAATGCTATTGTTTATCGCAGAAGTCTTGTAATATGCACTTTCGATTTTGTTTTATTTTAAAATATTTTTTTCATTTTCATACTATTACTTAAAGTTTTAATGTAATTTTCGTATATATTTTTATATAAAAATCTTAAAAAAAATATATATAATTAAATATATTGAATGACTAGCGACTCACCCTTGCTTCGCTCGGGTTTGTCCCTAGGTTGATTCACCATACAAAATTTTCATCCCCATTTTCAACCCCTTAAGGAATGATTTCCGGGATAAAAAGTATCCTATGTCCTTCCCAGGGTCTTAAACTATCTTCTTACCAAATTTCATCTAAATCGGTTCAGTAGATCCAGAGATTACCCTCTACATTGTCATAAACTCACAAACTTTACCACTTTATAATATTAGTATAGATTGTTGTTTACAATATGTGTGTGTTGTTGCAGAGGTGAAGCCAGAGCAGCTGTGGGCGACACCGGCGCAGGATGACGAGGAGACGGAGCTGGACTCGGAGCTGCAGGAGGCATTGGCCCGCGCGCGCCGGCTGCGGGCGCCGCGCGCCGCCTCGCCTGCCGCACCCAAGGTGACTCGCATACTACACCTAGCTACAATGATAGCTGGTTCAACTAAATCTGCCATTTAGCCAAAATGACTCTATCAAATACATGGCATCAGAATGTACTTTTTTTAAAGTATTTTTGCTACACTGCCAGTAGTATTTGACATACAGAAGTGTATTTGTAACATCAATATCGGATTAAGATTTTATGGCTTTATCACACATGAGGTTCATGGTAAAATATAAGTCAATATAAGCTATTTTATGAGATAAATAGGTTGGTTAGGCTTCACGCTTATACATTATATATTAAATAAATGCCACTTTTGAATTGTTAATGTCATTATAAATATTATCGAAAATATTATCGAAAATTGTAATATATAAATTACAATTTTTATTTTTTATAGTTTCGTTTCCCATTCGACGTTTACATAAAAAAAATATTAAAATATCTACATTGTTCTTAGTAACTTCCATATGCAGCACTGTAACATATGTGTTATGAACGGCAGGTGGAAGAGATCCTGCAGCACCTGAAGCAGGAGGAGACGGAGGAGGCGGGGGAGGCGGGCGCTGTCATGGTGCTGGACGCCACGGCCGAGTTCTGCCGCACGTTGGGCGACATCCCCACCTACGGGCTGGCCGGCAACCGCGACCACCAGGCCGAGATCATGGTCGGTCACTCGGTGTACTGCACCACCACCATTGGTTTTTTTTAATAATCTGCTTATTATATATTCTTTTTCAACCGACTTCAAAAAGGAGGAGGTTCTCAATTCGACTGTATTTTTTTTATGTTTGTTACCTCAGAACTCCGTCATTTATTAACCGATTTGGACAATTTTTGTGTTGTTTGAAAGTGTGTACTTCCAGATTGTTCCCATTTAAATTTCAAAAAGAAATACCACCCCTAAGGGTGGAAAAATAACTAATGATGAATTTAACCTACTTCTATTATTGTCATATTGACTTGAAACTTCGCAAGTGTTTCTCTTTCCGTTGATAGTACAGTGGTTCGGTATTATCGACCTGATCTGATGGTAAGGCCAGAAGGTGGATAGGTGGAACTCTTCAACGGCTAATAGTGAGTTTGGGCTTATTTTGTTTGATTTGAAAATACTAACACGTTAGAATTCTACTTTGCTACTACTGTCTACATTAAAAAGGGAAAAATAAAAACTTAAAAAAAAAACCGACTTCAAACAAAAGCACTAAAAAGTAAAAAATAACTGATTGGTAGTTTTCATTTACTATACATACCTAATCAAATATTTTCGAAGTTCGTGTGCTATGGCTAAGTAATTAAAGCCTACCTATTAAATACATACCTAATCAAATATTTTCGAAATCGGTGCCAGCCCATACAAAGCAAAGCACACCGACTTCGAAAATATTTCATTAGGTATGTATAGTAAATGAAAACTACCAATCAGTTATTTTTTACTTTTTAGTGCTTTTGTTTGAAGTCGGTTTTTATTTTTTTGTTAAAAAGTTTTTATTATAAACTTGAAGTATAGTCATACTTTTTGGTGTTACACTAAAAAAAGTACCCACCTATTGTGTGCAACTCCATATTACAAAACGTATAGGTTATGTTGGATATAATTTGTAAAGTTCAAGATTCGATTACATATTGGATTCAAGTATATTTTCATCTCAACAAATCAAATATTATATTGTGTGAATTAATCTTATTTGCATACCCTAATTTTGTAAATACATTCAAATTCTCAATGCATATATTTGTGTTTCTATATGTGTCGACCGTGGTGTCCGCAGGACTTCGATCGCGAGGAGGCGGAGCCGGAGCCCGAGACGGAGCCGGCGGCGGGCGCGTGGAGCCGCGTGGACGTGGACAGCGAGCAGCCGGCCGACCTCGGCGCGGGCGCGACCGCGGGGCTGGAGGCGGAGCCGGCGCTAGGCGCGGGCGTGGCGGGCGCGCTGCGGCTGGCGCTGAGCAAGGGCTACCTGGAGCGCGCCGGCGCCGCGCCCGCGCCGCGCGCGCCTCGCGCCGCGCCCGCGCTCGCCGCGCACTACTCCATTGAGGACAAGAGCTACGCCGACGACGAGCGGCCTGCGCGCCGCGAGCGCGTCAGCAACGCGCCGCTCTCCGACTTCCGCGAGAAGCCCGGCTTCCGGCCCGCCATCAAGTTAGAGTACGTGGACGACGACGGCCGCGCGCTCTGCCCCAAGGAGGCCTTCCGCTACCTCTCGCACAAATTCCACGGCAAGGGACCCGGCAAGAACAAGCAGGAGAAGCGCATCAAGAAGGCCGTGCAGGAGGGGCTCATGAAGAAGATGAGCTCCACCGACACGCCGCTGGGCACGCTCTCCATGCTGCAGCAGAAGCAGCGCGAGACGCAGTCGCCCTACGTCGTGCTCAGCGGCGCCAAGAAGGATTCCAACAATTAACAATCGCACCACCACCACCACCGCACAAGTGACAGAGAAACACCGATAACATGTCTTATTCATAATTAACATTACAGAAAACATAATTCAAGTATCAACAGAAGTGTAGAGTGATATGTCAAAAAAAAATATTTTTGTTAATAAATTCACTACGCGTATAACTTTTATTGATACAAAAATAGTTGCATTTTTTGCCAATAATTCATAATAATCATAACAATGTAGGCGAAGAGATGTTTTATATGCAGTGTTTTAAATTTGAAACAAAATTATTAAGTGCTGATGTATTATAGTTTCTTTTGACATAACCTGATCAAAATTTGTATTTCATTTACCGATTATATACTGTGATTCTGAAATAATTGTTAGATTTGTCAAACAGAACTTCTTTGAATAAAAATTAGATAAATATTCCACATTACAATGCCTTTTCGTGCAAATGTTAATAATTTGTAGATCGACCAGTTTAACACTTTCGAGTATTTTAATAAATTAATTTTAGGGAAAAAAAATGTTTTATTTATACTTAAATTTCAATAGTTTTAAAAAACACACTGTGAACTAACAATAAGTAAGTTTTCAAGCAAAGCTTATTTTATTAAGATTATTTTAGAAAAAAAACAATTCTTTACTATATATTTAAAGCCTAATTAAAATTTAAAGTTTATTGCATTCAGATTCATCTGTTTCACTCGATGGTTTTATCAAAAGCAAGCTCGAGACAATTTCGATTCTATTCTCCATATTACCCGTTGGGAAATTGTTGCAATGTTCATTATAGACTTTCAGTATACATACAATAACATGTTAATGTTTTGTTTGGTTAACCGCGCTCATTCCTAGAACTACTATACTATTTTTTTTATATGGTGCGGTTGACACTTGTCAGTACGATATGGATTTGGAAGTCAGAACATTTATAAAACCTCAAAGAAAAAAATATTGTTAATCCATCCACAACCGCGGACACGCCGGTGTGTCAGTTAACAAAGATTTCTTAGAATTTTAATTAACTAGCGGCTCACCCTCGCTTCGCTCGGGTTCGTCGCTAGGTACGTTTTAAATAGAGATAAATAGTTATTAGCCAGCGCTAGCCATATAAATTTTTTTCGTTAATTTTTCTGATCTTTTAATACATATTATCCTATTCCGGACTAAAAGAAATACAAAAATTCAAATATCGTAAAAATTGGTCGTTCTTGAGTTTTATGTCACGTCACACGGGAACGCGATCGAACGCGATAAAAAGTATCCCATGTCCGTCTCCTGGTTCGAAGCTACTTCCCCACTAATTTTCAGCCAAATCGGTTCAGCCGTTGATGAGTTATAAATAGTGTAACTAACACAACTTTCTTTTATATATTAATGTAATACTATTGTCCCATCACTAAGACGTTAGTTACTACATGCATAACAAAATACAAATCGCATTTTTATTAAATGTATTTAAAAATAGTAACATGCTACAATGAACTTATATAATCCGGTTTATAGAGGTTCGGTCAAGAGGTTGACGCGATCAAATAAATTCGAGACTATTAGTAAATAGTATAGATATTGACAAGTTTGGCTGTTTGAAGTGACCCTACTTGCTGTGCCAGCGGTCGCGGGTTCGAGTCCTGCTGAGGGCATTCATTTGTGTAATTAGCACGAATGTTTGTACTCCAGTCATGGGTGTTTATATTTATAATATGTACTTATTTATTTAAAGAAATTATATATGTGTAGTGTATCAACTGTCTGGTATCTATAACACAAGCCTCGTAGCTTACCATGGAACTAGATGGTGCTATGTATTTATGTCCTAACATATTTATTTTTTTATAATTTATAAAAGATTTAGTACTTATCATTTACATCCAAAAAGATTAAATCATAAAGACACTATAAATAAAACAAGCGTGTGCAGCGAACATTAATATAATAAAATATAATTATCTTAACAATATTATAAAAGTCACATCAAATAATATTCTACGAAACATGTTACATGACTCGCGATAGCTTGACGTTATCGGTGCACTCGCCGTACAGTTATATATGTAGCAATATACTCTATGCCGTACAGTCAATAAACATTGACCATGTTAATGTATATACGAGTAAGTACATTCCTAAACACAGAACAATGTTCCTACACTTCTGGTTTCCCAGGATTAATTAATTTAAAAAACTCAGTGCTTTTGTACTGGCTCAATGCTAAAAAAATACATAAAAATGACGTATTAGGTAGGTACATATTATGTGTACCTATTATAATTATTGAAAATACTATGAAGAAGTATAATGATTGATGAACTATTGATTTTTATCTTAAAATCTTTATATATTTAAAAAGAAAATATATTTTAAGTATATTTTTTTTGTTACAAGACAAAACTTCTCCATTGTTAGTTACATTTACAGATGAATACCAAAAGTATATACTATTTAAATATATAAGGGTTACTCTTTGAAAAGATTTTCAAAGCTAATTACTTTTCCATTGAGGAATTGCAATAATGGTATCCACGTGTTAGCGCGAGTGGTCGCGCTCAAAGTGCGTGCGCGCGTGCTTGGGTGAGGCGCGGCGCAGGCGCGTGGCGCGCACCAGCTCGGGCGTGCGCGCGCGCCGCACCGGCTGCGTCGACGCCATGCGCAGGTGCGCGTACAGCGGGATCTGACATATATAATATCTTAAAAACGTTCTGACATAAACACAAGATAAATTTGAGATAAACCTTTAAAAATTAATTTTAGAATTGCTCTTACTGCATATTATTACAACATAAGTACATACAATGTTAATAATAAGAGCTTAAGATATTCATTACAAAGCTGCCTATAAAAAACAAAGATAATGTCGACTGGTTGGAAACAGATAAAGTAAGAGATGTGTGTTTTAAATAAAGCAAGGTAGTGTGGTTACGGTGGGTAGAGAGTCGTCGAGCTGCGGCGGCGGCTGCGGGTCGGGGCGCGCTGGCAGCGCCGGGTGGCGGCCCAGCAGCGGCTCGGCGGCGGGCGCGCCGTACGTGCGCGTGCGCAGCTCCGCCGCCGTGATGTCGCGCAGCGCGTCCGGCGCCGCCTGCCCCGGCGTGTAGCGCGACACGTGCCCGCCGCGCCACACCTGCAACGTACATAACCTTATCGGAGACCAGAACCGGACTTAGTGGAGGCTAATCGAGCCCTGGGACACATATAATAATAATAATTTTATTGAAATACTTGTACAGAATTATAATAATATTTAATACAAAATAAAATAAATGACCAAGTAAACAATACAATTTGGAACCTACCTGAACTAGGTTAACAACCTGTGTTTCGGGTTATAGTTTTACCATGCATTTCTCTTTGTGACTATATGTGTGATAACTCATAAAAGAACCTCTACGAAAGAAATTTTTAAATGTTACGTTTCTGCAGTGATTTCATAAAATTGACAAACTTAAAAAAGAAAAGAAAAAACCTTGAATATCTCTAGAACTTTGTTTAATGCCTCCAATCTTACTCTTTATTGTTTAACTGACGCCGGCCAGAGGCCTCCTTATTTTCTAAATCCGTGTCGTAACTCGTAGCCTATACTTATTAAATAACTATTATATAAAATCTGACCTTGAATGTAGTGGAACTGGCCACTTTCTTCACGTCCGGTGGAAATCTGGGCACATCTAGAGACCACGACAGGAAGCTGCCCAGCGTCTGCAGGTACTCCCCGGACAGGCGCCACACGCGCACGCTGTAGTCCGACGACCCACTGTCGGACGGTTAACATAGACAGGAAAAGTTACCGCTTAATCAATATAAGAAAAGTGGAATGATTTTATTAGTTAATTAATTAAAACCAATATTATATTACTTCTTTTTATTCGATCCGTTGATTAATTTCATCTTGAGACCTGCACTTGAGCTCCGGATCGCAACATAAAAATATTAGAGGTTCCTTGTCAAACATTTCTCATTATATCGTGATACCTAGTATTTTGGATAGTACATCGTTGTTCTCTTGGAATTGTTTGGCCTCCCTTCAAGTGTCTGACTCGTTTCATCAGTTTATAATTATGTATTACCTACCTACTGCTTAATATTTCCGAAAAAGAGAACGTCTAGCTCTTTTGTCTTTTCCCTCCATATATGTATACTCCTCTAGGTGATATTATTAAACCTCCTATGTGTTAAGTGATAGTACTCCCTGCTATCGTTTTAGTGTAGACGACACACATTTGTCCATGCTCCTGGTGACGTGCTCACGAAACATTACACTAAGGTATAAATTATAATGTAGATATTATATCTATATGTGACGACACGTTTGGTTCATTTTGTAGTGACTCTACTTGCTGTCGTGCCAGCGGTCGCGAGTTCGAATTTCGCTGGGGGAATTTATTTGTGTGACGAGCACGAATGTTTGTACTCCAGTCATGGTTGGTTTATATTTATAATATGTAAGTATGTATTTAAAGTATATGTGTAGTGTATCAACTATCTGGTATCCATAACGCAAGCCTCGTAGCTTAACATGGAACTAGATGGTGCTGTGTTTTAATGTCCCAACATATAAATTATGATTATTACATCTAGTAACAAAGTAAAATATGCGACCTGAGTACGAGCTTGAGGTCGTCGAGGTAGGCGAGGCTGGTGACGCGGCGCAGGTGCGCGCGCGCGCTGCTCAGCAGCAGCGGGCGCGGCTGCGCGCGCACGCCGCGCCGCGCGCGCCCCGCCACGCGGTCGCGCCACAGGAACGGGAACGCCAGGCGCAGCCGCGGCATGCTCACGTGCACCTGCACACCCGGCACCAGTAGTCTATACATATAATAAAATTGTAACTAAGCCGAATCTGTACATTAAATATTTTTTGGCATATCTTATTGAAATAGACATTATTATCGATACACAGACAATGTAAGAGTATACTAATATGTAAAACCTAAGAATTTGGTTTTTGATCATCTGACGCGGGCAGAGCCGCGGGAAATGCTAGTATTCTATAAATATATGATTGTAATATGTCTAATATGCGATATTTTTAGTATCTCACCTATCCTAATTATTTAAAACATAAAATGAATTTCATAAAGAGTACCGATAACCTACAGAAGTTTTACTCCTTGCGCGTGTACACATTAATTATTCATACACGCACTCTTTAATTTATTTCCTTTTAACACTGAACCTCGTGCCCTCTGTTGGTGCCTGGTGCACTTGAAAACTAATTCACGTTCCAATTAAGCAATAGCACACTTCGGCATTGTGTGCTAAAGTACGGCATTATGCTCTGTAATTGGAAAACAGCCAATTTCTTTATATGGAAAAGTAAAGTAGGCATTTTTCCAATTACAGCACTAAAGTGCATTATGCGGCATAATTCTCAACTTCGAATGTTTCAACTACAGCAACACTCCGCACAATCGAGCACTTTGAAAAGTACTATTTTGGCGGGATGCAAAAAAGCAGTAACAGAAAATATAAGTAGTGTTTTTTCGCGTATTCGTGTTTGTAAGCCAAAGTGCGGCTTTATGTTCTGTAATAAGTAATTAGAAAACAGGGTATATGTCATCTGTGCCAGCTATTGTTTTAAAGCGTTTTTTTTATGTTATGTTCGGCAATATAATAAAAATTATCGTTGTACAGAAATCAATTTCCTTTTCTTTCATTATTGTATGTATAATGTATGATATTAATTTATAATTATTATGTGACACGTCTGCCACATAATAATTCCACAAATACCCATGACCCATGACGTTCGTTCACCTAGGCATCTAGTTAGGCACCTCTTTATTGGTCAAATAATTAGTCATAAGCCAAATCTTGATATATCCGACAGTAGTTCCAGTGAAAAGATATTCGTTGTCGACGTCGGTGGCGAAGGCCGACACGTAGTCGCCGGCCGTGTGTACGCTCTGGAAGGCGCCCTGCAGCCCGCCCGCCGGGTGGTCCGACCAGCACTGCACTTGCCCATTCTCCAAAGCCACCATTAGAGATGCTATAATATAACAACAATATTATATATACAAAATTTTACTTCTTGCTTTAATGGTTGAAATAAGGAAAATAGACAACTAAAATATGAATATGTCATACATTATACATACAATTAGGAATTTAGGTACCTACTACCTGCCTATTACAATATAAGATAACAACTGAAACGGGGAAGCTTTCCTGCAGTGTGACAAACTGGCGGCTAATACTTACGGATGTATTCAGTATTAATACAAAACAAAGTAGATAAAGTGTGATACGTTATGCGAGTACATATGTCAATAAAATCTCTCCTATAATGTGTATGTATGTATGTAAACAGTAAGGAGAGATGTTCGAGTTACATTAACGAACAATATCTCACCGACATGCATGTCGCAGGGCCTGGTGGTGAGGAAGATCATGGCGTGCACGGCGAGCTGGCGCATGCGCCGCGCGCGCGCCGGCAGCGCCACCGCCGACACGCGCCGCGCGCGCGCCTTCTCCACCGCCGCCGACGGGTCGATGACGGACTCACGAGCCCCGCCCATGCTACAATGTAGTATAAAATACCAAACCTAATTCAATTATCTATAACTAAAGTCTTTACGAAGTCACCCTCCCTTCGCTCGAGTGCATCCCGAGGTGCATAACAGTAGCCTATTTGTTACTCCAGAGCATTGTCTATGTATTCAGCCCTTTTTAACATCTCACAACTGGGCACGGACCTCCTTTCAATACGAGGGGGATCACGCCGTAGTCCACCACGCTGGACAAATGCGGGTTGGAGGACTTCACCTGTCTTTCGATTTTTTTAGATTCTCTCAGACATGCAGGTTTCCCCACGATAATTTCCTTCACCGTAAGACAAGTGGTTATCGTGTTGGAAATGATTCATATATAAAAATATGAAATATTAGAGGTGCGAGGCCCGGAATTTGTACCTGTTTCATTCGGTTTCCCAAGCGAGCGCGTTACCACTTTATAGTCTATGTGTAAAGAAGTAACAAGTAAGCACCATTAGGTATATTAGATACTTATTATTGATCAAATATTAAAGTTATATACTTACCTAGGTCGTCGCACGATGGAAGTGCTGCGCCCGGTTATCGGCGGAGACACTGGCTGCGGCGAGGCGGCGCGTTTAGTGTACTGCATCTTGATACGGAGCATGGGCTCGGTGCATGAAAAGCGTCTGTCAACCACGGAAATTCAGCATTTATAATTTTAACTCTACTGTAGAGTTATTTCAGTAGAAGATAAATTTATTGTAGGTTTTATTTGTAAATACTAAAGTATCAAATTAGACAAAACCTATATGGCTGTCCAGTCTCTAGCTTCCAGAAGATGAGCTCAGAGTTGTACGTGGCGGTGGCGAGCGTGAGCGGGGCGCGCGCCGCCGCCGCCAGCACGTCGTCGGAGTGGCGCGTCTCCCAGCTCTTGCCGCTCTCACCGGTACCCGTATCTTCGAACTCTGTCACGTGACGATTCCACCCTACTGCTAGAATCCTGTTCGTTAATAGATGTAGTATAATAATTATTTAAGCATCATCTCAATTTATTAAGTTCTCTATAAGTAGGTAGGTACATGACTAAATTACGAGTAGGTTAGATTAGAGTGGAAAGTCTTCAAAACTAGATAGTAGAATAACACACCTTCCTTCCACCCAGAAACAATTTGTAACTTCGCACATGTGTTCTATTGCCATACTTCTTAAACAAAGTCCTGTATTAAAATTCCAAACCTAATAAGAAAATAAATTGTATAAGACAAATGAGAGCAAAACACTATTCATTATAAGAAAAATGAATGATAACGAACCTTAAGTGTGCCATTTCTGGCGCCGGTTAGCAGAAGCTGATTCCCAGGGTCAAAGCACGCTGCTGTGATCTCCACTGGGATGAGCTCGCCGTGCAGCAGGCGCGTGTGGGCGTCACGCACCATGGCATTACGTTTGCCTGTTAAGTGTTAACAATATGACTTGTGTGTGAGTAGTAGTAGTACAGTAAAAAAATCCATACGTAATTATAATAAAATTGTAACTAAGCCGAATCTGTATATTAAATATTTTTTGGAAAATCTTATTGGAATAGACATTATTATCGATACAGAGGCTGAATCTATAATTTTTAGAATTTTAGTCTAGATATACAGACAGCTGTCTGTCTGCCTGTCTGTTACCGCATCACGGAAAAACCACTGGAGGGATTTTGATGAAATTTGGTGTGGTGATAGCTGGTTATTCGGGTCAACATATAGGATACTTTTTACAGCGGGAAAAAATATAATTTCTGAGAAAAAATACAAAAACTGTAATGTAAGAGTAGGGGAAAGGGGGGTACAGTGAGCCGTAGTACACAGTGAATCAGTGGCTACTTCTCTTTGCCTATGCTTTCTATACACGTACCACAATAATGGAACGCATGTTTTAGTACTTACACCTCTACCCCGCCAGTGTCCATCACGCTCTCGCTGTTGAAGAATGTGTTACAGCCATTTGGCTATCCGTGAGTATCAAATCTATTTTTTTACTACTATTACTCGAGTGTTTTGTTCACGAAAATGTTTAATATTGAATGACTTACTTTAAATTACCTAAACAATAATCTAATAAGCTTCAGAAATAAATAGCTCTTTGATTCGTATAGATTATGTAAGTTATAGGAATTTGTTGTTCAGTTGTTAGTGGTGCTTTGGGGAACAGTGGGCCATTTCCATGTGGGGTACAGTGGATTGTCGATCCACTGTACTCCACACTAAATTTCGAGTTGATTAGACTATTTTATTTATAGTATGTAATAATAAATTTTGTTTTAGATTAACAACATAGCACGGCACTGAAAGAGAAGGACTCAAATTGGTCTTACTACTGAATAACTGAATAGACAAAATGCCATTGTCTTGTTTTACGGGGCAACAAAATTAGAAAAGTTGTAAAACTAGAAAAATAATCCATATGCAATCTTACATAGATATTATGCGAAAAGATAAAACACATTGGCAAGCTACGTTTAACTCCCACTTATGGGGTAAATAAGATTTTCACTGGAAAAAGAATTAAAAATAAAGAATATATCGAGCAACGTCAACAAGATAAAATTAATAAGCTTGTGAAAGTAGCAAAACATATTAGTAAAAAAGTTATGCAGTTCGATTCTAGTGACGAAGATAGAAAAAAACAAAGGAGTAGTACAAATTAAGAGAGAGAAACGACTAATAAGTACAAAGAGAATGAAAAGAAAAAATTCTGCGTCTAGTATAGTTAGTTGCACATAAAAAGAAAGTATTTTACACAGGAAAGGGAAGGAGAACAAAAGTAAAGAATGGGTACAAATTACCTGATGTTCCAAATATAGCTTCAGTACAGTAGAATATATAATAATGAAATTACCTCTGCCTACATTTTGTGGCACTAAACGACAACAGCAAGTCTATAAATGAGATCGATCTCAATTTTTCTCGCTTAAGTTTGCGTTAATTATTATTTTATTTTTTAAATTTCTTTTCGTATTAACGTGATATGTTTTTATTTTTGAAATTAGTTTTATTGTGTATATGTTTTATTTTGTTTCGTTCAAGATTTATGTTATCCAGTTAATAATTTTTAAACCTTAAATAATACCTTAAACTTCTTAATATAAATACTAAGTACATGTTTTATAAGATATCACTACAAGTAATGTGTTACTTACGACTGATAGAAAATAAATAGAGATTGATAATTTTGTAATATTATTGATTAAAAGTGTTCACATAATTCATAAATATTTTTATTTATATATTTTTTTAACAATATTGATTGATTCGCTGTAACCCAACAGTAAAATGTATGATGATTTCATGTGTTGATTCACTGTGCCCCAATAAGATCCACTGTACCCCATGCGGAGATCCAATGTACCCCATATATGGGGTACAATGAATAATTTCCCTCTTTTTAAAAAAACCTTTGCTTTCAGAAAACTATTAATATTATTGCTAAAGTTGAACTATATTTATATAGCCAACTTAACACCTCATTGCTCTACATATAAATATTGGTAATTTATACTTTATTTATATAGGTAAACTACATTTGAAAAAAAGTGATCCACTGTACCCCCCTTTCCCCTACATATTATACTATTATGTAAAACCCAAGAATTTGGTTTTTGGTCATCTGAACGCGGGCGGAGCCGCGGGCAATGCTAGTATGTAATATATGATTAAACCTATAAATATTAAATACTATTATTAGCGTTCCCACAAGTAATGTACAAATGTTACAGACAGATTTTATAGCTTACCAGTAAGTGGATCCCAATTAATAATAATACTGTCCATGCCACATGTGATAACTACTTTAAATAGTGGGTTATATAGCACTTTTGCGATTGCTCTAGAATGCGTAAAGCCGTCTGTATGTTGAGGATTCAGCTGCTCGTCTAGCACTACTATAGCAATCTTGATTGCAGCCAGAATGAACTCTCTCGTGGCTGGGTTATAAACTGCAGAAATTGGAGTACGTTCTCCTATTTGTGGTGGTATATCAATATACGTCTAAAATTGATTTTAAATTTGATATTTTTGGTAGCAAGTGTGTGTGAGTGTATGTGAGTTGTGAAAATTGTTAGAACTTACTTGTATACAAGATTGGCCTTGTACGTCCCATACTTTAATGACGCGGTCTCTCGAAAGCGAATAGATAGTCTGCCCGCTGTTTTGCAGTACAAGCGCTATAATTCCCGCATGATGACCCAAAAGGGTAACATTTGCCTTACTGGGTACGAATGGATTCCACACACGAATGACGCAATCCGGTCCACCTGACACGAGCACGTGGGCTTCCTCGTCGAACGCAAAACATTGAATTCCCTATGACAATTTTATGTTCATTAAACCAATCAAAATGATTACTTACGGTTCTTAAGGTGTCAGTTATTCTTCAATGTATGTAGGTATGTCATGTCTCTAGTACCTAGAGTTAATATCCAATTGTGAAATAGCTCATTTTCTATGACTGGTTGACTGGTAGGTAGGTAGGTATAAATTGTATGCCAATTTTTTTACATTTATTATATAAAACAAGAATTTTTATCTAATTAGTAATAAAATCTTCAAACCTTATCTACTTTAAACATGTTATGTGTCTTGGAAGCAGCGAGGTCGCACATGAGCAGCGAGTCCGGGCACGTCGCGCACGACATGACGCAGTGCAGCGACGCGTAGAACGACACCTGGCGCACCCACTCGCTGTGCACGCCCTTCATCTCTATCAGCTGCATCTCCGGGAGGAGGTGTGGCTGGGACACAACAACACTTTTCAAATAAAACTTTTTTACGCACGCTTATTGTCTGACAAATGATATATAATATTACATTCTTGATATACGGGATGAAATATTTAGCTCTGAAGTCGGCCGCAGGACATTATTATTATCAGAAAATTTAATTAAGCAGAATTTCTTAACACCTATATTTTCATACATGGGTAACTAAGATAAATGTAATACAAAAAAGGGATAGATACTTGTAGAAATTCTTACCCGTTTTTGTAAATCAATATGACGCAACTGCAACAAGACCCGCCCTGGTTGGTTGCGAAAGGGACCACGTTTAATTGGCGAGAACAGCAATATGCGTATGTTGCCGCCAACATCGCCACATATCAAAATGCATTTCTCGTTAATGTCCTTCGAGAAATGATAGTGCATTGCGCATATCTGTTATAAAGATTTAAAATATATGTATTGCAACTCATTAGTTAGTAGATGTCTTTTATCTTTTGCCAAAAATAAAGATGATCGCACATGCAAGGAATGGAGGTAGCCTGGTAAGGGTTTCTAACGTCTACAATAAAGCCTATAATAGTTTTAATTGCATATTGATGAATACATAAAAGACCTAAACATCGAAATTAAAAAAAATAGAAATTCTTAAAGTGACATTATAATGATAAAAAGTGCCTATTTAAACTTTCCACTAATCACCATATATTCCCAACTAGTTATGACAATCTTGAGAGTAAATGTCTTCGCAGTGCAGTCATAAAAACGAAGATCTCTTTCTGTTGAACTCGTAACAATGATATTGACATCCGGAAGGCATACCGTATCAGTCACCCAAGTCGTTCGTACTTTAAGATGCGCTGCAATACATTAGTGAATCAAAATGAAAATTTTGCCTGTGTTGTCTTGTCTAGTTTACATACACTAAGTGTACTCCTACAAATGTAAGAAATATTAAAATTCGCTTTTAGGTTTAATTGTCTATTTTTAAAAAACAAACTTACGGCTGGAAGAATATGCAGTCCGCAGGAACGTCATATCAAGCGACCACCAATTGAGCATGCCGTCACGACTAGCTGTTATATAATTTCCTTGCATAGGGTCTGTACAACGATCCTAATGTAACGTCAACTATTAATATAAATTATTAAAGATAAATAATAAGTACTTTACCCAAGTCATAAAGAATAAAAAAATTCCTTTTAACGTATTTAAAAAAAATACTTTAACCAGCCTTGTCTACATCTGGACAAAAGCATATCTTGGAGATGGGATGTCGATGCTGTGAACGCATTACAGTAGGGAGTCCCATTATTGGTTGTTGTAGAGAGGGGCGTTGGTTTTCAGGATCATTAGCGAAGTATCCTAGTATAAGATGGGATACCAGCTCGTCCCAGTCGATCTCTCCGGTGCGTGATGTGTTTATCTTTGTAGAAACAGACGACAATGAGCCAATAAATGTATGACAATATACATATCGTATAAACATAATAGAAATAATGTAGTTATAAGTGAGGTCCTTATTCAACAGAGTTGGAACAATCTATTCAGTGGCCATTAGTTTCTAATATCATATTATTTGTATGTATTCAGCCCTTTTTAACGTCCCACTTCTGGGCACGGGCCTCCCTTCAATACGAAGAGGGATCAGGCCATAGTTCACCACGCTGGCTAAGTGCGGGTTGGCGGACTTCACATGTCTCTCGAAAACTTGCTAGGTTCTTTCAGACATGCAGGTTTCCTCACGATGTTTTCCTTCATCGTAAGGTAAGTGGTAATCATGTTAGAAATGATTCGCACATGAAAATATCAGAGGTGCGAGACCCGGGATTTGAACCCGCTTCACTTGGTTTTTCAAGCGAGCGCATTACCACTGGGCTACCACTGCCTCATATTATTTACTAAATGGTTTATATACATATAAAATGCTTAAGAAATAATAAGGAAAGGATACCTTCATAAATAAAATATTGAAATCCTCATCATCGTATTCTACATTAAGTAATGTCCTCAACAAATTTCTGAACTCAGAAGGTGGCATTTTATTCATGTATGCCTGTTGAAAAGCTTCTTTGATGTTTACCATATCCGGCATGGAACATCTTTCATGCAGAGGGGCGTTGCGCCAGCGCAGACGGGACAATGCTGCAGTACTGCCGTCTGACTTTGAGCATATCGACATAATAGATTTTACATCACTATTGTTTGCCATTGTAATTATAATTATACGTAATTTATTATAATTTTATATTTATAATTATACGTAATAAAACAAGAAAATGCACGATAACGACGAATAACAGAAAAATATTCAATTAAAAATAGAATTTATTTTATTGTAATTTCAGTTACAAGAAAGACTAAATATCGTTATTAATATTTAAAGAATATTGTCATTTTCGTATTTAGTTTTTTTTTTAATAATACAGTGGCATACATGTGAAACAGCTCAGAAGGATTTTCCAGGAAAACAAATATTTGGCAATTAACAATTATATTTTTCGCTTTTTCTGTATACTCATTTTACATCATGGATGACAAATAAAATTTTACATTTATGTTTTTATATTCCTAATTTATATAAACTGAATCACCGACTGTCCACTTGACACATCAAATAAATCTATTGTCAAATCTACAAACTGGCACATAAAATAACTAAATGTTACACATGATAGTAAATGCAAAATAAAAATATTTGTTTTTTTTCTATATTGGCTTACAGCTGTTCTCGAGGCGTAAGCTCAGCTTTGCACAACGACTACTCAGCCCAATAGACACCTCACGCAAGGCGAACACTTTCAGTCAACACGTTAGACAAATACGTCTGAATTGAGAAAACGATCGCGCGATTTACTTCAGTAGCGACCACATCCAAGGAACATTTTTACTCTAGGGAGACCACATCCGTGACCCGCGAACACATTGCTTGAGACTCGTGAATTTCCGACACAAAAAATACAACAGACGCGCAACATGGCTTCCTGTACAATAAAATGGTATGGAAATAGTAGCCAAACATGTATTTTTTAAAAAAATGGCATCACTTTTCATAGGTAAGTGAATTTTAATTTCCAAATTCATTAAATGTAATTAAATGAGAGCTCAAGTTATATTGGTCGCAACGCAACTCGCGTTGATGTATTCGGACATTCTCGGACTATGCATCCCTTTCTTTTCAATGCAGTTCATTGTTGCTATACTTTTCTTTAATTACCAACACGTGTAACTTGTGCTGTACCAGTTAAACTATAAAATTTTAAAATTATATCAGAAGGAAATGCTGACATTTTAATCATTAAAAAAGCAGTCATGAGGACTGCCGACAGAAGTGAAAACTTAAAACTATGAACAAACAGTTGTGATTTTTGGAAATTCAAGTTAATTGTTTGATCTAAAATTAAAATTTGTAAATTAAAACTGTTTACATTTATCTGGTTTTGACATTTATCGGCACTCGTTAACATATTCGTTCAATTTGCACAAAATTTCTTTCGTTTGGCTGTTTAATGGTTTTCGTGTAGTCAATATAGTTACAGTAGGAGCCATTTCACTAATGATAATAATAATAACATAACAATAGTATTATAATTCAAACACAATAACAAAATAATATTATACGTTAAGCTGCAAACGGTCCAAGAGGTGAAATGCGGAAAGTGCAGGGCAGGGAGATGACACGTAAGGGACACGCCGCGGCTCAGGCCACGCTTCAAAAACCAGTTTAAACGGGTTTAAACCAAGCCACAAGTCGTACCTCTCCGTACACTTAACACTATGTGTGTACACTCACACATATGCAAAGCTGAGCTTAAGGCGCGAGGACAGTTGCGTTAAAACATTAAGCCAGTGTCACGTTTTTTGAGGAAGCCTAGTTGTGCTATCGAAACCACAAGTCACAACCATTGAACCATGGATGACAAATAGTCACAACCATGGATGACAAATAGCAAACTTCAAATAAAGCTGTCAGTTGTCACTTATGTAATATGTTTTTACTTTTTATGTCATCCATGACTTATGTCACTAAAACTAAATAACCTAATTTTAATTTGTATTAAATAATAAATATTTAAAAGTATAAAGAAAATGTTTTTAACACTTAAATTACTAGCGAATAGACATCCTTCATTTATAGCACGTACAGTGTTTGTGAAAAATAATGATGTAGATAATGCTTGCAGGATAGTTAACAGAATTTTGGGTAAAGAAGGTATTTTAGAGCAGTTTCGATTGACCAGATATTATGAAAAACCTTTCCAGGTATAAATTTTGATCTTTTTTTACATATTATTTAAAAGTAGTCACATTATAATTGCTAAAACGTGATATAACCAATTTCTTCATTAGAATAAGCAATTCTCTCGCGAAGGCATGTCATTTTTCAATCTACTAATTGCCACACGAAAAATCACAATAATGTATTGTTGTATTTCAAATTGAAAGTAAAACTAATTTCAAATTCGTTAATAATACAATAAGAAAAAAAAAGTTAATTGGTAAATATTTCACTCTGAAAAACTTATATTTTATTTACAGACAAGACGTCGTGTCAACCATGAAAAATGCAAAGCTATCTATAATGAAGACATGGAAAGAAAAATTCAATTTGTTCTTCGTAAAAATCGTCATGAACCCTTCCCAGGATGCCATTAATATAAATAAGTTAGATTCTTAATAATTTGTTATTATTTTTAGTATATATATATATATAAATAAAAGCCATTGCAAATTAACTTCATTTATTCTTATTTTAAATATGTGTTTCTAAAATATTTACAAATATTGATACAAAGTATTGTCTTTATGTATAGATTTAATAAAGTATAAGAAAGCTAATATTAAAGCGACTAGATGCACAGTTTGGCACAAAAAGGAGCCCGGGGGCTGAGCGTGGTGTCACATATAAAGGCAAGTGTCACGTCTACGAACATAGAAATGGTAGCGATAGCAGCGGTGGCATGTTTTAATACCACATCTGTAACTAAGACCACCTTGAGGTTTTCCTTTGCAGTACTTCAATCCACATGGGTACCAGTTGACACATACCTGAAATATGTTCATTCAATAAATAAATTATACCAAAATTTTATGAAGAAATGTGATATAAATAGTAGGAAATAACTAACCAATGTTACTATACTTCTAACAATTTTAACTTGCCTCTAAATGACAGATGCATTCCTTAGACCCATCATCCTCCGCCATACACACACTCACAACAGGAGTGCCATCTGCTGAATCTGATGAAAGGACATGTGCTGGGAATGGTGTGATCTCAGATGCATATGATGATTGTTCTACACCTTTAATGCAACAACACAATTTAATTACATAATATGCTTTAAACAGCTCGCCTATCCCTATTAACATTGTTGGATATGCAAATTTGTCATTTTCTTTTTATTTCACTAATCACTCTTAAAAAGTCTCTTCTTTTAGTAGCTGCAACAAAAAAATAATTTTTACGAGTAGTTTTTAAAATCGCCACAAGTAGTTTTTGTTAACCTAACTTGTACATTTAAAAAAATATCAACAATTCAAACTTTGACGCACTCTCCTGTAAAGTTGCCGATTTTCACATCCGACAATGTTAATAGGGATAGGCGAGCTGTTGAACAAATCATTAAATTAATAATACTATTGCATACATTATATTATCATGTTATCTAACAATTTATTGGAAATCTAAGATACTTAACTGGTGATCATTAATAAGAATGGATATTGTTCAGAATTTTCTTTAGTATTATATTATTTATTACAGATATTATGTATATACAAAAAATGTATTTTAAAGTCTATACATATAATAAAATTGTAAGTAAGCCGAATCTGTACATTAGATTTATTTGGAAAATCTTATTGAAATAAACATTATTATCGATACAGAGGCTGAATCTGTAGTTATTAGAATTTTTGTTGGTCTTTCTGTTACCGCATCACAGAAAAACCACTGAAGGGATTTTGCTGAAATTTGGTATGGTGATAGCTGGTTATCCAGGTAATATATAAGGATACTTTTTACTGTGGGAAAATATGTTATTTTTGAGAAAAAATACAAAAACTGCAATGTAAGAGTTTACTAATATATAAAACCTATGGATTTGGTTTTTGGTCATGTGAACGCAGTTGGAGTCATGGCCAATACTAGTATATATATAATTAGAATACTGAGTAATGTAATTTGACTAATAAATTAATAAATAATACTAACCAGGTCTAGGTGCCCATCTAGTTAAGTCTGCAGATCGTAAGTAAACTTTATCATATGCTAGACCACAATGTCTTGCAGCTGCCGGTGATAATAAACGAACAGCTCTGCCTGCCCAAGCTGTTGCAGTGGTTTGACGCCAACCCTTATCTTCTTCAGCTACTCTCACAGTTCCTGGATTTTTCTAACAAAACTCATAATTACAGATATATTTTCAATAACATGACATTCTAACTAAATATTAAATTTAGAATTAGTTAAATATTATATTAAATATGAATAGAAATATCTGGTCAATTTAAAACATAGAAAACTAATTTATTAATAATGAGATGTAAATAATTTAAATGAACACAATTGCATTTCTATTTATTTCATATACCTGTCTAAGTTTGGCCATTGCATCAGGAGCTATAAAATCAGCTTGTGCTGCATGTGTCAGAAAGCATAGGACCTGATGACCACTCTGGCCAAGCTCCTCTTCCCCAGGTATCACAACTTTCATTGCTTCAACTTCCTGCAGTAATTAAAAATGCTTTAAATAACATAACTGTGTCACCATTGATTGATTTTGTGAAATCAATCATCTTCTAAATATTATGATTAGGCAAATCACCATTTAAATAAAGATTATTAGTCAGTATAAGTATTAGATTAAAATATTATAATCTGGATAAATCGTATCGTAGCAAAGTACTTATAATACTTACATTAGTAAAATCGACTAATTGAGAAACGTAAACGCCATCTAATCGCAAGAACTCAAGAGTCACTGTGTCTTCGGACACATTAGCAGTAATGTTCTCTTGCATAACATCGCCACCCTAGAGAAATTTTCATTATAGTGTAAAGTTAAAAGAGAAATGTTAAAATCAACTTTTAATTTTGTTTCTTTTACCTGGTTCTTTACATTAATAAGAAGTTGTAAATAAGTTGGTTGAATAAATATGTAAAAGAATAAAGCAACTTTTAATACAAATTGTTCCATTGCTTTTCTTACGTTTAATGTAATAAAATAAGCGTCTTATCCTTAATTTTCTAACTTTACCTGAGTCTACCACAACAACAAATTATATTTGGTTTGACGGACACTTTGACTTTATCTTTCATATTTATAAAGATGGCACGAAAAAATATGATAGGTATCACTAATATTAAAAATAAAACATATAATCAAAATAAACATTATTATTTACATCAAAATTAGGTAACAAATCTCATTTTTTTATTTTTTTAAGGTACTAAAATTAATAAATACATAATATCGTGTAAACAACAGTATAAACTGTAACTATCTTCGTAAATGCTAAATGCTATTTGTAAGAAAATAACTATTTTTGGAAAACTTAAAAGTATATTGTTAAAATATAAATTCTCCACTAATAACATAAAAATAAAAAAAAATGACATAAAAATAATATGTATAGTGATGAAAAATATATTTTGAAAATATGTCTTTTCTTTTACATAACAAGCGATTAGCTAACAAACTACAAAGACAAAAATATTGTGAATCTACACGGGCGTCGTATTTATTTATTGGTCTGGAGCAATTGACTTTGAATATTATTCCCATGCTTTACCGATTTTTTTAGCTTGACGTTTATATTTTTATTTTGAGGTCATTATTTTACACACGATTTCATCGGATGCGCGACCGAACCGAGCGAGTAGCGAGTAGCGATATACGAACGTCACCCGAAACGGAAAGAAGGGCGATGTTAACATTAGCGAACATAGACAGCTGTCGTTTCATTTTCAGCTGATTTTTGTGTACGCTCTGAATACCAACAGTTACTCGCATATCTAAGGTTTCTTGTGTAACAGGAGTGTTTATATATAAGTTAAGTGTAGGAATAGCATAGAGCTAGGGTGTTGTGGGAACAATCGAGAAACGTTTAACAACGAACAAAGGGAGATGGTTCATTGAGCGCGGGCGGCGGGCAGCGGGCGTGACGTCACGCCGCGACGAGGCCGATGCGGCGGGGATCGTGACCGGAGGAGCGCGAGCACGCGCAGCGGAGCGGGCCAGCCTGGCCTCCAGTGACTCCGGGGACGAGGGCCAACGGCCGCCGCGCAAGCGGACGCGCAGGCTGTCGCCGGAGCCGACCATGCACCAGCCGTGCACCAACGGCGCTCACCTCAACGGTGACGCCGCTCGCAATGGGGACCTGCCGCCGGGCCTCCGAATGGGCCAGACTGACCAAGAAATCGTCCGCCTCATCGGCCAACACCTGCTGTCTGTTGGCCTCGAGTGAGTACTCCACTATTCTATGTTCCTTTGTTTGTTTACATTTGATTCCTATAGATGAAAATTAAGTTCTTTTGTTTATCAAGACTGACAGATTTTCTAATAGACTTCTTATCAGATGTTTTTTGTTTATCATTCTATGTGACTGTTTTGTATAATGAATAGAAAAATAATAGTATAAAATGAAATCTTATAGAGTTAAGGTAGTGGAATTTAGAATTAGTTGAAGCATTGAATATATTATAAGTTTATTAACTTTATATATTATAAATTATAAAATAGTAAAGCATTCTTTTTAGTTTAAATTTTTATTTTAAAATCTCAGTATGATGTAATAGACAAATATTTAAAACAACCATATATTTAAATTAATAAAATATCTTTAGAAGAAGGAAACTATTTGGCCTTTGTTATGTTGCAGGTTGTATAATGTACTTCAAAGGTATAAAATAATTGAATTTGAATATACCAGGACAATATCTTGCTTTATTCCACTAGTACAGCTGTTGCTAATAGTGACTATTTATTAAAGATTTATTTTCTTAGGAGCATTGTGTTTTCAAACAAAGATGTTTGTTTTGTAGGAATTACATTATTAGATATTGTTTTTATCATTATTTCCGTCAAAAGGCTGTTGACAGCTGTTTCTGACTTTTCCTATGAGAATTATTTCTAGTTAAAATTAAGAATTTGATTTTCTTATTAGTTTTACTGATATCCATTAAATATAACTATAAATATTTATTGTATGCACAAAGTATTCTGCTGCCTGATTGCCATATAAAAAATACCCACTGAAATATTTTATGGTTTGACATCAATTATTGTCTTTAATCTACCCTTACAGTTTCTGAGTTTTTCTAAAACAATCTTATGTAAAGGATATGATATTAAGTTAAAATATTCAAAAGCCATAGAGTTCAATAGTGCAATTATATAATTAAATATGATAATGTAATTAGAAGCAATATTTCAAATTATTGCAGTTATAACAATTAGAATTACTTCTTATTGTTCTCACTGATGGTTCTGCTGGTTAGTTTAGAAAAAAGACCATATAACGACCATATAGCCATACAAAGCTACAATAAAATAAAATGCTTTGTATGGCTAAAAACTTGGATTTATTGAGTAGATTCATACTTCATAGATGTCCTTTACATACATATGAAACAACAAAATTTATGTGTGCCTATATATGTAATCCAAAAAGTCCTTGCGAAAGACATTATATTGTCCTTCATAAGTAATGTCTCATTTAATTTAAATTTAATTTTATAATTATTATACTAATTATTATATAAAATTATTTTTTTTTATTTTATATTTTATCCGTACATGTATACTTCCCTCATGAATATATTAAATTTGCTGTTAACACTGGGATAGCTAATAGCCAATCGCACACAATTTGATGTTCTAAGGGAGGAAATACCAACATACACTTTTCTGTGTTTGCTGATTCATATAAAATGGTATGTCAATTATAAATATCACAGAAATGTACTAATATTTTTTTAAAGAAGTCGTGATAGTCCCGAACAAAGATCTTATTCACCCATTGTCTTTTGTAGATAATATACTAGTGAGATATTATCTCGTGTTTTATATGAGGTGTGAACGTTCGGCATCGGCTTGAACTTGCGTCGGTTATTGCTCCTGTGGGCGGCTGCGGGCTGCTGGTGGAATGACGCGACGTACTGTCTTCTAAAATAAATATTGTTTCTTTGCATCATTTTAGTTTTTCTCCATTGAATTTGATCTAATATTTGACACGACTATTGATCCGTGGTACACATAGAATACTTATTGATAAAAGTCGGTTCGTCGAGGCGGTTAAAAATGTAATACGATGAAACGAACACTATCCAATTTTGATTTTGAACTCTAATCAAAGGAATATTTCCTACTGACGTAGATGTTCACACAGCACTATGTGCGCATTTGTGAAACAAAATTAAGAGACTAATTATAAGTATTGCAGAATTGTATTTACTACAATAAATACTAGTCACTTATAAATACTTATGCTTATTCGTAATCTTTTAAACAAACCTAAATATAGGCTGGATAACATTACATTTAGTGAAATGTTACTTGTAATGAAAGTGATTAGATAAGGCGTCCATTTGCGATAGGTAGGTATTAGATACATATGTTACTACGACCTTAGCAATAAAAACAAAATTAAATTACTTAAACAATTATAAATTAACTAGCATTGCCCGCGGCTCCGCCCGCGTTCAGATGACCAAAAACTAAATTCTTAGGTGTTACATATTAGTATACTCTTACATTGCAGTTTTTGTATTTTTCCTCAGAAATAAGATATTTTCCCGCGGTAAAAAGTATCCTAGGATCGCGCGCTACATCGCCCGGTTTATATAGCTTGAGCAGGCGGTCGAGCGATGCGGGGCAGAGGGGATGGACTCGCCGTAGGCATCTCAATGCTCGCCAAGCATTAAAAATGTTTCGCTACTAATTACTTCTAACAACGATATCTCAAAAACTATTCATCTGATTGATTTAGTGTAAAGAGCAATTTTAATCTGCATTAAATGACTAAGCTAACTAAAATATTCATTTGGATAAGGATTAATACCGAACTAAAGAAAATAACTTTGAAAATAACGTAATGTTTTTAATTAAAAATGTTAACATAAAAGTGGTTATTGTAAGTCAACCGTAAGAGATAGAGATATGCTATCGCGGACTTTTTTGTAGCATTTTTATAGATTTTGAATTCTCTAGTACATTACTTAACTGTATCTTTGCTAGTTTACGCGGCGTTCGCGTGGAAAGTTCCCATTTGGCGAGATTTTTTGCGACCTCTTCAACATTTGTCGCCGTATTTCAGCTAATTTACATAAAAGCATAATAAATTATATACCTAAACCTTCCTCAAGAATTACTCTTTCTATTGTTGAAAACCGTATAAAAATCCGTTCAGTAGTTTTCGAGTTTATCGCGTACAGACAGACAGGAGGACAGACAGGAGGACAGACAGGAGGACAGAAAGACGCGGCCGGGGGACTTATTTTTATAATAAGTATAGATGTGGGTACTTCAAATACGTTAATATATTTCGTTTAATGTTACATAGGCATAGCAAAGGCCAAAGTCACGTTTACAATAATTAGTGTAGATAATTATAGAAAACTTGCGTAAAGGCAGAGGTCTACGTTTTATATATTACGCAAAAAAAAATAATGTTACTACACTTTTTATATTAGCTAGAGCTAGGGTTTCATCTCAGAGATGCGACTGCTAAGAATGAAATAAGGTTCTACGGTGTCAAATATAAAACAAGTCTAACTAAACATCCCAACTCGTCAGATTTACATCGAACAATTTCAGAGAGCAAGCAAAACGTCGGGAATCGAAAATCAAAATAAATTCGCGATAGAATCTGAAAAGAGTTTTATTTAAAACGTCAAATATTCGCGCAAAATCTAAGAAAATGCCTATTAGCATGCGAAGATCAAAAAAGAGTAATATTATTTATGAATGCCATTAGAGTCGCGTAGAAAGTTTTCACAGGAAGTACTTCTTCCCCATATCACTCACCTTCATCATTGCCGACAGATTGCGTGATAAAGCACAGAAAAAGCTACTAGTGTTTTAGTGGATAGTAGGGCAGTCAAGCGACCTGGGTCGATTGTAAGTGAACGGGTTCAGGCGTGACACTAAGAAATTATACTAACAAATTTATATTGATAAACGATACGACTATTGATTGACGACACGTTTGGCTCAGTTTGTACTGAGTAAAGAAATAGGGTCACCTATTTGCTGTGCCAGCGGTCGCGGGTTCGAGTCCCGCCGGGGGCATTCATTTATGTGATGAGTACTCCAGTCATGAGTGCTTATATTTATAATAGGTATGTATTTAAAGTTATATATGTGTAGTGTATCAACTATCATCCATAACACAGGCCACGTAGCATACTATGGAACTAGATGGTGCTGTGTGTGTCCCAACATATTTATATTTATAAATCACACATTTATTAAGAAGATATCACAAAATATAAATGTAGAGGGCTCATCTATATACAGAATCAGTCTCAGTAAAATAGTGGCTTAGGCAACTTGTATAGAAGGTTCCGGACTTCTATTTATAAATGCGTAAACTAATTCTCTTCAGTCTCCATGTCATCCCAAGTACGCCGTCTTTTGAAGTTTAAGTACTTTATAACTAACTCATAACTTAACTTTCTTCTTTTGGGGGAACGCCACAATAGATGAGCACAGTTAGCACATTCTTCTCTTCTTCATCTCTTTTTCATCTGTAATTATTTATTATGTACCCCATGGAGTTGATGCTTCTTTTTGATCCTCGTCACGTAATTAATATCGTGTTGGTCAGTTGCTTTTGTTAGATATATTCAATTTTAAGTCTCCGTATACTTTCATATACTGCGATATTTTACTTTGCCCTTTAGTCTTAGCTCTCATACGTTTTATTGTCGGTTGAAACGGTTCATCCGTTCCCAAAAAAAATATCATTACCCGGTACACGTTTTTGTAAATTTTGCGTCATTTACACCAAGCTATTCTTAACAGCAAATACAATGTTTGAATTGAACCTGTTTGAGCTTTGATAGTTAAATAAAGATATTTCTCAAAAAGTCAAATAAGAGAAAATGACATAGTCTATACATATGATAAAATTGTAACTAAGCCGAATCTGTATATTAAATATTTTTTGGAAAATCTTATTGAAATAGACATTATTATCGATACAGAGGCCGAATCTATAGTTTTTAGAATTATTGTCTGTCTGTCTGTTTGTCTGTCTGTTTATCTGTTACCGCATCACGGAAAAATCACTGGACGGATTTTGATATAATTTGGTATGATGATAGCTGTTTATCTGGGTCAACATATAGGACACTTTTTACCGCGGGAAAATATCTCATTTATGAGAAAAAAAAACAAAAACTGCATTGTAAGAGTATACTAATATGTAAAACCTAGGAATTTGGTTTCTGGTTATCTGAACGCGGGCGGAGCCGCGGGCAATACTAGTTATTGATAAAATAACAAAAAAACAGCCATAAAACACTCTTTTGCTCGCAAAAACACAATAACCGCACATACTAACTATGTTAATTGTTTAACTAATTATGTTGAATATGTACTGACAGAAAAACTTCTTCATTCTCTCCTCCCGCTATCTTCTGTGATTTACGAAATATAAACATTGTTACAACCATACACTATTGTTATAAGCGTTTCCTTGCTGTGTATTCGCTTGGTTGTCCAAGCAACTAACTATATGTATTTTCTTAAATATGACGACTGAGAATTAAAATAGAAAAGTACCTAATAAAATAATTTGTTACCGTAAAATTATAAGAATAAAATAAAAAGTTGTAAATAGCCAATTCTAAGAAATGTCATAAAAGTAAATCGACTAATACATTTTAAAGCATATAATGTAATATGTTTCCAGGCGTAGCGCGGCGTTGCTCATGGAGGAGTCGGGCCTGCATCTGGAGCACCCGGCGGCGGCCACGTTCAGGCAGCACGTGCTGGCCGGCGACTGGGTGAAGGCGGACCACGACCTGCGCGCGCTGCACGACCTGCTGCGCGACTCGCCGCATGTGGAACCGCACAACCTCTCCGTGAGTATTATCTTCATGGTCTATGCCAGATACATTATATGTAACAAAAATATTTGTTTACTATTACATTTGCAACATTCCAACAAAAAGTTACCTTAAAACTGTCCAAGAGTTTCACTGTCACTTGTGACTTTAGCCTCCATTTTACTATAAATATCGCCTAAAGTCAAAATAAAAAAAAAATGCCTCCATTCCACCACGATTTTAATTCCGTTAAAATTCTATTTCGTTTTAATAATTTTTAAAACTTAAAACAATTATTAATACTCGAAGGCAATCAGTTTTCCCAATGGGATATGACCTTTGAAAAAGGATCGACCTAGGCAGACATATATGATTACGTAGCATAACTGCTGTATTTGAAGTGGAGCTGGACCCTGAGCGTATCAATGTACTACACAAGATAATTGCTACTGAGATATTTTGAGATTTGAATCTTTAAATTCTGCACAAGCACACAAATTCTGCAATTGTATGAGAAATACAGTTGCGACTGTATATAAAATGATTATGATTATACAGTAGATGATGCTTATCTACATATCTAATGATACATATCTTCAATTTAGCTGTCCTATATTACAGCTATTAACATGTTAACACTCGATATAATGAAATATAGCCTATTTATGCCATAGCTTATGCGTGTCAGATTGCAACCGATAATAAAGAAGTAAAGCAAAATGATGAAGAGAACTAATTGCTAAGGTAATAAATAAGGAATTCACAAAACATCTATTCCGTAGGAGATGAAATTCGTAGTGCTGGAGCAGAAGTACCTGGAGCACCTAGAGGCGGGGCGCGTTCTGGACGCGCTGCACGTGCTGCGCAACGAGCTGACGCCGCTGCAGCACGACACGCCGCGCGTGCATCGCCTGTCCGCGCTCATGATGTGCGCCGACGCGGTCGAGCTGCGCGCACGCGCCGCCTGGCCCGGCGGGCACGCCGCGCGCGCCGACGTGCTCGCGCGCGTTCAGGTACATACCTTTAATATATTCAGTTTCAAATAATACAACAATATTTCTTTATTCATCTGAACATATTTTTAACATTTCGTTTTAAGGGGATGGGACCTGTGTAGCACTGACAACATTACGCTATTTATTATTATTATTATTTTTTTTGTGTCACGTTTCCGAGATACTTGAAGGCAAAGATCACAGAATGAAAAAATGAATTGTGAAAAAGGACACATTATGTGTGTTAGTTTTATTCATGTAATATGCGATCTTTACTTCAAAATATGACGAGTAGGCTGTAGGTCTATTCATCTTACCAATTACCAATTTACATTGTGCGCCCGTGTTTTAAATACCAGCTTTCATAGAAAAATGTTTGAAGTTCTTGCCCCTTTCTTACATTAATTAACATGTATATATTTCGCCTTATGAGTAACATCATATAATATTTAATTATTGACATTTATTTGTGACTAGCATTGCCCGCGGCTCCGCCCGCGTTCAGATGACCAAAAACTAAATTCTTAGGTGTTACATATTAGTATACTCTTACATTGCAGTTTTTGTATTTTTCCTCAGAAATAAGATATTTTCCCGCGGTAAAAAGTATCCTAGGATCGCGCGCTACATCGCCCGGTTTATATAGCTTGAGCAGGCGGTCGAGCGATGCGGGGCAGAGGGGATGGACTCGCCGTAGGCATCTCAATGCTCGCCAAGCATTAAAAATGTTTCGCTACTAATTACTTCTAACAACGATATCTCAAAAACTATTCATCTGATTGATTTAGTGTAAAGAGCAATTTTAATCTGCATTAAATGACTAAGCTAACTAAAATATTCATTTGGATAAGGATTAATACCGAACTAAAGAAAATAACTTTGAAAATAACGTAATGTTTTTAATTAAAAATGTTAACATAAAAGTGGTTATTGTAAGTCAACCGTAAGAGATAGAGATATGCTATCGCGGACTTTTTTGTAGCATTTTTATAGATTTTGAATTCTCTAGTACATTACTTAACTGTATCTTTGCTAGTTTACGCGGCGTTCGCGTGGAAAGTTCCCATTTGGCGAGATTTTTTGCGACCTCTTCAACATTTGTCGCCGTATTTCAGCTAATTTACATAAAAGCATAATAAATTATATACCTAAACCTTCCTCAAGAATTACTCTTTCTATTGTTGAAAACCGTATAAAAATCCGTTCAGTAGTTTTCGAGTTTATCGCGTACAGACAGACAGGAGGACAGAAAGACGCGGCCGGGGGACTTATTTTTATAATAAGTATAGATACATCGCAGGCGGTCCTCCCCCCGGCCCTGATGATGGCGCCCAACCGGCTGCGCGCGCTGCTGGCGCAGGCGGCGGCGCAGCAGGCCGCGCGCTGCCGCTTCCATGCCGCGCCGCGCCCCGCGCTGCCCGCCGCGCCCGCGCCGCCCGCCGCCCCCGCGCCGCTCGCCGCGCCCGACGCCATCCCCTTCTCGCTGCTGGCCGACCACCACTGTTCGGCGGACCAGTTCCCCATACACTCGTTGCAGGTGACTCTTCATGATAACTGGCTCATATTTGAAATAATCTACATGTGTGGAACGAATTTGAATTTGGCTACTTTTTTATGGGAAACTTTATGTGTGTGTGTATTTGTGAGTGTCAGCACATGAATAAAGAAAAGGAACAGAGACAAAGCTTCATACAACCGCGCTATGATAGGTACACTACAAGCTTGAGGCGTGTGTGCGTGAGCACTCGCAGCTTCGTCGCATACGGAAAAAAACCGGTTTATATTGATTCGGCCTGTGGTCAAACTCAGGGCTGAGTTGTCGCTGCTGGACGCTGCGTGTCGTATTTGTTATCGTTTTACGGTTTGAAAGTGTTTTAATGCGTGTGCAAGAATGTAAATTTGATATGCCATGCGAGTGCATTCCATTAGATTGTTTAAATGCTTTCCATTAGATTGTCTAAAAATTTTTTTGGTTGGACTTAGAATTTCCCGTTGAAGTAAACAAACAAATTATTGAAAAACGAGAATTACAAAAAAATAATAATAATAAAAGTAATTTGTAAAAAGAAATTATATCATAGTGGTTTAATAAAAATCTGATTAACGTTTTGTTTATTTATTTTTATGCTCTTGTGCCAACTCTAACAAAATTGTTAAACATTTTGTCCACTCCTTAGAAGCTTTGTCTCTGTTCAGTATCTTTATTCATGTGGTGTCAGTGTATGTTTGTTACTCTTTGACGATGAAATGGCTGGATAGATTTGGATGTAATTTAGCGTACAGATAGATTGTGACCTGAAGTAACACATAAACTGTAAAATAACAGTAATTTATCAAATTATTTTATTAATGATTGATTCTAGTAATGTTATTGCTATAGAATAATATATATAATAATGCTTCCCCATGGGCCAGGTGCTGAACGAGCACTGCGACGAGGTGTGGTACTGCAAGTGGTCGCCGGACGGCTCCAAGCTGGCGTCGGGCTCCAAGGACAACACAGTCATGATATGGGACTTCGACCCGGTCGCCAAGCGACTCTCCTTCAGGTTCCTGACCTTTCACTTTAATAAACATATCTAGCTAGCCAACTAATAGTTATATAAATCAAAAAGAATAAATAAGTAAACAAACCCAGGTTCTTGGAACCTCTGAGATTTTCATGTGTGAACCTCATTTTATAATCATTTGGTAACGTAATCCTAAAATATGCACATCTAAGGGCGCCTAAAATCTCCAAAGAAATAAGTATTGGTGGCAGGGCTCGGAATGGGTTTAAAAGAGACAGTTCATTTTTGGAATATAATGGTTAATTCATCACCCATTTTTTAACAGGTTAATGAAAACGAACAGTTTAGTAAACCGAAATAATGTTTAACTACTTATATATATTTAGAGAGAGTTAAGACTTTAGGAACTTAAGTATAAAAAATTGAATAAAACAACAATACAAATATTCCCTGGTCATAATAAATGTTTTCTATCTATACACGTGGCACAAATGATACTATTTGTATATACGTTTGTAGAAAATCGCTGGAGGGGCACTCGTACGGCGTGTCGTACCTGGCGTGGAGCCCCGACGGCCGCTACCTCATCGCGGCCGGCCCCGAGGACTGCCCCGACCTCTGGATATGGAACATGGAGGTTACTTCTTGCTTACTTACCATGCTATATGACCATATAAATATATGTATATAACTTACACATATACTTATTAATAGTTTCCTTAATATTGTTTAAAAAATCTAATAAATACGAAATTCACATAACAAGATTATGCACGGCACATTTTTGTTCACAATTTATTGTAGACTATTTTGTGTATATGACATGTTTTGCGCTAAACCGAATAGTTTTCGAAATTTTTACGAAAAACTGATGAAAACTACTAATTTACCAACTTATAAATAATAATATAATATATAGAAATAAGTCGTTAAAAAGAAAGTATTGTTGTAAGATTTGTGTGGTGTGCGCAGACGGAGCAGCTGCACCTGAAGATGACGCACTCGCAGGAGGACTCGCTGACGGCGGTGGCGTGGCACGCCGCCTCCGACAAGTTCGTGTGCGGCGGCGCGCGCGGCCAGTTCTACCACTGCGGCCTCGATGTAAGCGTCACACTTGTTACACTCGCTGCACTTCTAACACTTGTTACACTCGCTACACCTTTTTTGATGACGCTGCGGAATCCCGTCATAGACACTGCCAGCCGTCAACGGGCAGGGTACTGTGAGACTCCTACTCGCTATAAAACCCACAGCGGAACCCGTAGCGTCATTGCTTTCGCACATACCATAACACTTGTTACACTTAGAGTTTAGACCAGCATATAAATTGTAATAAATTTATACCATTATTAATTTAATCCGTATTTTGATAGCACCGTTTTCGTATTTTAAATCCTTTCAACAAAGCTTTTTTGGCAGAGATTGCTTTTAGCAATACGACCGCCTTTGCACACTTTATGTAAAATAGAAACAATACATGTATCTTTTTATATTTTTATTGTCTGCAATAAAGATTAAATAAACAAATAAAACATAAATAAATATACGCCTATTGCCGTATATATATTTGAATAGTAACATGTGCTTTGCGCTTGGGAGTTACCTATAAAATCATTTATTTCTCACTAAATTATTATATTTTAAATGGTGAAATGTTATGCCACAGAAATATGTGTAAAATTACTCATTTTCAACAAGCTCATTAAAATTTTGTTTGAAGAAATTAGAAACAAGAACACCACATATGATGATATTCTCAAATGTTTGTTCTATATAAGTGTGTGTGTGTGCGCGTTGCAGGGCTCGCTGCTGAACAACTGGGATGGCGTGCGCGTGAACGCGCTGGCGTGCCGCGGCGACGGCCGCGTGCTGGCCGCCGACACGCACCACCGCGTGCGCCTCTACGACTTTGCCGACCTCGCCGATCGCAACCTGTGAGTACACACTAGCTAGGGACCTAAGCAACCTATAGGGTACTTCCGGTTGACCTAGAATTGTCATTTTTGGTTAAAAGCAAGGTCTTACAGTACAAGTAAAGGGAAAATTCCGAAAAATAAAAAAGTTGAAAATTAAAGTAAATTTTGGTACTTACAAGTTTTCGCGAAAATCTAAATTTGCCCATATTTTTTTATCGTGTTCACTCAGAACCTTGATTTTTATACACCTAATTGGGACTATATATCTTAGTATCTGGTATAAATTTCAACTGGTCAAGTCCACCCATTCCTGAGGAAACCGCTGGTGAAACACGGACAGACGGACGGACAAAAGAGTGATCTTATAAGGGTTCCTTTTTTACCTTTTGAGGTACGGAACCCTAAAAAAGACAATCGGTTAACAATTATACGAGGAAAAGCTACAGAGCATATTAGCCAGTGTTAGCTATTAAAACTCAACAGAACCTCCCCCGTCTTAATGGGGCGTCGCAGGATTGCTTGCACACTCAACTACGACGCCCCGACATCAGGTCTGCCGAAACAGACTACAACAACCATGGGGTTGCTCCGACATTTCACTTTGCTATTAGAGAAGTATCAGGAGCATCTCGCATAGTACGCCGTCCACCAAAGTGGACCACCTCGTAATGTATCTCTTGATTTCAATAACAACAAATTGAAATTCATAAAAACACAGAATAAAAAATTTGTGGCGTTTGTATACTCCTTAATGAATATAAACCAGTCAGTGGTTTTGGTGAATTATAGTGGACCAAGTTAAAGATATATTGAGACTTGATTATAACCCCACCCGTGTGTGTGTGTGTGTGACTGTCCAGCATCCAGGAGGAGCACGCAGTGATGGCGATGGCGCTGAACGCGGCCGACACGCTGCTGCTGCTCAACGTGGCCAACCAGGGTGTGCACCTCTGGGACATACGTAAGTCGCTTGTCACCTTGAGGCTCTCTCACTTTCCTTCAGGACCTCATATTTTTTTCTATTTATTTTAAGGGCTTTTATTTCAAAAATATGCCAGCCCTATTATACCGTAACCTACATAGTTACATAAATCTTGGCCTCCTCAGAAGTATGAACATACAAACTGGTGTTAAAATTACCTGCATCGAAACTATTAACTATTCAGATTCAATGCTTTACTTACGTTTTTCCTTTGTTGGTCCTACCGGACGCCATATTGTTTTGTTATGAATAAAGTAGGCATGGAACATTTCACGAGTAGCAAGTGAAAAATCACATGAAATGCGTTATCATACGTCACACCTGCTACTTAAATTCACAGTGACTGCTACAAATCACCATAAACTTTATAGTCGAGTTTTGCCTCTTCGGCTTGTGCAAATCGGCAGATTATTGAATTGGACACTTTTCAGGATGTGACTAGCCTACCACACCTTAATCTGACGGTTTCAAGTATTTCTACCTTATCAAAACATTTTTTAAATATTTTAATCGGCTTCCCTAGACGCGCCCCTTTATATAGAAGACTTATATTATGCTGAAAGTACTCAATAGAGTGCAAGGTAACCTCTTTTATGTTAATCTGCCGCGCTCGAGTAACTACAGAAAATCCCCTCTTGGGCTCCCCTACTAATACTTCATTTTAATAGCAAATAATATAAAGTGTGACACCAGACCGTCGAAATAAAAAATCATTGCCTGTGAAAAGTAGCAGGTGAAATCACGTGAAAAATATACTTGTAAATATAATTTTATCATATGATAATGATTTAAAAGTAGCAATCATTTCCATGCTTAGAATAAAGTCATTCGGGTTACAATGGATAAGTATTTTGACATATAAATAAAATCCTCCAATTTTGACGGAAATAGATGTGGTCCAAAGTTAAATTACTTCAGCGTAACTAGACTAGTAAATCGTCATTTTTCCAACATAATAACGCGTTATTGACATTAACAATATTGGACTATAATAATTATACATAGTAGAACTGCAGGAAAAGATCAGTTGTTTCATTTGACAAATGACCTTCACCTCTCAATTTTATTTATATAATATGCATTTACTACTTTCATTCATTCATTTACTTTCTCTCTTGTCTGATTATCAAATTTTAAAAAAGATCAACATTCGTTCAAGGCGTCGTCCAAAGTTACAACGTTGGTCTAACGTTACCCAGAATGATGGTAATTATTTGTTTTAAATTATAATGAACTATTATTTTATTTATAAAAGGTACTTATTTTAGAATGTTTAATAACATATAACTTGTTCAAATAATAATGGAGTTAGTTCTGCCGACTTAGTAACTGGTACCTTAAAAAAAGTGGGTTTTACTCAACTTGGGTTTATGAATATTATCTTTTGGTGTAACTTAGTATTATTATAGAACGAATGCATGTTCATGGACTTTTTTTAAAATAAACCCTTTCATATAAAATTCTAATTTTAGGAATAATATATCAATTTGAAAGTTGATGTCTGTGTGTTTTAGTTAAAAAGTAATAATAATGTAACCTGTGCAGGCGCGCGCACGCTGGTGCGGCGCTTCCGCGGCCTGTCGCAGGGACACTTCACCATCCACGCCTGCTTCGGCGGCGCGCACCAGGACTTCATCGCCTCCGGCAGCGAGGACAACAAGGTACACTCCCCCCACTCACAATATATTAACTATCATATATCATCAATAATAATGGGATGAAAATTTGTATTGGGAAGCAAGCTAGGGACGAACCCGAGGGTAGCGAAGGTGAATCGCTAGTATAATATAATGGTCACGGCAATCTCACGGAAGATGTAGTCGTAGTTTTCAAATTACAGAGCATAATGCCGCACTTTGGTGCATAATGCCGAAGTGTGCTAAAAATTAATTGGTTCAGTGTTTATTCTAGTTTCAGTGTTTTTCAGGTGTGGTGTAAAATTTTGATCTATGCCACCTTGAAGAAAAAAATACTTCTTATATTTTTTTGCTACTGAGTTGGTACCCTTGTGCGTATCGCGCCAAAGCGGTACTTTTCAAAGTGCGCGATTGCGCGGAGCGTTGCTGTAGTTGAAACATTCTAAGTTGAGCATTATGCCGCATAAAGAGTTTTAGTGCTGTAATTGGAAAATTACCAGTCTCTCCCCCAAGAGGACAAGTGCAAGTGAAACCACAGTGGTCGTGAATATCCGCAGGTGTACATCTGGCACATCAGCGGCGAGGAGCCCATCGCGGTGGTGGCGGGGCACACGCGCTGCGTCAACGCCGTGGCCTGGAACCCGGCGCACCCCGACGTGCTGGTGTCCGCCTCCGACGACTACTCGCTGCGCCTGTGGGGCCCGCGCGACCACCAGCACTAGCGACCGAGCACACCCGCACCCCACTCGTTCATATTTACCATTTAAAGATTTTATAACTCTTTCATTTTTTCCCCAGAAAAATTCGAAGCAGTTTTTCATAATGAAACTTTTTAGTTTCCTATATTTCCACGCGATTCTCGACTGAACTGAATATTTCTGCCTGTAATGTTAGTCCTCATAGTTAGAATAAGAAATTGGGTAAAAATTCAGTGTTACCATTGTATAAAAATGTTAAATGAGAAAATCAGTCGGACATGTTGCCAGTTTTAAAATTATTTTGAAATTGTTTTAAGCTATTTTGTAACCAGCATTTCCTACTACTGAAATGTTCCTTGAATCAAGTGTAACATACGATATAAAAGGTTATTTGAGTCAAAAAATTGTATATTTTACAGATTGTTATAAAAAAGGCAAATATATTTTATTTCTAAACATAGAACTTTATATATTTTTTTGGTACTGAATTTAAAACATTGCTCCGAAATCATTTGGAAACACGCCAATCACTAATCCCGCCTTGAATTAATCAATATTTAACTATTATTTCATACCCAGTCATGAGAACCTTGACTATCATAAAGTAGCAAACTATAATTAGTGAATTGATTTGTAAAAAAATAATTAAACTATGTGGACCAGCCATTAAATCAAAAAGGATATTTTTTATATTATAATGTGCAATGCATAGTGCCATTCTAACGTGCAATAAAATCGAGTTTGATCACATAACGTACATCGAAGGTACTGTTAGTGTTTTAACACGGGACTGGGCGACGCGAGTTACTTAATATACTTGACGTTTTTCATCGGCAAAATGTTGTCCATCCACATTTTAATTTGCCGACGGAGTCATTTTTTACACTGTATAAAATTTGATTATGTAAATATTCAAGTTGATGTGTGTTTCAGGACGCGCCTCGTAAATTGACCCAAAATGGTGCCAGAGTATATACGGAGAAATGACCACTCAACAGCGCCATCTTGTGTCAATTTTGAATACTTTATATATTTACCACGTTTGAGAGCCTTAGTTGTATGAACGTGACATTTTAAGGTTGTGTTAGAATGTCCTCGATAAAATATCAATACAAAGCAGTCGATTATGTAATCGATATTCGGAACGCGTCGTGCGCGGGGGTCGTGCCTAGATAAGTTAGATTAAGCGTGTATCAAAATTGATGAACTGATGAGAATAATGATGACTGAATAAATTGATACAGCGTGTTTGATATGTTTTTTCGATTGGTGAATAATCAGAATCGTAATTGGTTTTTTTTACGATTTAACTAATCGCAAAGAAAACGATTGATGTTTTGTAATTGTCTGAAAGTAATGACTTCATGTTCGACATTTAAAAGCAAATAGTATTGTAACGAACCTGCTGCTCTCAACGATGTGAGATTGTAATTATGTTTTTGTGTCACTAAACTAAGATAGTTTGATTTTTTTGTGGTATTGTTTATTTATGTATAATATGTTCTTATTCTTAACTCTTCAAGCACATGTCAGCCCTAATTTTTCGACGTAACGTTTGAACAGTACTTACTTTTACTTCGACTCAAATAGACTGTCTCTTATCACTTACATTTTAAATCATTTGATGTATTATATTAAACGATTCGTTTCTGTTGTCCCAAGATTGGGGCTAAGTGTGATTCAGGTTAAAGTTCAAAATGGCGATGTGTAAAGTTGATAGCAATACAGTTCTCCTTAATTAATTAGATCGACTAAGTTAATATAGACTCAACACGAACTCCCCGCAGTTCTCGGACTTAGAATATTTAAGACTTGAAATATTATAAGTAATGTTAGAGGTTACTCGAACAATTCGGATCATATTTTTGTACCGACTGAATCTCCGAGGAGGCTGCCGCCGCCGCAGGGAGCTAGACGACATCACGCGTCTGTTTACTTTATGTACATACGACATAAATTGTAAGGTATCGAATGTCACCGTTTGTCGCTCTCGGGTTATTGATGTCAGTAAAGGCGAATGTACATTATGAAATTTTGTTGAACTTAACATTTTTACTCTTACAATAAATATGGTACCTATAAATTGGATCTTTTCTTTACAGATACTTTATAATCATTTCTTTTCAGAGTAAAATTATAATTTCATAATGTAAATTCACGTCGGTCAACGCCCGTGCAAAAATGTACATATCTCGCTTTCCGCTTCGAGCACCCCTCGCATGACGTCACGGACGGCTCGGCCAATGGCGTCCGGAGTCGATGTACATGCTGCAGTACGAGCCCCGGGTTGAAAACAAATTAAACATTATACTTTATAGCATTTTGTTGGTTAAAAATATTTTTTTAAGTCCATGGAGGCCTATTCATCGAATTAATAACCTGTGATTTAGAGTATTTCCCATAAAAAGTAAAAATTTATATATTTATATAGATGTGGCAACAGACAAGTCTCCGGGGCTCGGGCGAGTGGGCCATATAGCCGAGTGTAAGGCAATAGCCCTGAGTGTTGTGTAGAAGTACAAAGAGCCACAGGTGTAGCGTACCTTAGCGAGCGTAGAGGCGTCGATTGTTATAAATAATGATTATATATCAATAAATTTTTTATCGTAAAACTATATTGTGTTTGATTTATTAATAACATGATCATGTTGTCGAGTGTAAAATTAAGCTATTTTTTTTAAAATCTGATCAGTATCAATTTCTTGTAATAATATGACAGTATGTAGTGAATTTTTATTAGTATATCTATAAACTAGCTAATAAATGAAATAAATAGCGACTCACTCTCGCTTCGCTCGGGTTCTCATCTCATCTCACGGGAACCGTACATTTTTCGGGGATAAAAAGGTTCTATTCCAGACTATAATCTACCTTTGTGCAAAATTTCATCCAGAACCGTTCAGCCTATCTGGAGAGTGGCGTGATTGAGTAACAAACATCCATCTATCCAAACTTTCGCATTTATAATATTAATGGAATCTTTAAGTTTTGAAAATAGTGCCAGGCAAACTATCCGGCGGCGCTGACAGCGACAGCGGAACACCCGGCGCCGCGGGGAGGCTACCGACTAATTATAATTATTGCTTGATAAAGCTTAATTGTGCATTTATTTAATAATAAAAGTATTATATTGCCAAGTTGTACTTATAAAGATAATTATATACGATATTCAGGTATGGGAACAGATTTGTATAAGAAATTTTAGTCATTTTTGTTTCCTTTAGAATTCTTTAATTATTCGTCAAAATAATAGTTTCACATTTTTTAAATATCTTTAATCATATTATTATAAATATCTGTTACTTATATACATATATTATGATTAAAATTATGTCTAATGTAATTTAATAAATCAACAGTTCTTAATCATAAGCTTAAAATTAAACTTTAATATAAAACATTTCAATTATAACACTTTGAAAATATAAATACATAGTTTGTTATAAGTCCTAAAATAATATGTTATTGTGTATTGAAATTGAACAATGCTTTGATACTCAAATTTATTTATTTTATAGATTTCAAAATATTTTTATATGCACAGTGTACCTAATTATTTCATACTCATCATTAAAACTAGCAACACTATAATCTTAATAATAAATAATTTATTTTAACTATAAATTAGAAGTTCCGGACTTTTCAACCAACTCCAGTAATGTATGTAGTGAAGTATCAAACAGTTCACATCTGATGGGCATCTCAAGGGAATAGAAAGGGTTCTTCAAGGCATAGTCAGAGTAAAGCTCGTAGATCCTCTTGAGAACGACATCTGGGCCTTGCATGTTGGGATCTGTTACTAGAATGAATTTTACTCCTGGAATATTATAATGATCAAATTAACATTTTATTCATATTAAAATAGAGAGGACTGTATGCAGGAGTGTTTTTGCTAAAGCTTTTTGGATTACTTGTGTTTAGGTAGTTAAACAGTTATTTTGTGTAGGCAACTTTTTCAAAGAAATAGAAAACTTATATGAATCTCCTGAAGGCTTGTTAGTGGCTAAGTTATTATTCTATTGCACCTAGATATATTACAAAATACAAATTTCAGGAACATGACAATACATTTTTATAAAAATACATAAAAAAGACCACCTTAATTATTTTTGCAAATTATTAGAAAAGTATTTATTTATTACTTACCAGTAAGGGTTTGAAAGCAAGATAATTTAAATGTGTCAGCAGTAAGTGTTTCAATTCCAGATGACTTGGGTACAGGACTAAGTTGGCTTGCGAGTGCAAACAAAGGGTAAAACATGCTAGCTAACACTATCTTCTCATTAGTGGTCGCCCTTAATCTTCCAAATTTTAAACTAAGGGGAAAGCTTTCCTATGAAATTAAAATGGAAAATATTATAGCATTATCTGCAAAATATATTTTTTGAGATAAGACAGAAAAGGTTTCAGGATCTGTTTCTGGTTTTTAATTTGCAATATGTATAAAACTGCAGTATAGCTACTGCATTTTGTATTATATGTTTTAAGCACTAGTCAGTTCCAGCTCGATAAGTCACCACTGGACCAGAAGGTTTACTGAATTCATCTATTTTATCGTTAAGATATCATTAGACTAATTACCTTTACTCCTATTATGTCAAAAACATCTTTCCCATCTTCTGTCGTCCGACCGTTAACAGGAGATCCATTTACAGAGAGAAGAATATGACCTACTGAAATAAATACATGATTTTAAGTTTAGCAAATTTCCTTTTCAGTTTAACCAATTATTAAAATAAACCATTTACCATTTATACCATCTCTTTGGCCAAAAACGACGATAACTTTCTTATTTTCGTAGCCTAACTTAATATCTAAAGGAAATCCAAATGTCTTTTCTGTTTCTACCCGTGGGATATTATGGTCGTAATTGTAAATCAGGCCTCCTGATTTGCTAACGATGTAGACTCCGTAAATAACCATATTAATTTATTTCATTTAAGAAAAATTATAAACACGAAATATCCACCTTCAAAGCTATGAAAATCTGTTGACATTTGACACTTGACTGTAGATGTCATATATCTGTCAATGCTAGTGTTTCGTTTTAGCCATGAACTTAGAATATTGTTTCTATCCAAATATTCGCTGTAACTTAGAACATAAGACTTTAAAAAATATATTAAATGGTTAATAAAAGCTGTAATAACAGGTTTTTTATAATTATACTGCTTCAATTTGTGATTATTTATAGTGAAGTGCACGATTATTTAAAGTGAACAACAGTTATTTTTAAACATTTTGACTTTATAGTTTATATTTACTACTATTTATCCTAAAAATATCATGCAGTAAATAGAGATTTTTAACATTTTGTTAGATATAAATTGTTACTCAGGTAAAGTTTAAATACGTATAATAAACTGCCTACTGCTACATTCAGATGTATGTACCTAGTTGATCATTTTTATAAGAAAGTTTAATAAATGAAGGGTAAAAATCTACCATGTGTATTATTATATTTTATTTGGAGTGGTGCCGAGGTCGGCCCTAGCTACGTCGACCAGTTATGGTCCATTGTACCATGTGTAATAAAATTAATAGCATTTTATAAAATTGATTTGGGCAGTATTTTTTTACTTTTACAAAAAAGTGACTCAACTGTCTGCTAGTTTTGATTAATAGAATTGCTTACCGAAGCTGCAAAAGGCAGATTTGAGACTTTATCTTACTAATAACTTCCATCAAGTAAAATTCATCTTCGATTAACAACAAAGTACTTACGAAATGTTTACATAAAAACAATTCGATTGCAAATTTCTACTCACACTCCAAGAATCATGTACAGACAGCTAATATAATAAACTTAAATTGCTCTGATAAAAGATAAGATAGTGTAGATCTGTAGTAGGATTGCGATTTAGCAATGACAACAATGAATCATAATGTATTTGATAGACATATCTATTACTTTGTTTTTATGTGCGATTTATCATAAAACGTAACGAATTATTAGTAATGAAAATATACATTTTTTTTGTTTACATACTCCCTAAAGTGTGTAGTTATATTTTTTTATAATTTCATTATTTTGCTAACTACAGATGACACGGAACTGGATATTATATTGGTATAAATATCTCATAACATACAAAGAAATTGCACGGCCCTTCATTCAGGCATTTTTCTTCGGGCTGTTTTGGTTTACATAGAGCTTATACGAAAGTTGCCCACCTACCTATGTTATTTTATAAAAATGTGTGCACTAAAATCTGTAAAATATGGAACAAAATGTAAAAAACAAAGGTTATATATATTATGTAAACAGTATATAAAAATATAAATTGTAAAAGAAAGAACATTTTTATTTAAGAAGTCATTATTTAATTTTCGTTTGCTTTATAAAAATAACAATTCACCTCATTTATGCCATGTATTGATTTTTTTTCCTGATATGACATTTAGTATAATCATCCATCACTCTTCTCGTCACATGCATTTCATCCCTCCTCATCACATGTCCAATGTCCATACCAACTTAGGCGATTTCCTTTTAGCTTTTCTATTACTAGCGCTACTTTCAAGCTTCCTCGTATGTACCTCATTCTACTCATTCCTACTTTTTAACCCCCGACGCAAAAAGAGGGGTGTTATAAGTTTGACGTCGATGTCTGTCTTTGTGTGTGTGTTTGTTTGTGTATTTTGATGCGGTTTTTTTCATATGAAAGCCAGTTTCCTTGCGGTGGTTCTTAGCTATGTTTGGTTAATTTCGGTCCAGCAGTGTAAGAGTATCAGCTCTTTTCCAAAATGATGTATGGCATTTTGACGTATGATTACTCGATTAAGTGCTTCACGCGTGCCAGTGTAATCGTTATATGACAATTAATTTGCGTAGGGGGTTTTTTTAATTTATAATTATATCTATTATTGTCTCTCTAAAGTATACTAGTATAATGGCCGCGTTTGAAAGTAGGTACACTATATTGAACAGTAGGCATTCACTGTCATATACGAATCCCAATACTAATTAATTATGAATCGCTAGTTCCAATGTAATGAATAGTTAGTAACATTTAGCCGACCATCCCGCTTGTAAAACATTCATATGACGAGTAGATATAAACTTTCTCGTCGGAATCGACCCCCAAGCGCACGCGCAGCGTCACTGCCACTGCGCCACGTCGCTCGCTTAGATGAATCATAAACTATTGTGAAACAGTAATCATTATCTGTTTACATTTAAAATAATTAATTTAAAATCGTAAAGTGATATGTACAAATTCTATATTTCTGAGAATATACAAATGCTCAAAAAATATTTTGTTACTGTAAGCTTATGTGATTGGAATTTAATTTACAGTGAGTGATATAATAAAATATAATTGATAAATCGTAACCTTACGTAAGTAATGTTCAGGGCCTTCAACTCGTGATCTTTGGAGCGGGGGCTGTATACAGACAGACACGCAGGGTTTCAGTTTCCAGACAAGAGCTAAAAATAGTAGTAGATTCGACCGTTAATTTTTGCTCTCGACTTTCTAATAGCTATCTACGTATCTATTGGCTGTTGGAAATTAAAAACATACATCTACTCTATTTTGAAAAAAACAATATGTAATTGATTGTACATTTTTATTTGTTTTCATCTTTCATTCCATAATTAAGTGCTCGAACCTATGTTTTATGAATACAAAGTGTACCAAAGTGTGACTAAAATCATTTTAGAAAAACGAACTCAATAAATCTATACTAAAATCATTTTAGAAAAACGAACTCAATAAAGGTCGTATGTGCACTGATGGTATGATTTTAAGCTCCTTGGATTTCATTTTTTTTAATATTTTAGTGGATTCCAGAAGACACTTAGCTTTTATATTTTTTAATTATTTCAAAGCCATTAAATTTACGGGTTTTCGCGCAATGTGCATTCAAATATATTATATATACATATTATATATATTATAAATATAATATCATTCAAATAACTTGTGTTCATAAAAAAACTAAAATTTTTAGGAACTTTATGTATGATAGGATAATATTTAGATTTTATTATGAGGGCAAGTTCAAAAACAATGACAATCTATATACATACCTTGCGCACGCGGTTTTCCCAACCGCCACATTTACATACTCGTAGTTGGTGGCAGGCGCACGCGCACCTTGAAATATTTATAAGACTGCGGTCAAATATTGACAAAAACTAACAAATGTTCAATGTATTTAGTCTCACGGGAATACAGAGACTGTTAAGGCATGTGACATGTTTATTAGACACTAGAGACTTACCCTCGCTTCGCTTTGGGTTCGTCCCGAGACCAAAACATTTTTCGGTGAGATAAATAGTAACCTATGTGCTAAACCAGACTACAATCTATCTCTGTGCCAAATTTCATCCAGATCCGTTCAGCCGTTCTGGCATGAAAGAACATCCGTCCTCACAAACTTTCACATTTATAATGTTTATGCAGATTAGTTTGGATTATCGTTCATTTAAAATAATGAAGCATGCTATTAATATAATAAAAAAAATAGTATTAATAATAAGTATTAAGCCTAAAATAATATTGAGTATAGTGCTATAATATAACAAACATTACGATAATTATTTAATAAAACAAAATCGCTGAGGACAGGATTCGAACCTGCGCGGGTAGAACCCATTGGATTTCAAGTCCAACTCCTTAACCACTCGGACACCTCAGCCACAAGCACAGCGTGTGAATATAATCATCACCTATAGCCTATATACTTATAGGCTGCGATGTTCTGTATTTGTTCAAGTGTCTCTTTATACTTGCTGTCAATTTGTCAAAAATTATATTATGTTTATTAGAATATTTTCAATTCAATTAAATTCATCAATGTGACTTAGTGTTGATGGATTGAATCTAAACCTATATTGTGTAAAAGTATATCATAGGTTAATGTTAGGTATACTATAAGGTATGACTCAAGCGAGACATGACTTCTAGTCATACACACTAACATAGAAACTTCTTCTTTTTTTAATGTTGGTTAAATAAAGACTAAATTATACTTATACATCGTTTTGTCTCTAGATAATTATCTGTCTTGTCCATAAAAAAATATTTTTATCTTTATCCTTTATATTAATTTAAAAATATTAAGTTTATTAATTATTATACTAATTATAAATATTAAATAATACGAAAAAAATAATAATTTTTTGGCAAATTAAAAAAAATGTTATTTATGGTGTAACACGATATAAATTTAAATCTATATATCAATAAGTATATGTATTACTAGTAAATAAAATATATAATAAATAAATACTAAATAATAAATGAGAGTAAATAAAGCGCGAGTGCGATCGCGGCCTGCGAGTGTCTCGGATCGGAGGGGTCGCGGCTAGAGCTCGTCTCCGAGCGAGCGCAGCTTCCCGGAATGCGTTTTCCTCGTCACACGCGTGCTGACGAATCCTATACGTCACATCTGACGGTCTGAATAAAACTCCGCGAGAGCTGCCGCCGCCGCCTATAGCACGCTAGCTACTTGAGCAGCGAGTGCCAGAGCAGTGTCCGGTCTCTCTGTGCAGTCTACGGTGTACCGAGTGCAGTGTACAGCCTGTGTCTGTGTCGGTGTCGGCGTCACGCTGCTGCCCCGCGATGCCTGCATGGAGGTGCCTGCCTCCCTCCCCACGCCGCCCTCCGACTCTGACTCGGATCCAGACGGCTCAGGGGAAGAATCTGTCCCCGCCGGTAAATTGTTTTCTGTGTTTTGAATAAAAAATGAGTGTCAGTGAGGTTTTCTGAATGAAATATTATAAAAAAATGATGTACCTTATGTCATTCTGGTAAGTAAACTGTGTTTAAGTTTTGTATTTAGTCTGTATTAGTGAATAGATGACTATTTACCGATGTAATTTACGGATATATTCTGGTAAAATTTTGTCAATGTTTACAATTTTAGGTTATTTTTACTTAGATTACATTTGCGTAAAAAAAGTAAAAGTAAAGGTTTATTGAGTAGATACTTACGTATAGAGTAGGACAAGTTTTAAACGATGCTGGCCGTCGGCAGTCCGTATTGAATAGAGTGAATTGTTTATATTTCTTAAAATGTTATTCATTTTGTATTTACTCTAATAACATTTATTTAAATCTGAAAATTAATCGTTACTCAAAATTTTAATATTAAAAGTGCACTGTTTACATACAAATATGAAAACATCAGGATGATATATTTCACGAAGTGTATGAAAATAGGAGAAAATATTACAGCACACCTAATGATGTTTAATAATTTTGTACAAAATTAGCAAGTAGCATGTGTAATTAAGAGGAGTATTAAGCAGTGATTTGTTTTAAAAATTATTATTATTAAATATGTTTTACGATATTTATGATAGTCATCATCTAGCATCACTCACACTTATATATACGGAAAATAGCTTTTCCTAACTGACTGACCCATGGCCATAAATGTATACCAAAAGCTAGACTAGACTAAACTGTAGATTTTAGAAACAGGATTTTATCAGTGTAGTACTTTTATAACGGCCACAAACAAAATTTTGACGTCCTTGGGGATTGACATTGGGACTTAAAATGTTAGTAAAAAATTGCTGTCATTTTTGAGGTAAAACCAAAACAATGAATACGCAATATACATACATACGCATATCTTATGACTTATCTGATATGTTTTTATTTGATCACACATTTTGCTGTCGCACAAGGTACCCCAGGAGAAGAACCTGGATAGATAATGGAGCTCCTAGTTCAGGAGCCAGTGTTCAATTCAATTTGTATCTGTAAATTGACAGCTTTAAAAAAATTTTTTTATATTTTTAAAGATTAATTGGTAAAATAAAATTATTATTATTAAGTAATTTGTATTTTTTTCTTAAAGAAAATGATAGTATGTAAGGGTGTATTGAATGTAACCTTCTCGAGGGAAAGAATATTTGTTTAGAAAGTCGTGTATGTTTAGGTCTATGAAAATTAGTCATATTTATACGTAATTAATCCAAGCACAGGTATTGCTTGCAAAATTCACTCTAAGTGGAATGATTAAAAAGGTTTTAATTTAGGTACTATTAAATTAAAATAAATCATGTGTGTACGACGTTACTGCGACGCAGTTACATAGTTTATTAAACATCCCATGAACGAATTAGCCACAATTCGTTCATGAAACATCCCTATAACTATACTAATAAATATTTTTAATTATAATAATAGATCTACGTAATAAAACTTAAATACCGTCTGACTGACAGATAGCACACACCCCTAACCACTGGGTGAAAGCGGATGATAGATAGATGCATAAAATTTTGCAAAATACATTCCTCACATGCATAATACAACGAAGAAGCGCCACAAAAAAATTAAAAATTAAAAAAAATAATAATATTAAAATTTTTAATAGTACCTAGTTCAAAAGCCGCTGGATTTTTAACCAATACTAATTAAAATGATATATTTTAATCGAGGGTTGTCTTAAATATTTATCTCTACCAGAAAATACTGAAAGTTGGACCTAAATAGTACCTAACTGTGTGGTATAGTTACAATAACACATAACTAAAAGAAGAGTCTTGCTGTATACCTACATCTATACTAATATTATAAAGAGGTAAAGTTTGTGAGTTTGTGACGTTGTGAGTTTGTGAGGTTGTATGGGGATGATCTCTGGATCTACTGAACCGATTTAGATAAAATTTGGTAAGAAGATAGTTTGAGACCCTGGGGAGGACAAAAGATACTTTTTATCCTGGAATACGGGATGTATTAAGGGAGTGAAAATGGGGATGAAAGTTTGTATGGGAAATCAACCTAGGGACGAACTCGAGCGAGTCGCTAGTATATAAATAAAACTACTGACTTACCATCGCTTCACTTGAGTGCGTTCCTAGGTACGTGCATATAGCGTTGCTGCAGTTAATATTTAATAGATCTTTTTAAGATAAATAATTGTTGACGCCGTGCACGCCAATAAAGCTCCCAGTCGGCATGATTCTTTCCGACGTTTTCTACTATCATCGTCATATTTCTGCCAAGTTCCACAAAACATTAATGAATTATACACCTAAAGTATATTAAGGCCGATGACAAAACAAAGGTTCAAACATTTACTTGTGGCTATTTCTCCGAAATAGCGTTCTTCATCTGATTAATCTGACCAAATAATATTTGGCATGTCTTTAATCATAAGAGTATGTTGAATAGAGCCAAAAATGAAAATAATTTTTGGCCAGATTAATCAGATGAAGAACGCAATCTCGGAGAAATACCCTTGTACTTGCCTACATATACTCGTGTAAACGGATTTAAGTCTTAAATAATTAAGTTTTTTGTCAATTTAACTCTTCAAATAAATCCACTGAAAACTTAGAGACGGTTGTTGGTCGATTATTGATATAAGTATAATTTTAAACTATTACAAATTATAAGTTATTATATAAACGTTTACAATTTTGTACACTCGGAAATATAACTATGAATTTGTAAATTGTCTGTGAACATTATTAACTGGGGAAAAATGAGCTTTGAGAAAACATCGCATACGTGAGTACCTACCTACCTATTCTTTCTGCGTTAGGAATAATTTAAATCTCAGGAAATCAAATTGCTCCTGCGTTTGGGGTAAAACTTTATGGGAATATAAAGTTACTAAAAAGAAAACACTGCATAAATTCGTAAATAGTGAAGTAGGTATATGGGAAAACTTTATAAGAGCGTACTTGGAAACGTCACACTGAAAAGCGATGCTCTAAATGATATAAAAGAGATTTGGATTTCTTTTTATAAGATATATAGGCATGCTTATAAGTAAATCAGTTTTGTTAAAATTCCAAATATTGACATGGCATTTCTAGCGCCTAAGAAAAAAGGCTGCGTTTTTTCAGTGTCTAGTTAAAATGCCAATTAATATAACTTATACTTATAAACTAAAAACAAAGTAATTCGATTATTCGTAATAGAGACTATTATACTATAAATATACTTTAAAATACCAAACATAATATTCTAAATTCTTACCAAATATGCAAAATCACAAGTGTAACGTATAATATCTTAATTTATAAAACTTCATTTATAAAATATCATCACATTTTTGATTTTACTCATTTCTATCGATATAAATAACTTTTCATAAAAAAACGTTCTTCTGTGTTCCCTACATCTACATTTTTTATCATTCTCATTAAAACTCTACCTCGCTTTCGTGGTAGTTAATCTTTATTCCCTCGTAACAGAAATTTGTTGATATTTTAAAGCAATTTTATGTCTTTGCAATTTTGTGCCTTGTGTGCCTCAAATCTCCATAACTACAAATAAGTTAAGAGATAAAGAAAATAAACTACTTATTTAACTCCACTTTTGGTCACACAATACCTAGAATTTGCTGAGCTCTATGCTGTAGACGGTAGAGCAAATAACATTTTCTCTCTGCAATTCGTCTTTAAATTTAAATTTAATTTCTACTTTAATAAAATAAGTTTTTTATCCAATAAATAAAGGATATTATAATTATATATAGTAAAAATATTTCCGTCTGGTGTTATAGACCCAGAGCAATGGGAGCAGAAGGACGTGGTGCGCTGCGTGCGCTGGGTGTCGCGCACGTTTAGCGTGGCCGCCCCGCGCCGCCACCTGCTGCCCGCCTCCGGCCGGGGGCTGCTCGCTCTCACAGAGGAAAACTGGTTACAGGTAATTAAATAATAAAATTAAGATCTCATATAAAGACAAACGAACGGACAGAAGAACAGCTTCCGCTTTGTAATCTTAGAGGGTAATCTTAGAGGATCAGACTGTGGACCTCTTAGTGATGTGTATGGACCGTTATGTCATATGTATATGTATCACGCACATACTTTTCCCTGTGGGGTAAGTACAGGGAGCACAGTAAAACTTTGATTGAGGATTGAGTGATAAATATTATGTTTTACCGAATTTAAATACGAATAGATATTCTCAAAGTTTAAAGATATAACAGTCTTAGTCATTTCATAATTACTAACAATATGAGTTTCTTTCTTATTTTTAAATATACATAGATTGTTAGGTTATTTAAAATTATAATTTATTCATGTCTATTATTACCGTTAAAATACAAATATTTTATTTACAAAGTCATTAAAGTATCTAAATGAACTTTGCGAAGAAAAATTTGGCGCCGAATGTCTAATACAGCCCTATATTAGTATAGTCTTCTTGGTCATGACAAAGGAAAGAGAAGAGTTTTAGATTATATTATTCTAACCCTATATTTTGTTTAAATTTTTCCGAATGATTAAGCCCACTAAAAATAATTTAACTTTAAAATAAAATAAAAATATACATACTTATTAAATATAGTATATAATTCCGTAAGTATATAACATATGGAATTAATTGTAGTTGAAATTATTGAATTTCAATATGAAATTTTTTAATAACAATTTTTGAAAGGGTAACAGAGCAGTGTTTCATTTAATCTCTTCTCAGCAGTACTGTGTTACGAGCCGGTCGCTTCCTCCCTTACACAGACACTTAACTAAAATGTAAAAAAAAACTAGTAGGTACATATATTTGAATAAAGAACATTTCGATTTTTTATAAAGACAACGAATATTATAAATGCAAAATGGTATTTAAGAATTTGCATCGTCTGTATTGCATTAATATATGAATGTTGTATCGCCCAGGTGTGCGGTAACGACGCGCACTCGGCACGCATCTTCCACACGTACCTGCAGCACACGCACGCGGCGGCGAAGGGCCGGCCGCCGCCCCCGCCCTTGCCTGAACACCAAGCCTCGTCCTCCACACCTCCAGAGCGTAAGTGTTGCTTAATCCTTCCTTATCCCCTAAGACGTTCTTTTGAAACATATATAACAAATTGCTTTCAATTCGGGATGTTTGCTATATTTTTACTACTTCCTATTTTAATTCTAAAAAGCGAAAAAATAAAACAAATAAATAATAAAGGAAAACCTAAAATATCTTTAGTATCTATATTAAATCTAAAAAAAACAACTCGGCCAAGTTGGAGTCTATTTCGGACTTACAATATAAAAGCCACGAATTTTTTAAGTTTTGTGTTTTCACTTAAATGACATGATAATGACAGGTAGATATAAAGAAATAAATTAAAAAGTATCCAAAAATACGTCTCTTGTATGACAATCTCTAAAAAGGATATAGCCAGACAGGTATACTTCAAGGCTTTATGTAGAATATTAGACATAATTTTCTATCGGGGAGGATGTTTATTACTTAAGAAGTAGTAGAATTTGGCTCTGTATAGACTATAGTGTATCTCTTACCAATATTTATATTACTATGAATTACACGAGGAGATTTAAAAACTGCACAGATTTTTTATAATTAATACCTAAGTATAAAAAAATATTATGTATTTACAGTTTATTTTTGAAGATAAAAAAGTAAATATTATAAATATAGGTATATATTAAAGCACCAACTAGCGCCATCTATCGGCGCCTCGGGGCCGCGACGCGAACGAATCTTATGAATGAAGGCGCTATGAGTCACCGCTGCGCAGGCTCATTCATCTGTAGCTTGACTCAGGGCTTTTCTCTGAAACGTGTCGATGTAACTATTGTACGGTAACATTATAGTTAATTGAGTAGCAGCAACATATGTGGTTATTTATAATTATCTGGTCATATAAACTCGTTTCTTAGTTCAATATTTAATAGGTAGAGTTAAAGACTTGTTAAAAAATATGTCTATCAACAACTTAAAAAAGATAAATATGATTATTAAAAAGACACGTAGTTTCAAACGGATACTATATAATTAATTTGTATATTACAACTGGTTCATTTTTTACATAAAATAAAAACAAAGGTAAACTTATTAGTTTTTCCGCACAATTGTAAAGATAATTCTTGGCAAGTTCTCTTTATTTACGATTTGGAGCTGTCGATCAGCGAGTATGAATAACAATCTTATAATAAGATTTTAGAGATCAAAACAGTAGTATTAGCAAAACACTCCCACTAATGTACGAGCATTAGTGCTAGTATTTGTTTTATGACTCTAGCTTGCTGCGATGAAAGTACGGCGCAGGTGGGAACAGTCTTGACATTCTTTTTAACATTAAGTATCAAAACATTTCATAGCAATGTCTTTTAGCTCTAATAGTTTGCAGGTCGGAGAGTGACGAATGACGAAGGTCACTTTTTATAGGATACACTAACATTGCCCGCGGCTCCGCCCGCGTTCAGATGACCAAAAACCAAATTCTTAGGTTTTACATATTAGTATACTCTTACATTGCAGTTTTCGTATTTTTTCTCAGAAATGAGACATTTTCCCGCGGTAAAAAGTATCCTATATGTTGACCCGGATAACCAGCTATCATCATACCAAATTTCATCATAATCCCTCCAGTAGTCTAAGAAACTATAGATGCAGCTTCTGTATCGATAATATTGATTTTCCAAAAAAACATTTAATGTACTTATTCGGCTTAGTTACAATTTTATTATATGTATGTATAGATATGTCATATTACTCCGCGGAATATTGGTGTATTTCTGATAAGCCCGCTTAGACAATCATAATAAATCTTCGGGATGAGATTGGAGCTTAAGTGAAGCGTTGACAGGTCCGAGGTCGCTATTACAAAATATGTCACAATCGTTTCTTCATTTAATCTACCATAATACTTTCGTTTCGGACAATTATCGTCCCTTTTTAAGCAACGAAGAAAAAGGAGAAGGTCCTTAATTCACATACACATTTTTTTATGTTTAACCACGAACAAAATTTTTTACAGTGTGGTCCGATTTCGATGGTTCTTTTTTATTGGATAGGGTATTCCTCAAAGTTGGTCCTATTTATATTTCAAAAAAAATCCACCCCTAAGTGTAGTAAATAGGGGATGATTGATTTTTCAACTACTGAATTTTTAAAATACTTTCTTCTTACTTTCCTACTACTATGTCTACACTAAAAATGGAAAATTAAAAACCTTAAAAAAATAAAATAAAAACTGACTGCGAAAAAAAAACACTAATGATAAATTAAAAAATTAAAAAGACCCCGACCATCTTGGACCGATTTTCATCACAATAGCTATGAACACACCCTACTAATTTCACCTTTCAAACAAAAAAAAAACAAAATCAAATTCTGTTCATCCGTTCGGGATCTACGTTGCCACAGACAGACACACACACAGACACGTCAAACTTATTACGTAAACACCCCGTCGTTTTAGCGATAAAAAGCAAAGCACACCCACTTCGAAAAATCTTATTAGGTATCTATAGTAAATGAAAAGTACCAATCAGTGTTTTTTACTTTTAAGTGTTTTTATTAGGTCATATTTTTTTCTTATAAATGTGCAATTTTTATAGTAGCTAACGTAACTTTAACGATTCTAAACACTACCTGCTAGGTACTTATTAGAAATTACTAGTACTTTTTTATACATTTTAGTAAAATAACTATGATACATTTATACACACAATGAGAAACAAGTAGGTTAATGAGATACATGGACCTGTGAGTGTAGACCGTAGGGCCCGGGAGCCGGGAGGGGACCCTCGGCGCAGCCTGTGAGATCAATGCTCCCCGCGCTATGCGCTAATTGACTTTTTTATTTATTACATTACTAGCAGAACCCGCAGCTTCACTTGTGCTAAAACTACAAAATAACTCTAAACGTGTTTTCCCGTGGGAGTGAGATAATCTCCCGTAGTAAAAAGTAGCCTATGTCACTCTCCAGCCCTCCAACTTCCTCCACACAAAAAATCATGCTAATCCGTCACTGTGTTTGGACGTGAAACAATCAAACACACTTTCACATTTATAATATAAGTATGGATAGAAATTCACTTAGCTGCGTAGTGAAGCATAGAGTTCAATACACAAAAAATCTTAAACGATGCAAGTTAAACTTTAATAATTAATAAACGTGTGTATGTAACATAATATGTATATCTATTAGAGATATAAGTTAATATCTATTTTTTAGATATGTCCAAAAACTAAATACACCTACGGACGTACCGATATATAGCTAATACGTGTAAATTGAATGTAATCAAGATCCAGTATCAGAGCGAGTAATGCCATCTCATCAGCATCACTATCAGCGCTAACCGCGCGCCCTCGGGAAGCGCCGGTTCGCTGATAAATGACCCTGACGCTAGTTTTGCTTTTATTTACTTATCTTAACTATCGCCAAGGGTGGATTGTACCCCTCAAAAAGAAAGTATTATCATTTAGCGATATTGACTAGGTGTTTAATATATTTAAGAACCATGTATGTTTAAAGATTCTATTTCATTAAAATACATAGCCATGCAGTATATAAAAAAAATTAACCGACACCGATTACTGGAAAATGGTAATATAAAAGAATTAACGTTGTTATAAACATTCAGAATAAGACTTTAGAGTAAATGCTTTGTGAAAAATTTGCAAAGCTCGGGAACCAAAATTGATATTAGAAATCATGACTCGTGCTACTAATGAAATTCCAAAAATTTTATATCAGCATTGAAATAAACAAATTTTTGAATGAATCACAAAAATGGCTGAGTAATGAGAAGAAGCGCGCGGCACGTGGCCACTGTTGCGGCCGTCGCCAAAAATGCGGACCGACATGCGCCCGCGCCGGTGTCCCGCGCCCGCCGCATTCCTGCTACGTTCATCACTGGAACACGCTTTTCCTAGGCTAAAGATGACTTTTCATGCACTTGCTATACATATATCATTGCGATTTAAGAAAATATCTAAAGAGTTATTCGTTTTAAGAAAATTATCAGCCAAACGTGTTATTTTCTTTTCATTGAGCTTTAATGATTCTCTATATTTAAAGTGATATATTTTAACGGTCAGGCTTTAAGCAGGTTTTAAGCACATATCAATAATATGGGCGGACTCATTATATATTCAGTATCTTCTAGAGATGATATTTAATAGATATTTATATATTTAAATGTTTAAGCATGTTGTAGGTTCCCCTTTGAAGGCCGTTTCGATTGAATCATTTTGGGTTTTTATCGTTGCACAATTATTGTTAAAACTTAGTGAGTGCCCCAGCACAAGGCCGATTGTACTTTACGCAAAATTCTACGAACTGTCATTATTGCACTCCTTTCAACTTTGGATCCATTAATTTGACGAATGAACTAATTTGTTCATTATTTTCTCAACTTTCCTTAATCTTTCTCTACATAGGAAGTGTAATGTGTATAAATTGGATAACATCGCCTAATCGCTAGACACTTAGTAAGTACTTTATTTATTTTTATTTATTTATTTTCATTGAGACATAGGTCCATTACATATATCTCATTATAAATATTTAATAATTATCAAATTTATAAAGAGTACTTAATTTTGGAACCAAGTTCACGGGATTAGGTACCAAATTATAAAGTTCAAGAGGTTTAAAAGTACAACAAAAGAAATAATCACTGTTATTAGATTTAATAATTCCAAACTGACCAAAAATCTAAATAAATCCGCAAAATAATCCGAAAAGATAGTTTTGATAAAATTATTTTTTCTGAAATATTCAATATTGATTTTGCTACAATAAACAGATTACTATTTTAAGATTTCGATACTTACTTATCAGTTCTGGAATTGAATTAATTGGATTCAACCGCAATGTGGTCTGAGGCACATCTTTAGACTTTAGGCTCGCGAGGCATACTTGTGCTTGCGCAGACTCCTTTAGCTGTAGCACCGTGCGGAAGTGACTCAAAGTGTACTAGGAACTGTGATTCACTGTTCCGGATTCATTACATAGTAAATGACGACGGATTTCTCAAGCTTTATTTCTAAAGCAATAATGACTAAATTGTGTCGATGATAAATATTTTGGATAATTAGAATGAATAAGCGTCGAGCGGTTACAAAATTGGCGCCGGTAAATACAAAAACTTCGTGGGAGAGCGGCGGCGATGTGTCATCTTGTTTGGTACTCGGCCGCTGGTGGTGTTACGCATGTTAATAGATACAGAGAAATGGCCCGATATGGATTTGTATAAATTAAATAAAAGTTTACACAAATTGTAATTATTTATTAATGCAGTTGAAGTATCTGATATTACAGAAATTTTAAAATAGTTACTCCAGTAGGTATAACCGGATCAAGCAAGAATCCAAAATGTTCTTTAAGAACATTTCTTCTAACAAGATTCTTAATTGGTTCGAACGACAGCATTGGCCACTTTATATTCTGTAAAAATAATTTCTGCGGGTCTATCCCCAGTGGCAGAATTTTTATTCTTAAAAGAATACATTGTTGAGTTGCTGTAAGCTGTAATAAACTTTCACTTTACTGTATTTACTTTATGATTGTGGTGTGCAATGATGTTCTCCTAGCCGATTCCGGCTACGGCGGCCAGTCTCATTGAGATTAGCCAACTGCGCAGGAGATATTATAGTGCACAAGTGTACGCGCAGACACAAGTGCACTCTCTATTCCTATCACTCTCATACTCCGGTGGGACGACCACTCGACACGACCGGTGAGAGTTAAGGCGCAGGACCGACGGCTTTACGTGCTCTCCGAGGCACGGGGGTGAAACACCGCCAACTTCCCAACTCCGGGCTGTTACTGAGACTTACTATACAGAAAGACTCAATAACTAAACTTGGCCCGACCCGGGACTCGAACCCAGGACCTCCGGATGTGCAGCCGTAGATGCTAGCCACTACAGCACCGAGGCAGTTAAATGTGTGCAATAAAGTATAAATAAATAAATAAATAAACTTTTCTTAAAGTTCTAATTTTAATTTTAACATATGGCAAATACTTAATTTGCCACATCTTTGAAAATCTAGATTTAGTTTAGGAATTATAATGTAAAAAGAAATAAAAACCGGATTCTAGATACAAAAAGTAAAAAATAACTGAACGGGGGTTTTTATTTACTATAGGTACATAATCAGATATTTTCGATGTCGGTGCCATCTTCTTCCTTTTTTAAACTCGGTAAAAATATAGCTAGATTTTATTTTAAGTGTACCACTGATACAGGTACAGTTCCTCATCCTACGCACTCTTCTACTTAGCAGTATATAGAAATGATATTTGTTATATCACTACTGCCTAATTTCGCCTGTGTATTTACGAGTAAGTATGTGTTATTGCTTCGCTCCTTAAACTCATTGCTAAATAGGCATCTTATGTAATAAATCTGTCTCTAAATCTGTCAGTAAATATCAAGAGTTTTAACATGATTTTTTGTGTTTGCAACTTTACTTTTGATTACTATCACGCTGAGTTGTTGCGAGTAACTTCGGTTTGATGGGACTATTGACTTTATCACTTAGAATAAAAAAAATGATCACTGGAACTTCAAAAATGACGGATTCTCATACATACTTCGAACCTCTTTTTAACCCCCGACGCAAAAAGAGGGGTGTTATAACTTTGACGTCGATGTCTGTATGTCTCTGTGTGTGTCTGTCTGCGGCATCGTAGCTTTTAAATTTTTAATTTATTAGCTATACAGGGGTTAAATTTATGGTTATTGTTTGGTTATTTACATGGTTATTTAAAGATTAGTGATGATATAGTACAGTCATTAGAGTTACGAAGTTGAGTACATTAACAGCAGAACTTTCAATAGTAAAGATAGCATTAATTTACTTTTCAATCTTTATTTAACGTTCTCAGAAATTATATGCAAATATATGCACTAAGCGTAGCATAACATTTTAAATGATTAGGTTATTTTTGTAGGTCAAACTAATTTAGATGTTGTTTTTCGAGACAGATGACCCACAAAACTTTATGCTTTATGAAGTCAGTACAATTTATTATACGTTTTCCTGTTAAGTAAAGTCCTGTTAATATTGGCTAACTGCTAAGATACAAATACGAAATAAATGACATCGACCAAGCTATTGGTGGGTTCTGTGTCGCCACTCCTCCAGCCTCCGACCTCCAGCGGGGTCTCGTAATGTCATACGATATTATTTAACGACGTTTCGTTTTTTCACTGTCTGGGTCAGAACAGATTGACATAAAAAATGTGTCCAATACTTATTAGTAGCTCAATATATGTGCATACCAATATACATATGTACATACATACATATTGAGTAATACACCATACACAGTGTATCTGTAAAATTTAATATTTATATTTTTTTTAGAAAGCTTAGTAAAAAGTTTCTTTATTATATTTTTTGATTTGTTCATCTTTTATACAGCTTTTGATTTGAGTACCTAAAAATTAGAGGTAAAGTGTTTGTAGCCCGAAAGGGCCGTTGTTATTATTTCCGTTACATGAAGTTCTGTAGAAATCTTATCATTTTGCAAAACAATATTTGTATTTAATTTATATTATCTAAGCAAATCATCATCTGCTACAAAATATTGCTAAATTTAGTTAAAGTTTAATATATACCAGGAGAGTTTAATAAAAGGAATCGAAAACAAACAAACAAACTTTATGAAGAAAATACTCGTGCGTATTTTAATCTGGTTACAGGCGTCGAGACGCTACCAAGTACCACGTGATAACGCTTACCTTATCACGTGGTGATACTGTTGTCAAATAATAAATATTCCCGGAACAGTTATACGTGGCGAGGACGAGTGCGGCGCGCGACGCGTCGTTAGGCGCTAGCGATTATTACCTACCTATTTAAATAGATAGAGCTTATCTGGACATTTGCATATATTTGGCCGCTCGCACTTTAAATTTGATAAAGTGTATTCAGAATAAATAAAGCTGCGAGACATTAAGATAGTATGTTTCGTGTTACCAGAATTAACAATTAATATCACAACTGCCAAAAAGGCTCTACATTTTTTCAAATTTCTATTTGTTAATGATAGAGTTACTGTTTTATGAATTAAATACATAAATATTTATATTACGCACAAAAGGAGAGAAAAACCTTAAGTGATTTATGAGGACAACTTGGATTTTACGATATAATAATATTCACCTCACTTGACACTTGCGCCGTGACGCGCCCTCGGCGATCCCTGCCTCTACATTTATGAACGCTTTTGCCCCTACTATTTTAACAAGCTTTATACTATTTTTATTATATGTTTGGATAATTAGATCGATTTTAATGAATTAATTTACCAAATATTTTTACAAGGCCTAGATAAATTTAAAGCAGTACAGCTAAACTATATTTAAAAATTATAATTCTTCGAAAAATAAAAAAAAATAAACTTATCGACATCTGCGACCAACCTACGTCACAAGTTAACGTGTCATTTATATAGAGACGAGGGGAAATGTGTTTTTTATGTAATTCTTAGTAATTTTTATCATTTTTAAGGTTCCCAGAGTGCGGTGTCAAAACAGAACAGCCGTTGTAGATTCACTCTAGTCTATTAGACATAATACTATAATTTTTGAGATAATTCATAATATGAAGCTAAGTGACCCAATAACGAACTTATAATGTGGATAAATGAATTAAAAGTGCCTCCATTTGGCCAATCATCCATGAGAGAGTTAATTAATTATGAGGAATAGAAATATATATATTTATAATATATATATATATATATATATATATATATATATATATAAAATTTTTAATTGCCTATTACTACGAATAAAAGAAGAAATAATAAATATGTTGGGACATTAACACACAGCACCATCTAGTTCCATGGTACTACGAGGCTTGTATTATGGATACCAGATATTTAATACACTACACATATAAAACGTTAC